AAAAAAAAATCTTTCTTTTTTTCTTTTTCTAACCTACAGTCAAGTGTTCCATTACCACAATTATATAAATGAGTAATCGATAAAAAAGAAATTTCTGTTTTGCTTTTTCTAACCGAGACACTCAAACAAAATGGGTATTTGTTATTATCGGAAAGTCTTTTCGGGTTTCCGAGCGATTCGGAAACGTTTTCCGTGGTTTCCGAGTTATTCGGGAACCCTAAAAGAATATCCGATAGTAACAAATAGCCATTTTTTTTAGAGTGCACGAAAGTGTTCCATTAATACAATTATATAAATGAGTGACCGATAAAATAAGTTTTATAGGTATAAAATGCGCCGATGAATTTCTTTTTCCTTTCATTTATATGATAGGTCGAATTAGGCAAGTACTCACATACTTATGCTTTAGAAAAAGATTAAAAGAAAGATCTTGAACACCATTTCATTAGCGGGCAATGATGATATGTCAGCATATACTTACATCAACGATTTTTTCCTAGCATGCTATTTTTTTATCAGTAATATTACTCGTTTACTAGTTAATAAAGTTCGCTCAGCACAACTAAACGAGGTATAAGCTTCTCAAAAAGAGTAAAGCAATGTTGAGTAGGATCATCTTGTATTGATCACTGAACAAGTCAAAACAGTATCAGTTGTTGGAAGTATATTTATAAAAAGATAATGAATAAAAGACATATCAAGAGACCGATGTTATTTAGCACAGCAGTCCATAGTAGTACTACTGCAACGGATGACAGAAAGAGTTAATTTTTGTTCTAATTAAATATTAACAAAGAATAATATTACTTTTAGGAAACTTTTAAAACACTAAAACATCGCTGAAAAAAATCCACTAATAACATGTTTAAAGGCGCTAGACAGATACTGAGAGCATCATCGCTATGATTATCATACTTCTTGTTAGACTTTAGTTTTACGTATTACTAGAAGAAAGATTTTTCTTCGCTGAAAATCCATGGATATTGACAATAAATAGCAAACCTAAATTTTTATTTTTCATTAGTCATAGTATTATAGGATAAGAAATTAACCAATTATCACTAACTAATAGTTAGTGAGTAATAATGAGCATCATACACTTTCTATAAAATAGTTATGCAAATTTTTTTATTTTAACCTATTTTTCACGATTGACGCAGAGCTAAAAATTGTTGTTAAGGCGCGTTTTTTTGCAAGAAACGAAAAGAGACGTTTCTAAGTGTTTTTTTTTCTAGTCTACCTAAAGATAAACTGTGAATAATAGTTAAAAAGAGGAAATTCTACAGACAAACGCTGTTTTCACCGTCTGATGTGCCGCCCTATCATTTCGTCCCATGCATTATGGTTCACTGTCGTTCGCTTTAAATTCATTGTGTCTTATATTCTATGTACCACTACAGTTTTCCCCTGCTCATTCTTATCTTGAAGTTATAGATGTGGATGTGGGTATCCTTGGCTAATCTAAAGAGAACACCCACACCCACCTTTAGTCGTTTTTTCGATCGCTTATTCTTCTTGTTTTGGTGATATTATCATTCTCACCTTTCGCAGATTATTTTTTCTTTTCAGCATTAATATCACAGAGATACTTCCGAATGAAAATACCCGAGCGTTCGAACTCTCATTTGCGCCTGAGTTTCATAGTGTTTTATTTTCCTCTGTTGCGAATCATTTCTTAACGTCGATATTTCGAGACAGATGTGAATACAAGCAATTTTCTTTTTTTCATCATCTTCTCGTTACTTCCAATATGGTCAGCAAAATGAAGTTTTGATGCTATATTATTCCTGTTACACAGCTGATGCAATAAAAAGAAATTCAAGTTTTTCTTTGTATATGTATTTGCATTCTTTGCTTTATGATGCGATAACATTAATATTTGCACTATTGTTACGATCAATCACTGTTACAATACATCTTAGATCAGATTTATTTTCCGCGAAAAGATTATTGTTGGATTTATTTCGAAGAACAAGTAAATCATGCGCTATAAGAATACGAAATTCAAACGACGTACATTATGAGAGCATTTACATCTGTCTTACTTTTCTAATAGGAAGAGGGTCATCTGATCTAAAAATATTGAAAATGATAACGCAATTAATCTTTCTTACTTAGCATTTACAGTATGATCGGATGAAAACCACCTGTTGTCAGCTCTCAGCAGCGATTAAAGACCGATTACTTATACGGGCCCTTAATGCTTGATAGAAATATCCATAATTCCAAAGATCAGATGGGTTTACTACCGTTTTCATTGTTGTTCTATTCTTCTCATCTTTTAGTATCGAATTGCCCTAGAGTATAAAGTCGAATAAGGCTTCTACAATGTTATTTGTTTCATTTCATCAAACGATTCTTTTTATTCTATAGTAGAGTTTAATATTAGGTGCAAACGAGTAGGTTTGATTCATAGTATGAATTTGAATGTGTTTCTGCACCTAAGAAGAGTACAACACCCACACCCATTTCTAATTGTCATAATTATATTCGATTTTAGATTTAAACAAAATCAAATTGTGAAAAAAGAAATTTTTTTTGAGAATAATGAAACGCAAAGCGTCTTCAAGTCATAAAACGAAAAGAACGAAAGTCTCCGAAGACGAGTTTTTAGAAAAATCAAACAGCGATTGTACTGATTTGAAGAAAAAAGAAAATGAACTTCAAAAAAAGATTTCATTTGTTTGGCTCGATGCGAATATCAAAGAAAATGAGCGAATTCAGACAAGTATAAGACGATTGAAATTAATCGCACGATGCGCTCTTGCAACAGATAACTACGATGAATATGAACAATGGTTAGTGGCATGTAATAGTAACGAAAATATTTTTCTAATTGTTTCTAATGACTTCAGTAAACAAATTATATCTCATATCCATTCATTATCATCCATCATTCGCATATATGTATACGGAATGAATCGTAATAGTAACAACAAATGGACTGATAACTATCCTAACATATGCAAGATTATTCCAGACATCAGCAAGTCAGTCGAAACGTTATTAGTAGATTTGGAGGATTTTAAAAGTAATCAAGATGTACATATGGAATCTAGATATGAAAAGATAACAAATACTGATATTGGATCGTGTTCCGAAAAACAAACAACAAAAAAGAAGAAACAAGGTACAAAAGGTAAGTACTCCTAATTTTAAGTATAACTATTGATTAGTAATGTTATTGTTTTCTTAAGGTGGCATCAGCAACTTTCAGTTTATTCTCATCGATATAACCAAACATTTAAATAAATGCGCTTCTGATATGTTAACAACTCTGATCGCAATGGCAGCAAATGCGATCATCATCTATGATGATAATTCAACTACTGATTTTGATCAGCTGCCTGATAAACCCACGTTTCTCATTATTAGCAGTTCTGTCGCATCTAAAATGAAAAATAAACCAAAACAAACAAAAGCGACTTTTATTTTAGAAGAAGATAAAAACAAAGTCGATTATCGAGAACGATTCGGAAATGGCGAAGATCTAATTTTCGAACTAGCTGACGCAGTTTATCAATGTTACAAAAAAGAAGCAAATCAATGTTCATTATCTGGTGATATGAAGACGGCGAAAATTAAAGAAGAGCAAGCGAATCAAGTTCATAGTAACTTGAAAAGGGCATATATATCAGCGTCGGATAATAACAGTATTATTCAAGGTCGGAAATAACTTCTCTTATTTCGTACATTAACACTTTTTCTTACAAGTGTAGAGATCACTATTTCATATAATGAAATAAACGTGTTGATAGATTTTCTTTTTTTTATTAATCTTCTATAAATATTATTATGCTAACGAAGTTTTTTTGCATTGTATATTTTTCAATTAGCGTTGCTTGAATCTAAAGTATTCCTGGCTATCAATAACCACCGAAAGATCAGTTGGAAGCATTCGTTTGTATGCAATTCTAAAAAGTATAATACTTTATTATTTCCTTCATTATAGATGCAAAGTATCCACGATATTAGATTTGATAATGATTTATATGCGCCTACAACTCATTGGGCACTCTTACTTTACGAACAGAATGGAGTATCTTTGGCCATTCCTCTGGCAAATGCTGAACTCATGTCTTTTATCAAACCTTTTGATAATATCAAACAATGTCAACATCATGTCGATACAAACCTTCAGAAACTGATTACACTATTTGCTTGGGATGATAACATACAACAATGGTTAGCAAATGCTAATGATGTACCAGCAAATCTTCAAGAAATCAAAATATTCTGCAATTCAGTTGATCGAACATATGTAAATGCATGCATGAGACGTTATATGCATCGATTTAAAAATGTCACAATTGAAATAATTAATTGTGATAAACTTAATTATGGATTGATGTTATTTGGAGTTGATCATTTGAAAAAGTTAGATACAGATTTTCCGCCTAATTCAGTATTACAAAGACGGTTGCATAACAATTACAAACAAATCTGTCGTGTATTAGCCACTTACTTTTGGTGCGAGGCAAACACCGAATAGTTCAAACAAAACTATCGACTATACGTAGACGTAGAAAATTCAAATATGCGAGCGATTCTATTATAAGTGCTCTCAGGAAAAGAAAAAAGAATGTTTTTAGAGGGTGTGGGTGTGCTGTTGCTTAGATGAAGAAAAATTCACACCCATACCCTCACCCAGCTCCACACATTCTCCTAGTTCAAATGATTGTTTTTATGTCTTTGAAATCCATTGAACACGCAAAATAAATTGTATCTATATCGGAAAACTCTGTGGATTCATGTATGCTTTCAGAGATCTTAGATCATTTTTGTTGACATCTATCAATGGTTGATATTTATAATAAAAAACAGTTGAGTCATTATTATTACTTATTTTTCAGAAAACATGAAAAGAACAGGAAACAAGCCGTTCACATTCATATGAATATGTGCTGTGACAGATTAGAAGAAAAGAAAAATATCATGTTCTGTCAGTTCTTTTTCTCTCGGAAAATAATGAGAAAAGAATGCACATATCGTTACTTCCAGTAGGTCTCTGTTGGGAAAAAAAGAAATAAAAAATATAGTGTTATATTTTCTTTTTGCAAATCATAAGAAAAAGAAAAGATAATTGAGTATTTCTGTTTGAAAAATGCACTGTAACGATAATATTAACTTAGAAATAGAAGAACCATTGGAAACACAAGTGGAAAAACCTGTTCACAAGAAAGGAAAAATGATTCGTTCGTGGTGTAAACGTATCTTCACTCTTGATATTGTTTCAAATGAAAAGCATTATTTTCCAGTGTTCATCATCATTATATCTTTGTTACACGTTTCCATTCATCTGACAACATATATCAACATCTTATGGAGAGGTCAACGTTTTGCACATACATTACGTGATCTTTTGAGTTTCTTTTTACCCTGTATGCGACCAACATCTGATGATAATCGGTTGCGTAAAGCTAGCTTTGAATCAGCGACAGAAAATCACACAATTAACTACGATGAACATATGAAATACATCTGCTTCTCTTTTCTATATCCACATCAATTATGGCGAATGATAACTGTTAATTTAATTCACATGGGTTGGTTCCATTTATTATCTAATCTATCAAAACAACTAATGTACGGTATTCTACTCGAACGTAAATATGGTTCAGTTCGAGTAATTACTCTCTACTGGCTTTCGGAGTTCGGTGCAAGTTTAAATTCTATGTTGAGTGGTAGCCGTAATTGTAAGTGGTGTCAATTCTCGAATAATTTTAAATTTTGATCATGATTACTAAGATTATTTTTTGTTTTGCAGTTGGTGTCGGTTCTTCCGGTGCTATATTTGGTGTATTGTTATTCTTCATTGTGGAACGTTTTTCTGCAATGAAAAACAACGTCAACCATCGTATTTCTATACTTATACAATTAGTTCTTTTGGTTGTTTTGCCCATGACTATTAGTATTTGTCAAATTATTATTTTGAAAATCGACCCAGCACATTCAGCTCATTTGGGTGGTGGTTTAGTGGGTGTTCTATTTGGAATCGGTATGTTTGGTTGCCCATGTTTGTATAATAATGAACATCATTCCTGTCAAACAATATGTCGACGAACAGCATTTGGCGTTCTCTTTCTATACTTTGTTATAAGTTTGATAATTGTTTTTCGAACAAACGCACCATTTCTAGGCTCGATCATGTCGACAAATCCTAGTTGAAAAATCAACTAGTTTTTTTTTTGTAGTGTATATGTAGTAATCCAATTCTGATGTAATTATTTTATCAAAAGTTTATAAATGAATCACTCATTAATATCCTATTAATAGAATACTGAAAGCAGTTTCAAGTTCCTATTTTTTATTATTTGATCTTTGTTAAATAAAAAACTAATGAATAAAGAAACAAATTGTTTTCACGTCCTTCAGATTTTCTGATTACTGTTAATATATATTACAGAACAGAATACAAAATAAGACATCCTGTCAATTCTTTTTATCTCGAGATTTAATAAAAAAAGAAAAGCGGAATATACATTTTCTACTTCGGTAAACATAATATTATATTTCTTTTTTTTAAGTCATAAGAAAAAGAAAAGATTATTGAATATTTCTACTTGAACAATGTATTATCTTCTGTTTATGATTTTCCATAAATTTTTATTCTTGAGACTGTATCCAATGGAATCTATTCATCTGACAACATACATCAACTGTAGTTGGAAAAATTAGCGTTTTTTACATGCGTTACATAGTCTCTCGAAGCTGTTTCTTCCATATGTGCGACCAACTCCTATCGATATTCGTCGGTATATTATCGATTACGATGTCCACACCCGAGATATGCTTCGTGTTGGGATCACAACTTTTAATCGAAATTAAAATAGTCACGTTGCAATTCACTCTATCACTAGTAGAATATGATTGTAACGCTATTTGTTCCTCATTTGATGTATTATCCTTATCGTTCTGTCATTCTCTTTTAATGGATGGGTATATAAGTGTATGCTTTGTATGGAAGCGATGCGATTTTTGATAAGGAGAAATATAATAAAGCGCAATACCATCACCACTAATGCTTCTTCTATCATAAAATCATCACAAGGATATTCCATACTTAATATATAATGAAATTTTTTTTACACTATAGAGATATGAAGAAAGATAAATTATTAAAATCCATTTATAGTAAAGATCTACTGCTTCATTGATGATTTGATCAGAAAGAAAATGATAATGAACAAGTTAGGTTGCATCATTAAGAATATTTATTAGTAATTTTTATTCAATAAATATCCAACAATCATATTAGTAGATGAAACTTGCTGAAATATTTGTAAATTTTGAGTTTCTTTAAATATATTATTGAAATAAATGAATTTTTTATTTGTTACATTGATATAAATGAAATACATATGAGATTAACAATCTACACGAATCAATATCATGCTAACAATATTATCATTTACAAGAATTCTATTGAAGACTAAATTAAATCATATTTATTAATATCTAATGTAGAAATCGAGTGTAGGTGTTAATAAAGGCAAACATGTATTCGTTCTTGAAAAGTGGATTGGTTGTGATAATAGTATAAATTACTAATATCGTGAAGGCCAAATAGAGAAGACGGGATTAGATGAAGTAATATTATCTAAATAAGTAATTGTACGATTCGATGCCTTCATGTACCATGCACAGGTGAACAGTTTTCTGTAACGTCCATCGATACTTTACGGCTCGCATTGATAAGTTGAAAAACTAAATCGACTTGTTCGAAGCCGATCTTCATGAGAAAATTGGTATGTGTACCATAGCTCTTATTACCAACGATAAAAAAATTATTTTCCGTTGTCATTAAGCTGTTTGCCCCGTGACTTATTTGCTGAAGACAGTCGTTGACAATCGATGACAATAATTTGGCAGCCAACGCTATCGGACCCTTTGTGAGAGGACATTCATGCACGTTCAAATTTGCATAGAGACTGCGATCGGGCTGCAAACCAGTATTGACAATGACATAGTCAATGTTGCGCAGAAGTCGAGAAGAAGAGGCTTCTAGCGTTACATCGACGGCAGTGGAAGATGATGTAAGAACGAATTGTGTCACAACCGTGTTCGTGTAGATCTCATTAAAAGTGACACCATCAGCATAGATTCGATTGGCTTCGTCAGCGAGGTGACGCCGTTGTTCAAGTGGATCGTTCGGATTGCTACAATAAGGTAAATGATCGACCGATTGTTTAATAACCCAGAATAGTTGTGTTTCTGGATAACGCTTTTTAAGTTGACCTATGGAGAAACAATTAAAAGAGTTATACGCTGCTTGATTAGATAGAGTGCGGGTTCTATTTTGGTTTTGCGATGAGAGAAAGACACTATCCCCGTTTTTAATCTCTCAAACGTTTTCATCATGAATTCTTAGCACTACAATAATACTGAATAGAAAGATTTCAGGGAAAAAACATTTTCTGTCGCATATCTACGTTTGCACAAACTCGATTTTGGAATCAGATATACGAAATGACAGAGGAGGATAAACAAGCTCATGAACGGAACTAGTAGCGGTTTAAGTTTTGAGAAGTAGACTGATTGGACTCTAGCTCAGGTTGATCGATCCGTCACAAAGTTTTGTTGATAAGTACTATTTTTATAAGAAATTGATTTTCTACTACCAGTTTTGCAAAATATATCTAAAATATAACATTAAGTTTCGAGTTTCATATCGGTGTTAAATCGATATGTTGCAAATATTATTTCCTTACATTCTGTACGAGAAATAAACTCAGAATAATAAAACACAAACTATCTACAAAATATCAAAACAGGGGCTTACCTAAGAACACGGCCGACGTGGCCGCACTATGACCTTTGCCTATGAGAAGAATTCGTTTGCCGGCAAGATACTCATCGCGCTCATTGGGTACTCGGTAGCTGATGAGTGATGACGCTGTCATACGTAAAGTTCGTTCGTTGATGGCTGGTAACTTGCCAGGACCGGCAAAATTTGGACAACCGTATGTCCCACTAGCATCAATGACGCAGTCCATACATATATATTCTTCGCGGTTGGTGTATCCATTTTCCACAAGAATAACGAATCCTTTGATGTGATGACGACCGACAGAAATGACTCGATGACGTAGTCGTATATTTGGTTGTAGGTGACAGCTAATGGGGCGTAGATAGCGCTCGATGTACTCGTTACCGGTCAAGTACGCACTATCATCTTTGTTCGTCTCTACATGGGCCCGACCCAGCGGCGATATATTCATGTTCAATGGTGTAAACAATCGGACATCGGACCAGGAGCGTATATTGGTTGCAGTATCGTCACCAGATTCAAATATAATAAATCGATAGCCATATTGAAGCGCGTGCAAACCACATTCGAGACCAATAGGACCACTACCAATGATACCGATGAGAAACGCGTCGCCGGAAGTCATGTTTACCTTTGAACGTTACCTACAATGATAAAGCGGCAAAACTGTTTTTTGTTATCTAACTTTTCCAGTTTTTATCTATGTAGATTGTGAAAAGAATTCGCAGATATTGTCTGATAGAGATTCTCAATCTGATCACAACTATATCTGTTGAATTGAAAATTGACGTCTGAACAATGCCGATAGTAAAAAGTTTGTTTAGAGTGCTTGTATACTTCTATTGAATACTTAATGAAACACAAGCTTTCAAAATCAGAAGAGAAGTGAGGTGAATCAACTTCATTCCATTACAACTAAAGGGAACAGACAACAGTGGAGAAGCGAAGGAGCAAAGAATGAGTCTATTCACTGATTAACAATACACGAACAGAATAATTTATATATAATTGGAGAGGAAGAAGCGAATAGAGATGATAAATGTCATGACCTTCTAAAACAGCCCATTCAACGTAGGGTTGCAGTATGAGTATGAAATTAACATTAGGTTTTGATTTTGATTACAATGAGTCGTAATAAGAATTCGAATTCTAATGCTTTGGCAATGTCCATTAAATTAAGTAAATAATTTTAAGAGGAAAAAGAATTAATCCAACATTACGCTCTACAGTAAATTCCCGTCACTTACGTGCTAGTTTGTCGTTTCTAGAATTTATTTATCTGTTTGGCGTAGAAGAGACGACCTGTTATTTTTCTCTTTTCTTGTTCTCCTTCTTCGTTCTGCGCTCTACACATACACAAACAGCATTTTTCTTTCTTCTAATGCGTCGTCCTTCTGAGCGAGAAAAAAATATGCATCGGTCATTCTCCACCATACATATGCAAATAGTATTTTTCTTTCTTATAATGTATCGTCGTTGCGAAGTATGAGTGTTGGTGTCGATGACGGTGTAGATATACGTGAAGACGTCATTACATACGTGCACACAACCGTCATCTGATTATTTAACTAAATCTTCTTATATCATATTACATATTAGAATCAGAAAGTTAATCTTCAAAGCAAACATACAAGAGCTATTTCTTAGCATTATTTACGACTATATATTCAGATTTTATCGTCAGCAATGAAACATAAATCGTAAAATGCACTTGATTCTCACTTGTCTTTTCGTGACACCAGTAATTCAAGGATGGCAGTGGCAGAAATGGACAGGCACATTCTCTACCGATGTATCACCATGTAATCGTAACGTTTGCTGTTGTCTATCGGAAAATATCGTGCTGACCTGGAGTCCGGGCACTCTTCATGCTGCTTTAAAATTTGCTGGTCAATGTGGATCTCTGACGAGTCTAGCAGTAACAACACCCTATCCTGCAGGCTTAACAACATCACTCTCGATTGGACCCGGTCAACCAACTCAGCTGACTCTTAGTTCAGATAGTCTGACTATCATAGGCACATCTCCCATCAGCCCTGTTTGCAATGGACGGGCTCGACGTATCAGTTGGTTACCTTGCTTCTATCGACAAAAATGATTGTAGTTCTTTATATTTACTCGAATAAATAATCTTATCTTGAGGGTGTGGGTGTGAGTAGAGAATACTCATCCACAGCCTTAAAATGGATGAGAGTAATATTCTCATACCCCGCTCTCAGACCACATCCACGCTATTGGTAATTTATTCATCGATCCCATAAAGGAAAAATATGTAAATACTTACCTTTCTTCCAACGTTTTGACTGGAAAAAAACAGTATAAGTGCCTTTTTCTTTCTCTCTATGTGAAAAATGGTTTTTACCAATTTAAATATTGATTACGAACACATATAAAAAGATTACAGTTTTACAGTAATAGACTACATTTAAAACATTGAATTTTATTGCTGAATCAATGACAATGAATTGTTCTCAACTGATCGTCTGGTTGGATGCAAATGCCAATGATTATACTAGCAGTTTTCGTAAGAAACTAACTGATAATGAACATCAATGTGTAAAAATATTTACTGAAGTCAATCCATGTATAACATTCATTGAAACACATATTAACCAAACAATATTTTTCATCCTTTCTGGTTCGTTTGGTTCAGAAGTAATACCATTAATTTATCATTATGATCACATCAGTCAAATATATTTATTTTGTGCTTCAATTGTATCACATACTAGTTGGGCTATAGATTACGCAGATAAAATGTTAATGTTCGATCATGAAAATGATTTACTTCGAAGACTTTTTAAAGATATAGAAGAATATTTACGTCTACAAGCAGAACAATATCTTAAACAAGCTAATCATTGTAAAGCTTATGCAGAACTATTTAAACAAGATCAATGTGGTTAAAATAAAAGAATTTTCATTATTAATTTTTTTTATAGAAGTCAACAGTTTATTTTAATCTGATATTTACATTCATACTAAATTTAATCAATCTTTTTGCCTTCTAGGAAGATCTGAAAGTTTTACAAAGAAGTAATATCGATTAGTGCGTGTGTGCATAGATGTAGATAGATGTGGGTATAAGATTCAAGCTACGTCAATCATACCCACTCCAGGATATATTATTCCGGAATAATTTGTGTGATTGTAAGATGAGTACTCTTAATCATTTACAGAGATATCTACATCACACCAAATCCATGAAGTACTGAAATTAAATATAAAATTTGGAAAAAATCGGTAATCAAGTCTTAGTCCCTAGAAAACTACGATAGTTAATCCGAAAGTGTAGCTGCATAACTTAAAAATTCTAGTTTATAAACTTTTTATGCGTATTAGGTACGTAAATTCTAACTGTAATATTTTGATCGTAATAAAAACTATGTTCAAACGCATGATTTTCAAAATAAAAGAATATTGATAATTTGCAATAGTTGTTAACTATCTTCTGTTGTAATTTAAATGTTTGACGTGTTACAATAATTTGTGTTAATCTCGAATGATCCATACTCTTAGAAATCAGTTCTTATGACTTAAATAAAGTTTCATTAAAAAAAGTCACTTTCTCTCTTATAGTTTCATCTGAAATTGGCTGCCTCACTCTTGTGAAATAAGTTTGAGCGAGAATGAAGGTGTGTTATATGCATCGCAAACGTACAGAAGTATATTTTTCATCAAAGAAAAAAATGCAGTGCCGCCATATTTTTCTTCGTTCTTCGCATACTCATCTGCCATTTCTAAACGTTCTTACATGCCGATGACGTGGCAAAAAAAGTAACTAGAACACACACGTGTAATGTTTTTCTCTTCTTTTTTTATATAAATACTGTTGGTTACATACAACATTTTTATTTTCTTTAACGTATCACATATAATTACATAGCGCAAATGTCAACATATAAACTTTATTATTTTAATGTTCGTGGTCGTGGTGAAGTAGCTCGATTAATTTTTGCTGCGGCTGATCAAAAATATGAAGATGTCCGTTATGAACGTGAAGAATGGGCATCACATAAAAGTGAAATGCCTTTAGGTCAAATGCCTGTACTTGAATACAATGGTGTGAAATTACCTCAATCAGCAGCTATTAATCGTTTTCTTGCCAATCAATTTCATCTTGCTGGCAAAGACAATTTTGATCAAGCGAAAGTAGATGCTGTTGTGGATACAATTAATGATATGGTAAGCAAATTTATACCAATTAAAATGGAACAAGATGAAACAAAACAAAAAGAACTTATTAAAACATTTATTGCTGATGAATTACCTAAACATTTACAGAATTTGGAAGTTTTAGGTAAATTGTATGGTAATAGTGGTCCCTATTTTGTTGAGAATAATTTAACATGGGCAGATTTAAATTTCTATGATCTGGCACAACATTTACTTCAAAGGGATGAAAACGTATTGAATAATCATCCTTGGTTAAAAGAAAATCGTCAACAAGTCGAAAAACAACCAAAAATTGCTGAATATCTCAAAAATCGACCTCAAACATGACATTAAAAAAAACAATTATAGATGATTTTATTCTTATAAAATTCATTAAATAAACTAGTGAAACAATTTTTCAACTAATTTCTCTTTTCTAAGATCTTGAGGGTATGGGTGTGGGTGTCGGTGGATAAGAACAATAGTCATACCCACACCCCTACCGACAATTACGTGAAAACTTTCCTCTGATTTTCACTACATTCATATTCGACCATTTTATTAAAAATATTGTTAGCATCTAATCAAATCGAAAAAAGCTTTTCGAAATACAGTTCCACTACTTAAAGTATAAACATAGAATGGAATTCCATTAGCTAAATAAGTAAGAAGAAGAACAAAATTATAAATCATATTTTCAATAGCTACATGAAGATTAGATTTAACTTCTTCGGATGTAAATGTTGAATATAATTTTTCGATAGATAATGGAATTGTCAATAGACCAAGAAGAATTACTTGTACAAAAAGCATTACCAACAGATGATGATCAGCTTTATTCGACCGTTTTGTCGATTTCGATTGACTGACAGTTAATACATGTGCCGTTGAATGATAAATACGATTTCGAGAATGACGTACATTTGAAATAGTCATCAAACCAAAGACTATCATTATTGCTAAAGGTATAAGAATAGCACAAATAGCAAATAACATATCGTTTATTAATCGACATGCCATTCCATTGCTAAAACATTTGCCTGGAGTGTTAATAAGATTTGATTCGTAACAATAAAAACATTGACAATGAACAATAGTTGAGAAAAATGTTACTGCAATGATACCAAGTCTAGCATTTTTAATTGAACTAAGATGTCGTCGATGAACATCCATAGATGATAAAAGCCATCGATCAATTGTTGCTAACATAATCAACCAAAATGCAATTGCACGAAATGTAAATAAAGTAAAACCACGCATTTTACAAATCCATCGAACTGTATCAGAAAGATCAATTGTTATACTACTTAATATTCGAGGACTGAGTCCAGCAATAAGTGAAATAAGAGCAGCGAGTGAAGAATACAAGAATAATATTGCACAGGGATTTGAACGAAGAATTTTTTGTGATAAAACAAAAATATTCAAAATATTTCCAACACAACCAAAAATGAATATAAATGTAGCAAAATAACGATTCGTTTGTGTAACTATATTATTTAAAGTTAGTACTTGGTCTGCACTCGATGATGATGATGATGATGACATTGTATGTGATATATGAAATATGTGCATGATATTTGAAGAATCCAGTACTTTTATATCTACGACATGCAGATGTGCGCGCCGCCGGTAATTAATGACAATTAATAAAAAAGAATGATATTGCGTGATTAAACGAGTAGATATTCAAAATAATCTAAGATGAAATGTTTTCATGTTTACTTCTTCTTATGATAGATATGTGACAGACACAATAGATTTTGCTTTCACTAATAATATGGAAGTGTGTTCTTATTCATTTTTTCATTAATAAAGACAAATGTACTGAATCGATAGCACGCATTCGTGTTTGAGGTAGTATCATATACAAGATGTCAAGTAAATTCTAGAAGAAATTTTTTGCACTTATAAAGATCATAAAAAACTTCTATTTGAATCTGTGTATATCCAATATATAAATACGCAAAATTTATCCATTAATATTTAGTTCTAGCATTGATTAACTATAATTTATAGAGCTTGATAATGGCTATCAACCGAAACAACGAAAAATAGTCAATATTAGAAAAGTCACAATTGATGCACTTGTTGTTCAGCTAGAAAGTGGTGCTAAAACACCTAAATGATAAAGATTAAGACTTTTATTGAATTTTAAAAATGAAGTAAAGTTGTCGTGATTAATTATGTTTTCATGAAAAGAATAGAAGAAAAAAATGAGATTAGGTAATGAAAGTCTTAATTTTTCTGTCCTGTCGTCTTCCAATGATTAGCGAGACCAACATGTTGTTGGTTGATCGTTTATATCCATCCAAAATCGTGTATCATTACGAACATTTCCATACGAATAATAACTCCATCCTCCACTTGGGTAGTTATTTCCATGACTCGCACCCCATTGTGTCCACTGAGCATTAGCATATGTTGCGCCATTCATTCCTGGAATATAACGACTATCATGAAACTCGGCTGTAACCCATCCTGGACCAAATGCATCTTCACAGTATGCATCAACATCTCTGATAGATGAAAATGTAGAAGCAGCAACTTTTGGAGTTGTTGCAATGTAACCCATTGTCCAACCACAATAGAATTCTTTTGGCATTGCATGGTCAGTACATGTCATTGCATAGGCTGGACGTGGTGATTTATCGGTTTGTTTACAAAGGACAGGTAATCTTGTATTACAATCTGTATCACCCGAATAAGGATTGCAGCCTTTTGCAGTATCGCATGTAACTAAATCAATCGCCAAATCATTTTGATGAGACACTTTCGCTACAGTCATACCCATTTTACCTAGAAAAAAGAGAGATTAAGAATACGTTACTAGAAATGAATAAGAAAAACTTACCAGATACATTTGAAATAAGTACAACCGAAAATATCATTAGTGAAGCCAAGTAACTAGTAACAGAAACCATTTTGAATAATGGTGATATTCACTATGCTTGTAGTCGAAGAAACGATATTATGTTTTCAATGTGATTTGAGCAAATATTCTCAAACTGCTTATATACCTTTCTGATCTGACGTACCTTGATGTATATATGTCACTCGAAATCATTAAAAAAAGTGATGATATTTTAGTTCCGAACTTCGTCTCTACTTATTATCAAAAGGAGTCGGAACTAAGATATCATTACTTTCTTTCATGATTTCGAGTGAGTAATATGCATCAAGGTAAGTCAAACGGCTCTTTCTTTCTGTCGACAAGTAAAAATACAAAGAATATAAGAAAAAAGATAATTAACGATAAGGTTGATAGATTTTTCTCAAAGTATTTGTATAGAGCTAGGAAGTAATCGGACGGGTATATAAGCAGTTTGAAAATATCTATTCAAATCACATTGAAAACATAATATCGTTTTTTCTACTACAAGCATAGTGAATATCACCATTATTCAATTATTCAAAATGGTTTCTGCTACTAGTTACTTGGCTTCACTAATGATATTTTCGGTTGTACTTATTTCAATCGTATCTGGTAAGTTTTTTTCAATGATCTCTAACCACTTGTTCTTAATTTATCATTCTTCTAGGTAAAATGGGTATGACGGTGGCAAAAGTGTCTCATCAAAATGATTTGGCCATTGATTTCATTCAGTGTGATACCACCAAGGGCTGTAATCCTTATGCAGGTGATACCGATTGTAGCACAAAACTACCTGTTCTCTGTAAACAAGTTGATCAATCACCACGTCCAGCCTATGCTATGATATGCACTGCTAATGCAATGCCAAAAGAGTTCTATTGTGGTTGGACAATGGGTTACATTGCAACAACTCCAAAAGTTGCAGGTTCTTCATTTGCATCTATCAAAGATGTTGATGCATATTGTGCAAATACACTTGGTCCAGGATGGGTTACAGCTGAGTTTCATGATAGTCGTTATATTCCAGGAATGAATGGTGCAACATATGCAAATGCACAGTGGAAGCAATGGGGTGCAAGCAATGGAAATAATTATGCAAGCGGAGGATGGGGGTATTATTCGTATGGAAATGTTCGTAGTGATACTCGATTTTGGATGGATATTATTGGTCAACCAACAACATGTTGGTCTCGCTAATCATTGGAAGACGACGAAATAAAGACTTTCATTATCTAATCTCAATTTTTTTCTCCTATTCTTTTTATGAAAACATTATTAATCACGACAACTTTACTTCATTTTTAAAATTCAATAAAAGTTTTAATCTTTATCGTTTAAATTTTTTATCACCGCTTTCTATATGAACAACAATCGAGCTAAACTCTTTTAGAATAAGTCTCTGAGAAAACCAGATACCGGCTTTAGTTTGACATCTCGGATTTCGCTGATTGAGGGTGTTGGTATGTAATGATATGATCACCCTCATTCATATTCTTTTTATTTTCTGTTTTGTTTTGTATGATGCTATAACATTACCATTCATATTACTTATCTCAAAATTTATGTGTTCTAATTCTACACAAAAGATTGAAACTTTGTTAAAAGAATCATTATATTACAAATCTTTGACTTTTCTACATTAAGAAAAATTTTTTTCAAAAATATCACTGATAGTTGTTTATCAGTATTAATTTTATATTAGAAAAACGAATTTACTATCAATGCAAGAAAAACTTTGGTTTTTAGTAAAAAAGAAAATAGAAATATCACATTTTTACGATTCTATTTATAATTACCATGCGTTTCTTAATACATATTTTCTTTCTTTTTCTGTTCTGTATTTATACAAAGCAAAAACGTGCTTTTATTTACATCAAAAAGTAAATTACAAGTAACCTATTCATTATCGAGCTGTAAAAAACATCAAATTTTGCATGTCGTTATCACCATCATTTATAAGATTTCTAACAGAAAGAGGATCCAGACGTGATACTCCTTGTGTTAAACTACTAGTTTGGTGTATGTGTACTTGTGTATGAAATCATTGAATATCATCAATTAAATACATACGTCGAACGTTATTGTCAGATTAAATTCAATGAAGGTCTCGGTCCTTTGAAAAAAGGTCGATAGAAACCAGCATGGAATATTACCATTTTAGATGAGGGAAATGATGAAAATTGTATTCTCACGAACTATTCACAATCGATCGTTAACATTCGTAGAATCCACCACTTCTGACTTTGTGGTTGTGGATGTAGGTTTTATTTTCATCTCTCATCTTTACTCTCGAAATCACATTCACACCTAGTGCTAATTCCGCATCGAAAATTCAAAAATAAATAATTAAAAAAAAGAAGTTACAAAAGAAGTAAAGCATGGCTTTTTAAACAGGTTTAAGAACTAAATTTTCAACTACAGATATTATGTGTTGTGATAACAGTGTCTTACTTTTACTTTCTTGTATTTCATCATCATGTTTGAAATAATATTGTTGTATTCTGTTAACATTTGCACGACACTAGTGATGTCGCAGAAAAATAACGACTCTCGCAATCAGCTAGTTAAATAAAGTTTAGTTAATTGTTTAAAAAAAGAAATGTTTCGTAACTAAGAATAAGACATTCTTTGTATCTTGTTAATATCAGCAGAGAATCATTATTCATATTAAAAATATCTTTTCTTTTTCTTTTTTTTTCTTTCTTTAGTTTTAAAAAATAATTCTAAAAATATTTTTCTTGTCATAACGAAGCTTCATCAAATTAAATACACAACAAATTTCTTATTTTATTCTAAACAGAAGAAAATATCTTTTGGTAAGTACTGACTTTTGTATAGTTTAAAAAAACAATCCTGATTCTTTCGGATCATCATGGAGACTATCGAATGAAAATTTCTAGATAAAAAATATTCATATTGCAGAACAGTAGAAAAAAATTTTTGAAAAAAAATAAATAATCAGATATTCAAAGATTTTATTTATTAAAAACTGTAGAAAACTATAGGGAAAATAGAAGATTATTGTAATAAACTTTCATATATGTTGGCTGAATCATATTTCTCTGTACAATTTCTATGGAGATAAATGAATATTTTTTTTTCTCATATTCTTTTTATTATTTGAAAGAAAAATATAATTACACAAATGAGATTTATTTTTGCAGCTAAACTATATATTTGTGATACTGTCACATAATAAGTCGATGTTTAATATTTATAATCATGATTTTTTAATCTAAATTCTTGTCTAAGATCACTATCGTTACACATCTCTTGATTTTCAATAAAAATAATTTAAATATTGTATTTATTCTTGCTTTTTCTTTTCCAAGTCGACAAACCGAGAACGACGAGAGAAGAAAATAGAATCATCATTAACATGATGCTATAAAGTCGAACAAAAGAATATTTTTGTTTCAAAAATACGAGAAATCTATAGTTTTATCACTGTATGTATTATTTCTTACGTTTTACAAATAGCTAAATATAAAGAAAAATATTAATTAGAATTTTTTTTAAAATTATCCTAGGAAATACGTATTATACTTGATATTTTAAGTAAAAAAATTAGAAAACGACTATTCTCCATTACATGAATAGAATTATATCATAAGACGTACCATATTTTATTTAGAAATGTAAGAAAGAATAGTTTTCTAATTGTACAAAATTGTTTTAGAATATGAAAGTTATTTATAGAAAATGCACAAAGAAAAAATTTTCCTTATTACAATATTAAAAATAAGTAAAGCATCATGGCGTTTACTCTACATTATTTCTTCATGTTTGTTGAACTCACTTTGAATGTCCTTTTTTTTTCTTTCGATGATTCAGGGAAAAAAACAATAGAAAAGATTACTTTTTAAATTAAACAACTAGTTTGAATATATTCTCAATTAAGAAATTGCAACGATGCAGATTCTACAAAAGTAAAGTGTAATTATTTCAATTGGAGAAAAATGTATATTAGAATATATTGAAAAGATGGATTTTCTTGTATTGATATATACTAGTTAAATACAAATATTTGTTCATATTCTCTTTCTCATAGAGAAGAGTGCAGCAAACATAAAGTATCTACTTGCGGATTCACTTTTCACTGGTTAGTCGAAGAATATCGACCATACATGCATGTTCTATTGAATTATGTAATGACTAATTCTATGGTAAGTATTAATTAAATTAATAATTTTTGTTTTTCTTTGTAGATTATTTACATCGATCAAACGAACAGGAAGTAATTCTTTTTTTAAAGCAAATTTCATTTTTTATATTTAGGTTATTTATAATAATAAATCGACTAGTAAGTGTTAGTGCATTTAAGTAGATTCTGTTTTTTATTTATTTTCTTCGTAGATTATTATCAAAGATAAATCCAATAGCAAGTATTGATTAAAATAAATGGGCTTTTCAGCCTTGTCGGAGGATCCGATTCTATTTTTTTCTTATTCAATATCTATGATATATGAAAATATAATTGCTATACGAATAGTATATTTCCTAAAAAAATATATTTTCTTGGTATATCATAGAATTTGCATCAAAATAAAAACCATTAGGACCTTCGATCAGACTAGACATTACGAATATTAGTTTTTATATTCTTTGGAGACTAATCAGGAGCGATGGAGGATACAAGAGGTTTATGGAAAGACGGTGATAAATTCCAATCCTTTTAAATATACAGACCATTTTCTATCTGTATTATCTAGAGTATAAATGCAATCCTTAAATTTGTGTTCCACTAACTGATCGTGTCATCATGTTTACGCATGCGGCACTACTAACGAGGGCACCTCCTGAGGTATCAAAAAACTTTTGAGCCGCAATTTTGCCCACAAGTAGAGGATACATAGATTAGAAAAAGTCTAGAAGGGTAAGGACCCATAGGCCTTTCAACCCGAGTTACGGTCATTTTAATGAATTTTTCAAATATGACAAGATATTCATGAAAAAAATCTACTTACAGAGTTTGGGTCTGAAACTTTGTCTACATATGGGTCTTATAACCCCTATCGTAGCCTAAAAATTTCAGCCAAAACTTATGTTTCTTTCACGAAATGTTTAGCTTTCGAAAAGCCCTCTTATACTACATACGTATCAAGAAGATCGACTTTTCTTGAGTACCCAGTATTTCGTGAAAGAAACATACGTTTTGGATGAAATTTTTAGGCTACGATAAGGGTTATACGATCAATATGTTGACAAAGTTTCAGACCTGAACTCTATAAGTAGATTCTTCCATGAATATCTTGTCATATGTGACAAATTCACTAAAATGACCGTAACTCTGGAAGAAAGGCCTATGGCCCTTATCCTTCTAGGCTTTCTCTAGTCTTATCACGTCCTACTTATGGGCAAAATATCAGCTTAAAAGCTATTGATCGCTTCGGGTACTTCTCTCATAAGACTATGTGAGATGAAGAACATTTTGTGAAAATGCCTGATTTTATCCGTTTACAATCGTATAATGAACTGTTTTGTACAACCTGATTTTTCATTCAATACCGCGATCCATTAATATGAAACTGAATTATATTTTAGATATTCAACATGATAGTGTTTGGCTTTCGCAGTACTTGGTTGTTTCTATTGATTTTTAGGCAAACATCGGGTAAGAACTCGATAAACTTTGTGTAGTCATCTTTCATCAAAAATAGATATGTTCGGGCACGTTCTTATAATCTTTATAAAAACCTTCGACTTATTTTCTAACCGAGAAGTGATCATATCTAGAAATTAGCGATTTCTTTGTATGTAACATACATATTCGCCGAGTCTTCTCTCGAGTTTCAATCAGAAGTATAAATGCAAAATTCTGAGTTAACGACGATCATTACTATTCGAATTCTATTTCATAGTTCTATGATTGTTCATAGGTATTTCATACAATCAACCAAAACTCTGTGCAAATGCAACGTGGAACCAGACGGCTATAACTTTTGCCACGAGTGCTACGATTGGCACAGGTCCTTTAGGATTGTTTGTCGATAGAAATAACAGTGTCTATGTCGCTGATGAAGCAAATGGAAGGATTCAAGTGTGGTTTAACGGAAGTACCACACTCACAGGCACTTACTCTGGTGGCTTATATGCACCTTATAGCGTTTTCGTTACGGACAATGGTGATGTTTATGTCGACAATGGCTATGCATATTATCGGGTTGATAAATGGGGACGGAATTCAACAAGCAGTGTTCCAGCTATGTATACGTGTGCACAATGTTCCAGTCTTTTTGTCGATATCAATAATATGCTTTACTGTGTAATGACTACATATCATCAAGTTGTCTCGAAGTCATTAGACACACGTTTAAATGTATGGAATATTGTTGCCGGTACAGGTACAGCTGGATCAACATCGGTTACACTTTATAATCCATGGGGAATCTTTGTTGATATTAACTTGAATTTGTATGTAGCTGATACTTCAAACAATAGGATTCAAAAATTTGCATCAGGACAATTGAATGGAACAACAATAGCAACAGGATCTATTGTATTGTCTGGTCCAACTTCAGTTATACTTGATGCTGATGGATATATCTTTATTACTGATGACTGGAGTCATCGTCTTATTGGCTCAGGACCCAATGGATTTCGATGTATAGCGGCATGTTCTGGATCAGCTGGTTCATCATCCAGCCAATTATATTATCCACATACCATGAGTTTTGACAGTTATGGAAATATATTTGTCACCGATGCAACCAATAACAGAGTACAAAAATTTCTTTTGTTACCAAATTCATGCAGTAAGCTAAAATTAATTATCTCATATTATAATATAAAATCGTATTTTCATTTATAGATAGAACGACAACAGTAACAACTATTGCCACGGGTATTTTCAAATAGTTTCTTATTGATTTATTTTTTACTAATAGTTTATATTTGTTTTCAATAGTAACTTCAATGAATGATACTCAATCAGTTTCTTTAACAACAATTACTCCTGGAATAAGCTCTACAACTGCACCATATTTAAACCGTATGTAATCATATAATAAGAAAGGAATCTTGTTTTGAATAGTTCGATTATTTATGAAATAATTTCAAAAGAGTAATAGAAAATAAATAAATTCAATCTCTGATTATGTCTTTATAAAGAGAGAAAACGTTTTATTTTGAACTTTGCTTGAGAAAAGTTGAGAGTATGGATGTAGGTGTGTAATGGGTGGGTGTATATTTGATAAATATGAAATTAATGAATATATGTTTTTGTAGCTATTTCATACAATATACCGAAATTCACTGCGTATACTACTTGGAGCTCCAATGGAATAACTTTAGCAGACAGCACCCTGGTCGGAACATATCCTTACGGTATATTTGTTGATAATAACAATACGGTATATGTAAGTGAGTATTCTTTAAATCGTGTTCAAGTGTGGCGTGAAAGTAGTAGCAGTCCCACAAGAAATATCTCCGGTACTTTAAACACTCCACATACTGTTTTCGTTACGAGTAATGGCGATATTTATGTCGATAATGGTTATGCAAATAGTAGAGTGGATAAATGGGCATTAAATACCACAAATAGTACTGTGGTAATGAACGTCAAATATATCTGTGTTGGTCTTTTCATCGATATTAATAATAATATTTATTGTACACCACTTAATTATCATCAAGTTAATACAAAATCATTGAATAGTAATTCAAATATATGGACAATCGCTGCTGGCACAGGTTGTGCTGGATCAACATCAAATACGCTTCATGATCCTCGCGGAATCTTTGTTGATACAGATCTTAATTTGTACGTTGCTGATTGTACCAACAATAGGGTGCAAAAATTCCTATCACAACAAGTAAATGGAATAACGCTTGCAGGAACTGGAGCAACTGGAACTATTAGTCTCAGTTGTCCTACCGGAATTGCTCTGGATGCTGATAACTATGTATTCATTGCGGATTATTACAATAATCGTATTGTTGGATCAGGACCAAACGGATTTCATTGTTTAGTAGGATGTTCAAGTGTTGCAGCTTCAGCATCTAATCAATTATATTATCCATCCAGTTTAAGTTTCGATAGTTACGGTAATATGTTTGTTGCTGATACATACAACCATCGGATTCAAAAATTTTATGTAACAAGTAATATTTATAGTAAGTAAAATAAAAGCTTTTTTTTTTTCTATAAAATTTAACAACTATGATAAAATCTAATTGAAAAGATTTATTTGAATTAACCAATTTTAGTTTCTTTTTTTGTGGAAAACACAATAGTGAAATTGATTCTGATTGTATTAAACTATCGAATTCTCTTAAAATCTTTATAAGATCGACCATACGATTAATATTTTTCTATTAGGAAATATTTAACTTGATGAATACGTTTGAAAAATAACATCAATAATTTTTTTAATTAATTTTTTTTAGGTACAACTACCAATCAACCAAGCTTCTGTCCATCTACGACTTGGTATACAGATGCGATTACATTTGCTAATAGTAGTACGGCTGGAACTTACGTATATGGTGTTTTTGTTAGTATTAATAATACTGTTTATGTAGCTAATCCACAAACTAATAAGGTTCTAGTATGGTTCGAAGGAAGTACTAATCCAGATAAAATTCTTTCTGGTAGTCTGAGTACACCATTTGACCTTTTCGTTACTCCTATAGGTGATATATATGTTGATAATGGTTACAATAATCGTCGAGTTGATAAATTTTCATTCAACTCAAATATAAGTACTTCTGTAATGTCAGTTCCTAATGCATGTGCTGGCATTTTTGTTGATATTAGTAATACTCTTTATTGTTCAGCATATACTTCTCATCAAGTTGTTAAGAAATGGTTAAATGATAATGTACTTACATCAACTATTGTTGCTGGTACAGGTGCAGCTGGATCAACAGCGACCACACTTTATACGCCTCTTGGGATTTTTGTCGATGCTCAAGTTAATTTATATGTTGCAGATTGTAATAACAATAGAATACAAATGTTTCCTGTTGGACAATTTACTGGAATAACTTTAGCAGGAGCTAGTGCACCAGGAACTATTACACTTTATCAGCCCAATTGCATTATATTAGATGATAACGGATATCTTTTTATTACGGATACTCTTAATCATCGAATAATTGGATCAGGACCATATGGTTTTCGATGTTTATTTGGATGTACGACAATAGCTGGTTCTGCATCAAGTCAATTGAATCAGCCAGTAATTTTAAGATTTGATAGTTATGGAAATATATTTGTCGCTGATAGATTTAACTATCGAGTGCAAAAGTTTATATTAGCATCAAATTCATGTAGTAAGTTATTTTTATATTATGTTTTCGATGATATGAATTTATTTTATCTTAGATATCTATTATAATCAACCAACATTTTGTTCTAATGCTTCATGGTATTCTAATGCATCAACTTTTGCATCAAGTAGTACAATTGGTACATTACCATATGGTATTTTTATTAATGGAATTAATACTGTATATGTACCTAATCGAGTTAGTAACACTATTTTATCATGGCCTCAATGGAGTACTACATCAACAAGTAATATTTATAGTAATTTGAGTAATCCATACAGTCTTTTTATGTCTATGACTGGTGATACTTATATTGATAATGGTTATTTATATGGTCGAGTCGATAAATATGCATTTAATACATCAAATCGTGTTACTGTTATGAATGTTAATGGAAGTTGTTATGGTTTATTTATTGATATTAATAATAATCTTTATTGTTCACTTAAAAATCTTCATCAAGTTGTTAAACTCTTACTTAATAATGGTACGACCATTCCGACAATCGCAGCCGGTAATGGTTCTGCTGGATCACTATCAAATATGCTTAATTCTCCTCAAGGAATCTATGTTGATAGTAATTTAAACCTATACATCGCGGATTGTGCTAACAATCGTATTCAATTTGTTCAAACTGGTCAGTTAGATGGAATGACAATCGTTGGTAATGGATCATCGGCAAATATTACACTCAACTATCCAACTGGAATTGTCCTTGATGCTAATGGTTATCTTTTTATTGTCGATAGTTATAATCATCGTATTGTTGCTTCGAGTTATTATGGTTTTCGATGTATAGTAGGATGTTCGGGAGGTGGTTCATCTGCGTCTCAATTATCTTTTCCACAAAGTATGGCTTTTGATAGCTATGGAAATATATATGTTACTGATCGAAATAATAGTCGAGTACAACAATTCGCTCTTCAAAATAACAGCTGTCGTAAGTTATTTGTATATAATAGTACATTATGAAATTGTAATTGATAGTTAGTTTTTTGCGACTATTATTTGAAAAATTGATAAAAATCAAATGAAATGTTGCTTTAATTAGTTAATCTCATATTAATGTTTTTGGTATAAATTCTCTCTAATTTGACTGAGTAAAGCACAATTGTTTTATACTTTAGCAATACCGACCACCACCACTACTACTACTACGAGCAGCAGCAGCAGTACCACAACTAGCAGTACTACTACTACCACCACTAAGACTACAAGCAGTAGCAGTACTACAAGTACCACCACAACCAGTACCACAAGCAGGAGTACTACAAGCAGTAGCAGTACTACGAGTACCACTACCACCACCACCAGCACCACAAGTAGCACTACTACTACTACCACCAGTACTACAAGTAGTACCACTACTACCACCACTAGTGCTACAACGAGTAGCAGCAGTACCACCAGTAGTACTACTACGAGCAGCAGTAGCACCTCAAGCAGCACTACTACCACGACCACCACTAGCAGTACTACTACTACCACTACCACTACAAGTACTACAACAAGTAGCAGCAGCACCACAAGTACCACTACTACAAGCAGTATCAGCACCACAAGTAGTAGTACTACTACTACCAGCAGTACCTCAAGTAGCACTACAACCACCAGCAGCAGTACTACAACGAGCAGCAGCAGTACCACAAGTAGTACTACCACTACTACTAGCAGTACTTCAAGTAGCACTACTACCACTAGCAGTACTACTACTACTACCACCACTAGTACTACTACAAGCAGTAGTAGTACCACAAGTAGCACTACTACTACCACCACCACTACAAGTACTACAACAAGTAGCAGCAGTACCACAAGTAGTACTACTACTACCACTACTAGTACCAGTACTTCAAGTAGCACCACTAGCAGTACTACTACGAGCAGTACCAGTACTTCAAGTAGTACTACCACGAGTAGCAGTAGTACTTCAAGTAGCACTACTACCACTACCACCACCACCAGCAGTACTACAACGAGCAGCAGTAGTACCTCAAGTAGCACTACTACCACTAGCAGTACCTCAACTAGCACCACTACAAGCAGCAGCAGTACTTCAAGTAGCACCACTACTACGACCACCACTAGCAGTACCACTACAAGCAGTAGCACCACTACAAGCAGTAGCAGCACTACAAGTAGTAGTACCACAATTAGTACTGCCACTACCACTAGTAGTACCACAATTAGTACTGCCACTACCACTAGTAGTACCTCAAGTAGCACGACTTCCATCATAACTTCTCAAGGATTAGCTATCAATGAAAGTAATAATATGAATAATATAAAAAATAGTTTATCAACCTTTTCTTTTTTAAACTAGCTTGTTATTCACCGACGATTACATTGATTCCTGGACAATCATCTTTATCATCTCCAATGACGTATCGACGTAGTCAAGATTTTTCTATTAGTTCAATGATTCAATTTAATTGTGATGGTTCACTTTCAACAACTACAAAATGGACAATAAAGAATTGTACTTCAACTAGTTGTTCATTTGACATTCTATTAAATGAAAAAGTTATGACAGCATATACTGAACTTTATATTCCATCAAGAACTCTTGCTTATGGTGTTTATCAATTAACACTAACTGTAATAATGATTGATTCACCAAATTTAAAATCTTCATCTTCAGTTTATGTGAGAATAACTGCAACAGGTATAACAGCAAATCTTGTTCAATTAGGAACATCTATGGTAACACGAGGTGATCAACAGGATCTTTTACTTGATCCTGGAACATTTTCAGTTGATCCTGACGAAGATACATTTGATGCAACTGTAAGTAATATATGTGTAGGTGAGTATTAAAATAATTTTATTTTTATTTTTAATTATAGAAATGGAAATATACATATTATTGTCGAATTTATGGTTTATATAATTTTCCAAATATACAAGGCATATTATTATCAATTGATGATTCAAGAATTGATCCTTATAATCCATCATGTTTGTCAACTCGATCAGGTAAAATTATTAATGAAAATCTAATTCAATCATTTTTATTTTTTTTTTAAAAAGGAAATGGAACAGGATTGATACTCGGAAATTTAACTTTATCACCTAATTCATCTCTAAAAGTCCTCGGTGGTTCTCTTCAATCTAATCGAATGTATCAATTTATGGTTTATATGGAAAATCGTAAGAATTCTTCTATTCAAGCAACAGGTTATGTACTGGTTACAATTGAAGTTACTCATCCACAACTGATTGCTGTTGGGTAAATTCTTTATGAGTTTTTAATTGAATTATTCTAATGAAAAATATTTATTTTAGTTGTGTAATATCATCAATGTGTGTTCCAAATCTTGAATTTCAACTTCTTAATCCAACAACACAAGTTGCTTTATTTACTGTTTGTATTGGAACTTGTACAAATCTTCAAAGTATTAAATGGAATATTTATCAAGGATCAGACAATTCAACATCTTCAAATTCTACCCAATGGACTTTATTTAATAATACGATTCTATATGAAAATATTTGGTTTTTTGGTAAACATTTTGTTTTTTTAATTATCCTATATATTTATTGATTATTTTAGGTACAAATACAAGTAATTTCACAGCAACAGATCTATTATTTCTTAATAATCTTCAAATAAGTCTTTGGCGTTTTGAAGTTGTTTATACATTTCTATCCGCAATAAGTACAAGTGCATTAAATTTTATTATTAATCAACCACCTGCAAATGGTTCATGTTCAATCAATCCTCTTAGTGGTACTATAACTACTTTATTTACTATTGAGTGTCCAAATTGGTATGATGTAGATGGAATACAAGATTATTCATTATATGGTATGTTTACTTTTCATTACGAACTGACTTTTGTACTTTCTGTCATTTTAGCATGGACAACAGACATATCACAACGAACAATAATTGCATTTTCACCGGAGTATAATTTTCAAGTTCGATTACCAGCTGGTGATAATGAAACTTCATTACTTAATCTTGTTGTTTATGTTCGAGATCTTGCTGGTTCTGTTACACAAGTGAATATATCTTCTGTTAATATTATTAGAGATTTAGCAACAATCAATGATTTAATTGATAAAATAACAAATTCATCGAGTACGATAACAAATAATCCAGTTGTTCGATTACTTTCAAGTGGAAATCAAAATGTTGTTGGACAAATAATGACTGCATTATCACAAGAATTCAATCAAATGAATAGTGAAAATTTAGATCAAGCTATTTCAAGTAATTATTGATATTTAGCTTACGATAGATAATCAAAATAATCTTTCTTAGGTGGAATACCAGCTGCAACTATTTCAGTATCATCATTAGGAAGTCAAACTTTACAACAAGTAATTGAATTCAATAGATTTTATTTTATTTTACTTCTATTTAAAATAGATTTCAATACCATTAAATGAATCAGCTTTGATTAATTATAGTATACAATTAAATTCTCTAGCAAATGTTCGAGATTATCTAGTAACATTTATAACTAATCTTCTTATAACAACATCAAATAGTATTATATTACAATCATCATCATTAGTTCAGTTAACTCAATCAACAAATCAATTAACACGAAATACTTTAGTAAAAATTATAAAGAATATTTCTTTTGAAGATTTCTATATTTCTTAATGATTCTAGTTGCTTGTATCAAATCGATGTTACGAATTATCTGCTGCTCTATATGCAATATTTGAAAAAATCTCATATGAAGATGCTCAATCAGCATCAAATCAACTTTTTCAATGTGCTTCAAATATTTTAAATGTAAAACATATATGAAATCAGTATTCTTATTTCTCTATTAAACTCTTGAGGCTGTGGGTGTGGATGATGATACGAAATGAAATCAGCACCCACACGCTTCAATGATTTTGACATAAAATGAATTTTTTTCTTCAATTATTGATTCTGCTAATTTTAGGCCGTGAATGGACCATTACAAGGACGAACAGAGGTACTTGATTTAGATAATTCTCGTGCAAATGTCATATCTACTGATTATGATACTGATCTTGAATCTGCGTGGTCAAATTTAAGTAAGATCTTTTAGATGATTAATTATTAATGAATTTGAATTTTTTGTTTTGAAGATTTATTTTCTGACGGAAATGATTTTTCTACTGAAACAATTGAAAAAAATCGAAATATTTATTATCAAAAACAATTAGCAAATCAAATCAATAGTCAAGTAACACAAATCATATCATTACTAACTTCTTCATTAAATATTCACTTAAATATTGGTCAAAGTTCACTAATGAATACATCTCAATCATTTGTATCATTAGAAACTATATCAATTGCATCACTTAAAGATAGACTAGTGAAACAAGTTGAAAATGCTCAATTTAGTATCCCATCAGATTTTATTTTGAACACAACGTCTAATTCTTCAATTTCACTTCGAGTAATTTTCTACAATTTGAATCATTTTGATTAAATCATTTTTTTGTTTTATTCAGTCCAAAATAGATCCACTTGCTTCCTTTGGAAATTTTCAAAATACAAATCTTTCAAGATCAGTTTCACTTTCGATTATTGATCAAAATGGAAATGAAGTTTCTTTTGAAGCCCACCAAGATAATCCAATACAATTGATTATTCCTCGTGATCCAAATATATTAATTCCATCAATGTATTTACAAAATGTTACATCAATTACTTCAACTATTAATAATTTATTATTTAATTATCATTATATTAATATAACAAGTTCACTTCCAATTTCAGTTCATTTTGAAATTCATTCTTTAAATACAAATTTAGCTTATTTATTTATTTATAAATTTGATCAAACACCACAATTAAATAGTTCAATAAATATTATTGATGGATGGACAATTTCTTGTCCTTTCAGTATGTTTTCTTTTCTTGAACATTCATATAGATTTCTTTTTTTTGTAATTACAGATTTAACCAATGATGATATATATCGATATTTTATTAATAATCAACAAACACCTGGTCATCAATCATTAATATTTGGAATAAGAGAATTAAATTCAACTGAAATTACTAAGTATTGTTTAAATAGTTCTTCAATAAATACGTCTTTACCAATTACCGATGAATCATTTAATTTTACATCAAATTATGAACTTCGTATATATACATCAGGCTGTTATTATCTTGATGATAATAATAATTGGAAATCAGATGGATTAATTGTACGTATAAGATGAATTAAGAAAATAAAGATTATTCGATATTTATTTAACCATAGGTTGGATCATTGACAAATCTGTATGAAACCGAATGTCTTTCAACTCATTTAACAACATTTGCTGGTGGTTTTATTGTTTTACCTGCACCAATTAATTGGAGTTATGTTTTTGCCAATGCTGATTTTATGAAAAATAAAACGGTTTATTTAACAATGATATTTACTTCAATAGTTTATATTATTTTAATGATTTATGCACGTTTTAAAGATAAGAAAGATTTTGAAAAAGTAAACTAAAACATATTGTTTTATATATTTGATAAAATCAAAATTTGCATTTCTTTTTAGCTGGGAGTAACACCATTAGCTGATAATAATAAATCTGATCATTATTATTATCAAATTCTTGTTTTTACTGGTCAAAGAACAAATGCAGGAACAGAATCAAAAGTAAGATAGCACAAAGAAAATACCTTAATAAAACTTCCCTTTTTCTTCCTGCTAGGTTTATTTTGTTTTATCGGGTGAAAATGATCAAACACAAATTCGATTATTTTCTGATCCTCATCGAAAGATTTTTCAACGTGGTGGAATTAATTCTTTTATTATTGCTGTTCCAAAGTAAAACTATTATTTTTTTTTAAAGATTTAATAAAAGATTAACATATAGATCATTGGGCTTATTAAATTATATTCGTATTTGGCATGACAATACAGGTGAAGGTTCTTCAGCATCATGGTTTTTAAAATATATTATTGTTCGAGATTTACAAACTTTGGATAAGTTTTATTTTATTTGTCAACAATGGTTTGCAGTTGAAAAAGATGATGGACGAGTAAGTTGTCTAATAGAAAACATACTATTTCTTATTTTTGTCTTCAATTTAGATTGAACGAATTTTACCAATTGCTAGTGACGCAGAAAAGCAAGAATTTTCATATGTATTATCAAAAAAAGCTTATCATAGTGTATCCGATGGTCATTTATGGTTTTCAATATTTTCTCGTCCACCATCAAGTAAATTTACACGTGTTCAACGATGTACTTGTTGTTTTGTTTTATTCTTTACTTCGATGTTACTTAATATAATGTATTATGATTTATCAAATGAAGCGAACGCATCAAGTGAAACGCATAGTGGCGCTTTATCGATTGGTCCTTTTTATATAGCACCACAACAGGTATATATTGATTTTTATAGCGGAGAAAAATAGACTACACCCACATCCTTATGCCTGTGAAATATTCAATTTCTGATTAATGAAAACATCTTTTTATATTTAAGATTGGAATTGGTATAATGGTCGAATTATTTACATTGATTCCAAGTCTCTTAATTGTTCAATTCTTTCGACGTATTCAACCTCGTCAACAAGTCTCACGATTACGTGAAGCATTATATAAGATGAAACCATCTCGAAAAACGTTCGTATATATTTCTAAATACATTCATCGACACTCACATTCTTAATTATAGTAGTTCGAAAAATATTCCTGCAATTAAGAAAAAGAAATCTTCAGTAACATTTCCTTGGTGGTGTTTATTTATTGCTTATGGTCTTTCAATGATAATTATTGCTGTCTCAATATTTTTTCTCATTGTTCGAGGAATTGAATTTGGTGATGTCAAAACTCAACAATGGTTAACATCTGTTCTTACTGGTTTTTTCTCATCGGTTATTTTCACTCAACCTATTAAAGTATATTTTCTATTTACTCTTAATTTATATTTTTAAAATATATTGTCATTGAAGATTATATGTTTGGCTATATTCTTCATATGTTTTTGTCGAAATTCAAAAGATGATAAAGAAACAAGTGAATATATAAATGAAGATGATGAATTTAATTTATCCAATGATGAGGAATATCTTCATTCACTTGAGGTTTGTTTTCTTTTAGAATTCTATAGAAAAATTAATTTTCCATTTATAGTATCGTTCAATATTTTCTTCTCAATCTCGAAAAAGTATTAATCGTCTTAATGAAAATGAAATTATTTATGCTCGTGATCAACGTTTAAAAGAAATTCAAATGTGGGGAATTATTCGCGGATTCCTTATTTGTTTGATATTTGCCATATTAGTGTTTGTAATAACTTATTCAAGTCGTGAACAACATAGTTTTTCTCAAGTCAATCATTTACGAGCTTATTTTCTCAATCAAAGACAAACGACTGCTGGCTATACTCAAGTTTGTTCTTCTTTTCATGTGTTGAAAATGAATTTTGTTTTTCTAGATCAATACAATCGATGAATATTGGTATTGGTTAGAAAATAGTTTTGTATCAAATATTCGTGCACAACAATGGTATAATGGAGATACTCCACAATATCTAAATGGATTCTTAAATGATAAATTCAGTCGATTAATTGGTTGGGCAACAATGAGACAATTACGTGTCAAATCAGAATTATGTCCCGATCAACGTGTCATTTCAATATGCGAAGATAGTTATAATTTTTTTAACGAAGAAACACAATTATTTCAACCAGGATGGACAACAAATACAACGACTGAAGAATTCAGTTCATCAGTGTTAAAAGCATTTAACTATTCTACGAGTGATGAATTAGATACATGTACATATGTAGGGGAATTTGAAACATATAGAGGAGGTGGTTATGTATATGAATTTCGTGGTCCTTTATCCGATATGAAAACAAATTTATCTAGACTTCATCAATTAGATTGGATTGATGAGAAAACAAGAGCTGTTTTTATTCAACTAACATTATATAATCCAAGTGTTCAATTATTAACTGCAGTTACTTTACTTGCTGAATTTTTACCAACAAGTGGCGTTTATACAACAGCTCGTTTCGAACCAATTAATTTCTACAGTAATTTACTCTTTAGTTTTTATTTCCACAGACAAATAAATTTTTGTTTTTTGAATTTAGCATTTACATCAATATTACAATTAATTTGTACAATTTTCTATATATTTTTTATAATATATTTTATAATCATTGAAATTCGATTATTATTTGAATTAAGATTAAAATATTTTCGTCAATTTTGGTCGCTAATTCAATTAGGTATAATTGGTTGTTCATTGGGAAGTATTGGAGTTTATTTTTGGCGTTTTCAAGAAACTAATCGTATCAGTCAATTATTTGAACAAACAAATGGTTATATTTATATCAATTTACAACTTGCAGTTTATGTTAATGATATTTTAACATTTCTTCTTGGTTATTGTTGTTTTTTTAGTACCATTAAATGTCTTCAATTACTTCGTTTTAATCAACAAATATCTTTATTTGCTGAAATATTAAAATATTGTGCAAAGGCATTGATTTCATTTTCGATAATGTTTGCAATTGTATTTATGGCATTTCTTAGTTTATTTTATTTATTATTTGTATCAAAACTTTCGTCCTGTTCAAGTTTATTAAACACTACTCAAATGCTTTTTGAAATGACATTAATGAAATTTGATGCATCACAAATAATGGGAGCTGATGCTTTTCTTGGTCCATTCTGTTTTGCTTTATTTATTTTTCTAGTTGTTTTTGTTTGTTTAAGTATGTTTGTTTCAATAATTAGTGACAGTTTTCGTCATGCGAAAGACAATCAAAAAGAAGATCAAATTATGCTATCATTTATGCTTAAGAAATTTTTACGATGGTCAGGTACGTAGATTTATATCATTTATGCAGACCAATTGAGATTTCATTCATGCCCTGTAAACAGATTTTATAGGGTCTGAAGATTGTAATCTAGACCTCTTCATATTAGATGACTCAGAGCTTCTCTTGAGGGTGTGGGTGTAGGTGGATATGAGTATGACTGAAGAAAAGCCTTCGACACACACTCTTAAGATTGACGTATCTCAGTGAAATATAGTTGTCTATTAATATTTTAGGTTTGAAAAGATTAAATCAATCAGAAATTCAAGAAGAACGAGATTGTCGAATGCGTTTACAATATTTTGATCCAGTTGAAAATTTTCCTGATAAAATTGATCAATTACTAGAGGCATTCAATAAAGTATGTTGATATCTGTTGTATTTTTATTTGTAATTATTTGCTTTCTTTGAGATTTATATTGACCAAAAAATCGAATTATCAAGACTGGAAAAAGCTGGAGTTTAAATATTACCTTTCAAAAATGACTAATACTCATATAATGAACTCTGAATAGATTTTCAATTTTTTTTTCGAAATAAATCTTTGAAATTGACCATATGTTTGATATCTGTAACATAGAATTACACGATTAATGTGTGGGTGTGGCTGTGAGTTTGAGTAAGAGATTAACATCATATCCACACCCTAGTTGATCAGACTAATGGATCACTTTTTTCACTGAGTACTTATCTCAAAATCTATGTATTCTAATTCTACACAAAAGATTCAAACTATGTTAAAAAAATCATTATATTACAAATCTTTGACTTTTCTACCAATGCAAGAAAAAAATTGGTTTTTAGAAAAGAAAAAATAGATATTTCATTTAATTACGATTCTTTTTATAATTATTATTCGTTTCTTGATACATATTTTCTTTTATTTTTTCTGTTCTGTTTGTATACGAAGCAAAAATGTGCTTTTATGTACATCAAAAGGTAAATTACAAGCAACCCATTCATTATCGGGCTGAAAAAAAAATCAAATTCTGCATGTCATTATCACCAACATTTATAAGATTTCTGACAGAAAGAGGATCCAGACGTGATACTTTTTGTGTTAAACTACTAATTTGGTGTATGTGTACTTGCGCTTGGAATCATTGAATATCATCAATCAAAAACATACGTCGAACGTTATTGCCAGATTAAATCTAATGAAGTCGTAGGTCCTTTGAAAAAAGATCGATGGAAACCAGCATGGAATATTACCATTTTAGATGAAGGAAATGATCGAATAGAATCGAGTTCTACGTATTCTCTAAAATGGTGGGCGACAAGTATTGCACAAACGAAAAAAGTAAGAATATTTTATATGTTTTAAGTTATTTTCTTTCCTTTTCTTAAATTAGTTAAATCAAATCTATCGATGTTATCGACATCATAATTATCCTTCCCCTGGAACATGGTCTTGGCAATGGAATAAACCTTCGAAATTAAAAGCATATAGTTCTCTTTTTGTTTTTTTTGTCCTTTTTATTGTGGGAAGTGTACTTTTTATACTTAGAAAATATTATCAACGGCAAGAAAGACGACACCAATAAAGATGAAATACTAACTTTTGGTCGATTAATTAACAAGATTGCTTCTTAGACTGAAGTTTGACGTGAAATTTTATCGAAAAATAAAATATATTTATTACTCATATCTAAGATTAAATGAAATTAATATATTTGACTATGTAATCTGAGTATTACTTAATCATTTATTACAAAAAAAAATCTTTATTATTCTACATTTTTATAAAATTCTATTGACGTATTTATGCATATACAAAAATGTTGAATTTAAGAATGTGAATACTTGTGTTATCTTATTACAATGAAATGATAAATCAATGCATTGATTGACGAAAAGGGAAATATGTATACTATTTGAAATTCAAATTGTTTAACTGTTTGCTACACCCCTGAAAATGGGCGTTGTGTTGCATGGATGTATAATTAAAATATGTTTTCGAGCTGTTGGTAACTGAAAATAAAATATGACACAGAAGATACTTGAAAAAAAATATAAAACGAATCGAGTGATTCTGATGAAGAATGCACTAGCAATGCTTTTAATTACTATATTGTTCTGTATCAACGGCAAATAATAAAACTCTTAAGAAATGATTCTTATTTTGTAGATAGATCTGCTGATGTTTGTTGTGAAACGATATAATGCTAGTAAAAATGTTTTTCTTGTAAAATTTTATTTTACATGACCAAGTATATTGACGATACTAATATCAAAAATAAATTAGAACTCAAGTCGTTTCAACGTGAAACATCAAAATTTCAATTTTTATATGAAACCAATGTAATATGAATTTTAATTTCTTTTTTAATCAAATAAATATGTAAATACAACTTCTCTGCCAGTGTGGTTTCATTCATTTGATTGCTGACAAGAGGAAAGTTGATTGCAGCACTACAATTGAATTTATTGACAAAGTGATCTTAATAAATATGAGAGATAAAAGTATGCAGTTTACGCGCATCTCCGCGAATTCCTATCGGCCTCGTGTTACTCATGTACGTCCAAGCCAGGTTCCATCGATTTATAGGAGCAGCAACTATAGCAATCCTGCTTTTGCATCGGTAAATTTATTTATCTGTCTAAAGAAAATTACTTTATATCCTAATCTCTAGTCAATGAGCAAACAAATGAAACCTGTGCAAGATAATAAATTTGGAAACACCGAAGATATATGGAAGGGAACTATGAGAAATTCAAATACCAAAAAAAGATTCCAGATGTAAGTAAATCAAACTATTGAATTATAGTCCTAAAAGACATATCATGGTAAAAAAATTAACCTTATTATATTTAATTCTGTTTTTACTGAGTGTTCTTTATTCTGTAATATAATATTGAGTATTTGTATGATTATACTGTAGGTAAAACCTGCTGAGAATAGATTTGAATATTCTCTACGATTGATAACACTTGTTCTGTTTTGATCTACTAATGAGAGTGACAGTCAGTCAGTCGAATGTCATCTCGCTAACTGAATATGTGTACTATATTCATTTTTATTATGATCTTTAATTGTAGGAAATGTTCTTACAGTCAACTTGCGTGTTGCTTTTGCTTGGCCATCACTCTTGCTCTTTTAGTGAGCGCAGTCATTGGTACTGTACTTGCTATTGTCTTACGTGAGTATTCTGTCTCTTTTTTTATCATTTTTATGTATCTTTATACAATAACAATATGATCATTAGCACATACAACCACCCGATCAACATCAACCACGACTTCAACAAGTAACTAAAATTATTTTAATATTAAAAATAATTCTCCAAGATAACTAATTTCGAATCAAACAATAGAATGACATACATATGCACATATTCCATCTAATAGAAACTTTTGTTGGTTTCGACCGTTGCTCCGTTTCAATTATTCACACATAATAAATTAAAGAATCTAGTGGGCGATCAGATTTGATACTTTGTCTAACTAGAACAAGCACAGATCTTGATTTTGAAGTTTATTATAGGCCACGCCAGATAAGCTCGTAATCGATCTAAGATTTATCTAATAGATGTGATTTTAATTAAAAAATATACATTTCGAACTTGAGCGCGCCACAACTAAATGAGCCATTCGATCAGGCTCAATAAGAAATAAGCGACTTCTGCATTCTTTCATTCGATTATACAAGAATACATTAAAAGTTATCTGAATTCCAAAACAAAATCGTTGAGGATTAATGAAATTCGTTGTAATCAACCGACTTTCATTGTAATTTCAAGAGTAGAACACTAGCTTAAATTATAAAGACTTCTGTTGAATCGTAATAGATTCTAATTACTACTGTATTCGTCAGAGCCAACCATAATCTGTCAAAATTCACAGCGCTCTATACGCACTGTGTAATGACTTCCTATATATCTGATAGATGATAGTAGACTAAAATGAAAAAAGCATACCGAAGCAAGGGATTGGTGAACGATGAGCACAGGAAAGTTAAGCACAAATAAAATAAAATAAAATAAGACTGAGAGTCTGGGTGTGGGCGAGTAGGTGCTGATGTGAATGTGGACGAAATCATATATTTAGCTAAGATCCGCACCCAAACCTACACCCACATCTTTACCCACACCCACACTCACACTCACACAACATCCTCACCCACAATCACGCCCACAATCACACCCACACCCACACCTACACCCACACCTACATCCACACCACACCCTCACCCACTCACACCCATATCCACACCCGATCACATTGATTGATCTTTCATAAGAGATCACACTTTTTTATTTTATTCGCGCTTAACTTTCCTGTGCTTAACTTTCCGTGCTCATTTTCCCTTGTGCCCATCTTTCCGGTTCCCCGAAGCAAGACAAAACACCAACTATATATATTTTCTCAATCGCAAGAAGCAGATACGAGAGGGAGAAGAGAAATGTCAAGGTAGTGGAATAAAACAACTACGAGAGAGAGAGAATTTACCTTTACTAATGGACCTGACATCTCGAGTTAAACTTTTCTTAATTAACTAGAAGTCGGACGTTTAATCCTTGTTTTTCCCGGTTTATTTATTTCGATCCTGTCCGCTTTTTCCTTTTTGGCCGGAGTTGTAAAAAAACGAATCTTCTTAGTCTTCTATTAAACTATTCGTCTAATCCTTAACGAAAGATTAAAAATCACGACATCTCTTCATTCTATCTAACACATGATTATTTTTCTAATAATAGCGTCAACATCGACAACAAGTACTTCAACAACCAGTACGACTTCGTCAACCAGTGCCACAACTAGTACGACATCGACAACAAGTGTCACAACCAGTACGACATCGACAACAAGTACCTCAACCACCACTACGACTTCGACAACGAGTACTTCAAGTATGAACTTCTAACAAGCAACGCTAATTAATTAAAATAAGAGTCTGAGAAAAATTTAAAGAGAGCGAAAACTCTTCTGACAACGTAGGATTTTTAAATACGAAATATATGCATAAGATACTGATTCGAGTATGATCATTTCTCAAATATAAAATCTGTAAGTTTAATTTAGATATTGGAGCAAGTGAATGAGTTAGAATCTGACATTTTTTAAGCATTTTCATAACTTAGATAAAAATATTAACTGACAAATTTGGAGATGTATGAAATTATATGTTCTATGTCAGATTCCGGATTTACTCTAATCACTGTATTTTTTATTTTTTGTCTCCTCTCATAACTAATTTTAAACCATCGAACGCTCACCATTACTCTGAGTAAATAGACAGTAAATGTTTCGTCACGAATGATTTGATGTCGTTGTTTGACATTTAAAGCAATTCTAAAATAAGTAAGCAAGGAATCCATAAACGAGAATTGAATTTTGTGTTTCATAATAATTCACACGCTAACAATCGTTATAATGGTAGATTAGTTTTTAAAGAAAGGCGTTTGGAGAAAATGTTTATAACTTTTGAAGAAAAGATAATTGAGATCTGCAGTTTTCACTTCTCGATAGAATACCACAGGGCTTGTATTACTATGAAATAACGAGATCTGCAAATAAGATTTATCACATGGGTAAATATTCGAATTTAAAATTAGCGATATGTCTACTCCCTAAATGTATACCTAGCCTTGATTTCTAAATAGTGATGTTAATAGCTCGGAATCGAGATCTACGATTATAAATCAGCCACAGATTTGTACCTTTTACAGCTCAGAAATGATGTCCATTTTACTTGTAATTCATATCTAATTTTCAACAGGTTTGCTTAAATCATGTTTTCAAAATCTTTATAACATAGTTCAGTGGATCTTGATTTTATCTTTTCAACCGTGGAAACCGCAAATCTCTATCACATTCCGTTCAACAATTATAAGCATTTTCTCCCACAGCCTTCTTTTTACAAAGTCGATAGTAGTTGATTAATTGATCTGCATGTATTAATCGAACGAATGTTGCATTGCACAGTTTTTTTCCTTGCACTCAAGATTATCAACCGACCGATCCTCACCGATTGCGTCGTCAAACTGATAATAATTTGTGAGCAGTATCATAAAGGAAGCGAGCAGAGTATCTTTTAGATTAAGTATAAGGGCAAGTCACTCGTTTTCTAAAGAAATATTTGAGAAGTATTCGTAATTGATAAGGATATATTGAGAACTTACAATGAAAGCTAGAGCCGTGCTATTTTACTTCTCTTTCACTAAGATCAAACAATAAAAATCTTTTGCTTTGAATACTTAGAAGAATTCTTCCTTTTTTTAAATATATTAGTAAGTTATTGTGATATTATTTGACTTAACTTTGTATCGTTTTTCTCTTAAATATATAATCTCTTGTAGTAATTTATCATTTCTCGCTTTTTTAGCTTCAACATCAGCAACAACATGTAAGTTTGCGATTGTACATTTATTCTTTTATATCGAATATCATTTCACTCTCAATAGCACCAACGTGCGGCAAGGTTACCAGTCCATTAGGAGAAATTTTGAGTTTGCCCCCTAGTTTTCCAAAGATCACGTATACACAATATACTTCTAGTTTCACAGCAAGTAGTACCTTAGCAACTCTATCATTTATTATAATGGGTGAGGGTGGAAATGGTGCCGTTCACTACTGGTTATTAGACGAAGTATCTGTTAATCATACAAACACAAACGCAGATGTTCTTACTAATGGTAATTTTGAAACAGGAGATTTAAGTGGTTGGACACAGTATTGTAACACGAATGTCAATTGTGATGGTAAATCAACTAATAATTCTGGACATACGGTCCCTACGGGATCAGGCCCATGTTATTCAGGATCATACTGTGTTTTCGATTCATGTCTAAATACTGACTATCTAGAACAATCGTTTCCTACTGTGCCTGGAGATTTCTATATAATATCATATTATCTCAGAACCGGTGCTAATGATGCAGGACCTTTGCAGATGTATGTCACATTAACTTAATCGAGATGACTTTTATTAACGAAATGACATTGATAAACACTATCTCTTTTCTGCCTTTTTGAGTTTTATGCTCATGATTTGCATAATTCTCAACTGTTGATAAAACAAATCTCCTCATTTTTCATAAGACATGTCCGTCATAATCTAATGTTATGTATCCTATAATTTTCTTTCCCTTATATTTGTTTCGTCTATAAATAAATACAAGTATCTTTGAGGGTGGATGTGAGTATCAGTATAGTATCCATCATTCACTCTTACTCACACCAATACCTATACCCCACCAAATTGCTGCATTTCATTTTCTCAAAATATATTTTGAAGTTTATATGTGATGTTAGGTAGTAGCGCTATCTTTCGGTTTTTTGTCACTCGTCAATATTTTTAGAAGTAGTTTTTATCTATATTTTAAATCAGATTGAAGAGAATAAAGTAAGAGTCTAGTTCACAGACTTAATCTGTTTGGCAGTAATAATACAGGTGATATGCTTGGATGTGAGAGTATCATATGTTTCTCTCACGTGTACATTTGTCCGACTTTAATCGCATTCACACTCACACCCTTTCTACCTCCAATTTTAGAATCTTTAATGTATTCATTTTCAAACAGTCAAATTAGAAGGACTAAAAAGAAATTTGTGATTGAATTTAACTCTGCTCTATTCTAATTGTTGTTATAAAATGTGTATAATTTTCTTGTTATTCGATAAATTATTTTCTTACACACTTTTTGCACACGAACAATTTCTTGTTTGACTAATTAGCGTAGGCGCCTCACAGACATTATACATTTAATGATAGATAATAGTTTATAAGAAAGAAAAAAGAACATTTTGGTTTTTTACATATAAACATTACGAATTAGTTTTCATGTCTTTTTTTTAGAATAAATTACATCTATAAAAGATAATGAGAAGAAATATTATTTAAATATATAATTGAAATCAATAGTGCATAGTACTCGCAATAATTATTTTTATACGTTCTTAGCCATCTGAAACGCGCTCTTCGTAGGCGATTTGCGCATCTTTAACAACAAGCTACTATTAAGGAAAGAAAATAGTAATGATATAAATTTATTCATCATTGAAGGACGACGTATACATTCATTATTGTGCAACCATTTAATTAGAGAAAGGTATGAAATAATCAAAATATTTTTGGAATTTTTTTTCGACGGAACGAAAGAGAGAATAATAGGAACTCGAGTTATTTTCTTTAAAGACAGGTATTCTATTGAAGAAAAAACTTTAGTCTAAACTTATGACGAATAATTTATTACATTTTATTGATAAAAGAAAGATTTTTTATAGGAGAAAAATGAAATTTGATATAGCATAGAATACTTTATAAGAAAAAAATATCAATAATTTTAAGTAAGGCTCTATATAAATATATGAATTATTTCGGAGAAGGAAGATAATATGCGTAATATTTTGAGAATGATTCAGATGGGATATGGGTGAGATAAATATAATATACTTACACACACCCTCATACATCATTGGAAATAACTCTGCGCTTGCTATATTTAGTATATATTTTCTAAATTTTTAGTGGTATTATTATTCATTTTGTTAGAAGGCTTCATAATATTTTATCTTTGATTCGAACCGAATTATTTTCCGTATTCAGAACAAATAGACGAATAAGAAGGAAAGCCATAGCACAGACTTAGCTTCTATTATAAAAGTCATCTATTTTTTGACTTACTCATCAACTATACAATGATACCTATGGTTTCCGACCAAGAACAAATACAACTTAACAGCAATGATAATCTTAATGATGAAGAAGAATTGCGATATAAAGATATAAAACAATATTTACCAACTTTATATGATACATATGCTAGATCCAAAAAGAATATAATACTACTTATTATTAGTAGTTTAGGATTCTTATCAAATTTCGATGAACTAGTTTATCTTCCTGCGTTACCTACGGTCATTCAAGATCTGCATACATCAGAAACATTAGGTTTATTAACAATCACTGTATATGTGCTTGGAAGTTGTTTTTGTGGACTTATTTGGGGAGTGTTAAGTGATTGTTATGGACGTAGATCAATTATGTTACTTGCACTTTGTGGATTTATACTGTCTATGGCTGGCTCTTACTTTTCATCAAATATAGGTATATTTTTAGTAGCTCGTGTATTACAAGGAGGTTTCATCTGTGTTACACAAATTGTTGGTCAAGCAACAATTGCTGATATATATCCACCAAATGAACGTGGACGAGCTATCGCTCTCTTCTATGCATTTTATTTCATGGGATCATTAGTTGGCCCAGGCATCGGTGGACAGCTATCTTATCAGTTTGGCTGGAGATCTACATTTATTGTAGTAGAAATTCTTGCAATTGTTTTATTTATCTTTTATGTCTTATTCGTACCTGAAACACAACAGTATATAATTGTATGCAAATATCACAAAGCAGGAACAAAACTACTTGAGTACGACTTACTTGTGAAACCGTCACTACAGAATCCATGTTTAACATTGGCATACTTAAAAGAGACAACAATTATACCGTATATATTTGTTTTAGCAATAGGATACATGTCAATGAATATTGCACAGCTTTTTCTTTCTATTCGATTATCTAAAGCACCTTATGACTACAAATCAAACATAATCGGTATATTATATCTTCCAATGGCGATTGCAAAGTTTTTAGGTAGCATTGTTGGTGGTATTCTATCTGATTATGCAGCAGTTAGGTATATGACAACATTAAGAATCGATGAAGGACATGTTGTGCCAGCATTATTATTTTCTGTTCTAACACCTATTGGTCTAATCATTTATGGATGGTCATTTCAATATGGCATGCATATATTATTACCAGTCATGGGCTCAATTATCTGTGCTTTTGGTCAAACAGGTACTCGACCTGGTATCTATTCGTTCTATACAATTAAATATCAACAATATTCAGCTAGTGTTATAGCAGCAAATAATTTTGTACAATTATTATTAACATCGATTATGCTAACATCTACAGCAATAATTGTAGAATCGATTGGTAATGGACTATACTTTACAATTATGGCTGTGGCTAATATATTGGCAACAATCTTACCAGCAATGATTGTTTCAAGAAAAATTAGATTATCATCTAATATTTCTGAAAAGATGCCTAATCAAAGTACTCCTCTAATAAGTACTGATGATAGACAATATCACGAATAATCATGAGTTTTATGTATCTATAATGGTGTTCGTACTCGTTTATGTAATACTGACTTTTCTTTGAGTGTTTATATAAAATAAAAAGAATACCCACACCCTCAAGATGGTATCCTTTTCTTTTTTTTGGATAAACTCAACATATCTTGATAACATCGTGCTGTCAACTAGAATATATATTTCTATTATCAAGGTTTATTCTTTACTTAATCTTATTTTTTCATTCTCTATGATTACGGGAAAGAGAAAATGACACAGTACTTCTCGTTTTATCTACGAGACATATATTTGCGAGAAATTAACTTGACAGTCGATGAAAGTTTATCGTTCTTTCCGTTAATAACTGTAGACGGATATCGAAACTAAATAACATATCTATATTTTCTCCATAATGAAGTTGAGATTATTTTCATTGATATTATTATTATTTTTTATTACAATTAAATGTATTCAATCAAAAAGTGTAATTCGATCGTATGTAATAATACAAGATAAACCACCTAAATTCAAACCATTAACTGATTTTTCAGTCTTCGATTCAAGAGAAAAAAATCGTTTATATCTAATACGAACTATTTCTACCGATCTTGATATGATTATACTTGGTGATTATCGTACAAAAAAGATGGTGGGTAAAGTTGAAGGTAAATGGACAAATGGTATATTCGATGTTAACCTTTTGATATATGATGAAAAATCAAGTAAATGGATAAAAGGAACTATGAAACGTATTTCGAAAGTTTTTTCAAGCAAATATCAAATTCGATGGAATGGTGTAAGCCTTATTGTAAAACGTAATATGTTTAGAAAAACCATAAAAGTTTATGAAGAAGTATCTAAGGAAGTACAAGCTCAATTTCGTTATCGTTCAATATGGCGTAGTGGATTAAAATATAAATATGATTTGAAAATCTTTATAACTAAAGTGCCTGATGCAATACTTTTCTTGGCTTTAACAATTACACATCATACGGAAAACTTACAACCAACTATTAATAAATGATTCAAAACCAAAATTTACTATTTACGATTAGTCTTTTAGTTTAAAAATTTTCTCATATCTATTAGATTTTTTGCTAATAAATACGATAATGAAGAGAAAAATTTCTATGATATAATTCATTAGCTGTATATGATTATATATTAATATTGTTTATTGCTATTGTTTCTTTTCTTAAGTTGTTCTTATTAAATACTATGAGTGAGTGTAAATATTATCTGTGTCTGTCATCTACATGTATTCACCCACACCCAAATCATGAATAACTAAAAGGAAATTAAATTACAAAACTTTGGATTAGCCAACTATTTATTTGCTTTTGAATAACACTCGTAAAAGAAATACAGAAAAAATTGAGGGGTGGGTGTCATTCACGCAAACCCGTGGTAGCTTCGTTTGGTATTATTTCCCTTAAGCTAAAAATTATTAACTGACAATCCACCTTCATCCTCATCCTGTTCAGAACTGAAGCTAATAATGAAATCGATAGTTTTCTTCATGTACGTGCTTCGTAAGCCGTCAAAAAACATGTCTGGAAGAAGGATAAATATGCGTTATCAACATGTCGATTGAGACAGGAGACTGCACATAGAAGAACGTGCAATTGAGTAAAATATACGTCGCCATCGCATAGACACGCACATTTATAATTTAAAAAAATAGGCGCGTGTGTTTGGCAGAGACGCTGAATATCATGTTTTGGAGCAGAATCGATGTAGGGAATTGAGATGAATATGTTGTCTTAGCTAGTTTCTGTAGGTCCAAGTAGATTTCTTTTCTCTATCACAATTTGTTTTTGATTATAATTATAACGATCTTTGCTTGATGAGAAGACAATTTCACAAGATTGCGATATCTCAACTTTGTACATTTATTGTCTCACTTTCGTCTACTTTTATTTACTGAAGAGGAGTAGAAGATCACTTTTTTAGCACTATTTAGGTGAATCTTTTAGGTAATAGTGAACTAAATATCATATAGTACTCAAGAAGTTATACGTTAAATAGCATCAGTATGCATATTGCTTTATTAGTATCCATGACAGAGTTAAGGGTCTGATTGGACATGTATCATATATGTGATGACACTGGTGTCGTGTAGACAGCTGTTTCCTCGCCAGACTTTTACTTGCCGAGAAAAGATTAATGAGCAGAAATAAAAGCCACTAATATTTCTGCTATATAAAGAAACATGACTGACCCCTAGCTAATGTTAGCAATTATTAGAAAATGATGTTTTTTTTATGTATAGTCTGTAAAAATGGAACTATGGTTGTGCACTGTTGTGACCGTGCTGTTCAGTATGATGAGTGTGGATCGAGGACAGATGCTCCTGTATGAGACCGAAGCAAGTAACCCAATGGAACATTTCGATTGCATTTATTACACGAAAGAAGGAGAAACCGTGCCGCATTGTCGACGGTTGAATGACGTTACTCGAAATATGGAAGTATCATTCAATACCTGCCAAAATGATGGACACCAGTGGAATTTTACTGACTTAATTGAAAAACGCATTCGACCGAGTGAAGTACTTTTATGGAGTTCAAGTGTTGAAATGGCTGATAAATATGCAAGTATCTTCTACAATTCTTCGATATATTTTGATGAAAACTGCTTTCTCTGCCAATGTACGAAGTCGGGTACTTTTGGCAAATTTTGTGAGTACCAACTGACACACGAATCTAAGTCTTTTGAAGCAGCTATTGATGCGCAGTTCGAACAGAAGAAAAGTGATCAATGGGGTATTCAAGAGTATGGTGCCATTATCTGCTACAAAACTCTCAAAATGTCAGATTGCGTTTATGGGTTGCTCTGTTTAGATTGGCGAGATATCTGTGATACACATCAACAATGCATGGATGGGCTTGATGAAGAGAATTGTGATAAATTGGAATTTAACGAATGTGAAGAGGATGAATATCGTTGCACAAATGGAATGTGTATCGCAGAAGAGTACTGGCTTGACGGTAAGTAAGTTTAACAAACATGTTGCCTGCGCTTAAACCTAGAATATCAGACTAGTTGAGAAGAGAATACAACGGTGTTTGATTCTAACAGGAAGTGCATGTAGTTTTGAAAAATCTGAACATAAGTAATTCATAGATATAATCATCCCTTCGAATCAAACAGGTATAAGGAATGATGGAGGTAGAGTAAGCTGATAATTACTAGCACGTTGATTGACCATGGCAATTGAAGTGACTCTAGGGATGCAATAAATCTCGAAATATATTTGGGTTTGTATCCAAGGCCTCAAATCCACGTCACATTCAAGAGTTCGGATTTGTTGCATCCCTTAATGACTCTTTGACAGGCAAATAGTTAGATCGATTTAATGAGAATAAGTGGCGTATATCGTTACAATCCATGAATCATTACAAACAAAATAAGTGTTATTCAAACAATGCTCTGTGAGCTTTAATTGGAATTTTAGATCTAGAGCTTTGATCAATATAATGAGCATGTAGTCAACTCATACAGAATGCGTCAAAGATAGAATTTCTGTTACCCAAAACTATACCTACGACAAAAGTATTTCTATACATTGTTACCCGTAATGCATTCAATATGCTGAACTGAATTGCTAGAAACATAAAAAAATAGGCAAAAGAGAGATAAGTGGCACCTTAGCTCTATTTTTTTTTGGGTACTTCTTCTATTAAATGCGTGCGTTCTGAAAGGTGAACTAGACTGCATGGATGGGAGCGATGAGAAACGCAAAGGCAATATTGCAACATCGTACAACTGCTCATTTGGACCAGCTCGTACTCAATGTGATGACCATACATGTAAAAGTCTCGAGTTTTCGTGTGGAGACGGAGAATGCATTTGGATACTTGCACGATCTCCGTATCAAAGGTTTCTTGATTGGAAAGAGAACTGCTTTAATTTACGAAACTTGAATTATCAGTGTGAGATGGATTTGACACAGCGCTTATGGACAAAGACAAATGGTGCTTGCACGAATAAAGTCGGTTTTGATGATCTGAGCGTTAGCATGAAAGATACAACAATGTCAGATATTGACAAATGTATCTATTTAATACGATGTGCTCTTTCTCAAGGTATTGAGCGTGACTGCCCATGCGATCACATGAACTGTACTCAAGTCATGGAGACTGTATGTGTCGATGATGCAAGTTATTTTTATCCACGAGGTGGACTAATTCGACCTTATGTTTTCATGCGCTATCAATGGAAGCGAGATTGGAAAGATGAAAAAGCACCTGATTTCTTTGTAATGAATGGTAGCATCAAATGCCGAGATTACCAAGGATATATAGATTTCAAAAACAATTTTTCAGTTTCTAACCACTTTACACGTTGGAATCGATTTGAATATTCTTTTTGTGCATCTGCTCGGAAAAACTCTACCTCATCCATTCAATATAATGTGTCTTTGTTGTTCAATTCTCGTACGTTCAACGGGCAACCATACGCTTTCCTCGACATATGTGAAACATGGGGACCGGGTATTTCTCAATATCGCATTATGGATCAGATATGGGATTGTGGTGATACTACGGATGAAAATATCTCTTTTATAAATATTACTTTGAATGAAGCACCATGTTGGAAACTTCGTAAGCATCGATTTCTATGTTCGGAAGAGCAGTATTCATGCATGCCCGCAGGAAACTTAGGAGACAAAGCCCATTTTTGCACGAATAGTTTCGATGAGGATTTGTATGGAACCGATCTTTCTCTCGCAGATATTCACTGTCTTCATCGGGACGATCTCAATTGTCAGCTGCTGAAGGATTATATCACAAGTTCTTGGATTTACAATTCCAGTCATAACACAAGCTATTCTACTGTGATACCCTTTCGGGCATACTGTGACGGGACATGGGATCTCTTCGGACATACAGATGAATTGCCTTCATTTTGTCATTTTTGGGTTTGCCGTAAAGATCAATATCAATGCCAAACAGGTCAGTGCATTGGTTTGGCATGGGTCTGTGATGGCGAATGGGATTGTTCAGATGCGTCCGATGAAGAAGCCATTACTCTTTATGAGCACAATTGGTCGCCTCATAATAAAAAGCTAGTGAGTTTGATAGACCGTATCGCTAATTGTCGCAATCTGTCTTATTCCCGACCGTTTCCGACTTTGTGTAATCGTTCACACGAATATCCCTGTTATTTGGCTAATGTTAAAAATCCCCTTGATATTGATACCTTTCGACCATGTATTAATTTAACACAGATTGGTGATTATACGAAAAATTGTGAAGGCGATATTGATGAGAAAAATACGTTTCGAGACCCACGTCGTGATATTATGATTGGAATGGAGATTAATTGTGACAATCGATATGTCAGCTATTCTGAAGTTTGTACAGGATCGATCTGTCAGAATGCAACTTTTTGTTCATATCGGAGCAAAAACTCTACTTGCTCGGGTCCGAAAGACGTACTTTGTCGTGATGGATCTTGTGCCTCTAACGCGCGCTGCAATAAAAAACACGAGTGCCTTCCCTATGGTGAAGATGAATACGGTTGCTCACCACATTCTGACAGAGACGACCAAAGATTCTACCGCAACAAAAAAAGCTCGCGACGAGTTCCTATAAAAAATGTGGAGTGGGGCTATTATCCATACCCCATCACCCCAGCAGCGCCATTAATTAAAACGGCCCGTGTTCAGCTATCAAACGACGTGAGAGAAAATCCAGAAATATCTTATGTATGCAATCGTGGAGTGGCTGTTTTCAGAAACGATACCACACAGTGCTTATGTCCACCTACGTATTACGGTGAACGCTGTGAATTCTTTAGTGATCGTCTATCTATAATCACACACGTTGATCAGTCACCAGAAGATGTAATAAGTATTCAAGCACGTCTTGTCTTCAATGGTAACACTGTCGATCATTATGAATTCTACTACAATAGAGCATTGGGAATTGCCAAACAAAAATTTCACCTACTCTATTCTCGATCGGAAGAAATGTTGAAATATGGCAAGAATCGTTACTTCAATCAAACCGATATCGAGCGAACGCATCCATACGCTGTTCACTTCGATATTTACGGATCCCATAATAATTACTCGGTGAATGAGATGGGTTCTTTTCATTTTCCTATTTATTTTGATTTCTTGCCCTCCCATCGCTTGGCCGCTATACTGAAGTTTCCACTGTGGTATGGGAATGGATCATTAGATCCATGTTTTAAACATTCTCAATGTCCAATGAATGCTGTATGCAAACCTATTCTCAATAACTACCCAACAGTTTATTGTACTTGTAACCGTGGTTTCTTTGGATTAAATTGTGAGAATAATGAACCGAAATGTGACACTTATTGTTCATTGAAGTCTCTTTGCAAACCGGAATATCGCGGACAATTGGCAAACACGAATAATCCATTCTGCATGTGCCCATATCATCATTTCGGACCTCGGTGTCATTTGCATCACGACGCATGCGATCCGAATCCATGTACTAACAATGGAACTTGCTATTTGACCAACGATCGCAGTGGTAAGCAACCTTTTCACTGTCTTTGCACTCAGCACTACTACGGTGATCGATGTGAAGACAAGAGATCGGTCATTCGAGTCGAGCTTGACGTACCTATGGCAGTTCAAGCCTCAGTCATTCAGTTATACAATGTTGTGGATAGCTCGTTTGAACTTATTATTGAATATCAAGCAGCTGCGCTATGGGTTCCGCTGTCGTTTGAATATCGTTACGAGGGTCAATTTCCTCCAGTTCTTGGAATTTTGAAGACATATTCCGACAGTTTCTCGAATCCACAGTTATTTCTTCTCTATTCGCAACCGAACGCTCAGATCATTAATATTAGTTCGATGCCTCATCGATGTCCAAATGCTATGACTCTCCTGTCCAAAGGTAAGTTGAAGTGTTTTTGTTTTTGAGAACATGCCCGAGTCTCTATTGACACAAATGATCAACGCCAACTATGACTTTCTGAATTTTAAAAAGAATTGCAAATCAGTAGAAAGTTTTCGGTGTGTATCAATTTGAATATGGATTCCTAAAAACAGCAGAAGGCGTACATCAATAGTTATTTCACTTCATCTGATTTTAGTCTTTACAACATGATGGAGTGTTTAGAATAAAGCAGAACTTAGGAAGATGTCAAAAACTATCTGTTTAACTCTGTCTGATCTCCCTGGATATATTGATAATTTTTTGTGTGCTAAAACTTTTCTCATATATTAGACCATCCGCCTAATATTCCACCTGTGTTTGGTTACCATAATATATGTAATAACAACAGCGACAACTTTTGTTTTTACGACTCCAATTATTTGTGCATTTGTGAAAAAAGCTCCAGCCGGGTTGAATGCTTCCTTTACAATCCACTTCTTGATCGTTGTGACTCGTGTCTATCCGGTGGAAAATGTATACAGGGACATCCATCAGACGCAAACGATTTCATCTGCCTCTGCCCTCATTGCTATCAAGGCGCACAATGTGAACTTAACATGCAAGCGTTTGGCTTCACGCTAGATTCCCTGTTAGTTTCTGTTTCCAGTCGAATTCAAGTCATCTATATCGCCTTGGCTTCTGTACTCTTTTTACTTGGCCTCTTTTGCAATTTGTGTTCTCTGCTGACATTTAGACGAGCTCAACCGCAAAAAGGCGCCGTCGGCCAGTATCTTCTCATTGTTTCTATCTTTAATCAACTCTCTTTGCTCTGCCTACTCTTCAAATTCATCCATATCCTTGCAAGCACATTCGGCATATCGAATGATGTCTCTTGCAAGAGCATCAGTTATCTCCTCTCCATTTTCAAGCGTACCGTATATTGGTTAACAAGCTGGATAACTGTTAATCGCCTTCTCATCGGAATGTCTCCGACAACATCAGTTCTGAATAAACCTCGCATTGCTCTCGTTTGCAGCATCATTACATTTCTTGTCCTTTGCAGCATGCATATTCATGAAATTATTTTCTACACAACTATTCGTCAGCCCCGGTCTCTAATCCTTATATGTGTGTCCGATTTTCATCGGAGTATAGTGGCCAAGTATGATCGAATCACCTCCCTTTTCCACTATGTCGCTCCTTTCATCATTCAGGTCAGCGCGATTACCTTTCTTATAATACGGCTCGCTCGCAATAGAGCGAAGACGACCCAAGGGAAGGTTACTTTGAAACAACTCTTAAGAAAGGAATTCTCTACACAAAAGGAGCTTTATATAATGCCGTTGATTATTGTTCTGTCTGCCATACCTGAAGCCATTCTGTCATTTACCTTTGCTTGCACTGCCATCAGTGAATGGAAACATCATACATTGATTATCGCCTTTCTTCTGTCCTATGCGCCACAAGTACTTGGATTTGTTCTCTATGTTCTGCCGTCGAGTGCATACAAAAAAGAATTCCGCGATACAGTGCTTGGAAAGAAACTATTTCAATTACTGACAAAACAATAACAGGAAGATATAAAAGAAGCAACAACGATGACCGCTACAGCGATCAAATCAACATGAATGAGATATTTACATTATGAAATATATTTGTTGCTTTTGATGTTGTTCATTAAATATTCAGTAATAAATTGTCGAAGTAGTTACTTGCTTTTAAGTCAACATTTCGTTGGTTAGTCGTAGAATAGGGTGTGAGTGTGGGTGATTGACTTGTTATTCATATACACACCCACACCCGCACCTTCTACACAACTTAGTTGCTGAGAAAGGTTAACAAAACTGCGGACAAAACGTCATCGTGTTACACTCGGACAAACCGACATGTACACACTACAAAATTCAAACAATTTCTTTTTATTCAATTCAAGCTGTTGTTTTTACTTATAACGTTTTAACTTTAAAAGAGATTGATAAATATCTTCTAGATATTTTTCATAGAATTAGTTTTCTCATTACGAGTCTTTTGCTAAGATATGTGAATCTATCCGTTTTTGTCGAAGTTTATTGATGGGATGTGGCCTATAACCATCTATCAATCACACCAACACCCGACAAACTATTGGTAGAACAAGTAAAATGATTGTGACAGATAACATATATTTCCAGTTCCTTTATATACTGATAAAAACTCTGCATTTTTATTGCTACTTCGAATGGCAATATGTTTTCGATTCCTTATACCACTGTAAAAAACAGAAGTGAATTTAATGCGCAGTGAAAATTCTTTTTTTTTGATTATTTTTGTGTAAAACGAGATCTTGTTTCCTTTCTCATAATTGTGTATTGATTATGAAGAAAAAATAATTATATTGAAATCATTTTTTTTGTAATATGATCTTTATAATGAACTTGTGTTTTTTTCTTTATCAAATTGATTTATCTATAATGAAAAACATGTCTTTTTTTGTTTGTCATATCTTCAAAAAAAAAGAGGAAAGGAATGAACATGTTTATAATTATTAACTGAACGATGTAGAATACTAAGTAAATTCAATATTTTGTTTTTTCTTCACTTCGCATTCATTCAAAGAATTTAAATCTTTCAAAGTATGGTACCAAATACTCTAGCATTTTGGTCATATCTTATTTTTCTTATTCCATCTATAATTTGTTCATTATTTGTTCTTTATCATCTTCTTTTTGATCGAGTATTACGTCATGCTCTCCATAATCATGTTATTATTGTCGTTCTTTTCATTGTTGTTATTTACGAAATAACAGTTTATCCATGGATGTTATATTATTATCAATATCAAAATATATCAGGAATACCCAACATATTTTGTACAATTCGAACATTTCTTGATTGGAATCTTTGTATTACACAAACAATTCTTATTTCTTGGGCAGCAATTGAACGACATATTTTAATCTTTCATGATAAATGGGTATCTACAAAAAAGAAACGTTTTTTTATTCATTATCTTCCACTTATTGTACTCGTTCTCTACTGTTTCATCTTCTATATTATTGTTTATTTTTTTCCACCATGTGAAAATTTATTTGATCATTCTTCTCTAACATGTGTTTATTCTTGTTTATATGATATATATGCATTTGCTATATGGCAAACGGTTGCTCATCAAATTTTACCAGTTTTAATAATTATTGTATTTAGTACTGCTTTACTTCTACGTGTTATTTGGCAAAAATTTCGAATACATCAATCAATTCAATGGCGAAAATATCGAAAAATGACAATTCAATTATTATCAGTTTCATTACTTTATCTTATATTTTATTTACCATTATCTGTAGCCCATACTATTCTTCTATGGAATTTAATGGATGATATCTACTTTGAATTTCAAGACTATGCAATATATTTCAGCTATTTTGTAATACCTTTATTTCCTTTTGTTTGTATTTTATCATTACCTGAACTTCGAACAAAACTCATTCATACATTACATTTACAACGAAGACGTATTGTACCTGAAATAATACTTATAAAAGCTCCTGTATACAAACATATGAATATTTAATAATCATATTTATCTATTGTCTTTTTATTTGTAGTATATAGGAAAATTCTATTAGGTAGTATCGATAATTAGTTTGATGATTGGGATGAAAAAAACATGCCAATTAATAATCAGAAACAACCCAATGTAGCAGGTTATTGCTTTCCTCAGAGTAATAACTCGAACTATAAATATTCTTAAAACAACGTCAACTTTTTTTCTTCACCACCAAATTTATTAAAATAAACGGATAACTTTTAAAACAAAAATACTGCAATAGTAAAAGGACAAAAAGCATAATATGTACGTAGATCTAATTTTTCAAATAAGTAGTAATGATTAGCAAGAGAAAAAAGCTACTGTATTCAATTATTTTATATGATATTAAATAAAGTAATCATTGTATTAATAATATGTCCAATTTTTATATAAGTACACATGGTTTTTGTGCAGCATGTGGATTTGGATTTTTGCCGAAGCCGTGTACAAGTACATCTTTATGTTCGTGATTTTGACAGTATTGAATTAAATCTTTGCATGCTACCGATACTTTAATTCGATTAATATCAGCTTCAGTTCGTAATTGGCGAACAATTTTTTCCATATTACTCATGATCGATATGTTCTTTCTAGAAAGAAAAAAAAACTTCGCATTCAAATATAACATGAAAATACATAAGTTATTAAGAGACACAGTCGCTCATAATTTCATCAAAATTTCTGGAATAGACTTGAGCCGATCATTTTCAACATAACAATGCAAAAAAGTCTTCCAATAATACTTACATATATATATATATATCACAAAGTAAATAATGCTCAAATGAAGATCTAAAATTGTTAAATAAAAAGTATATAAAAATAAGCTCAGATTTCTATTATTATATATATATCTATGACATACTCTCTCCTTTTCTTCTATGTGCATTGATAATAATTATCTCTCTGTCTCTCAATTCAGCATAAGAGAATACACGTACTAATATTCATGATAGTTTCCTAAAAAAATGTCATGCTCTCACATCTCTAAACTTAAATAAATATCAACAAACAAATATTTAATAATAATCAATGATTTTTCAATGTATTCGTGCTTATCTTCTGTTTGGCATTTGGACACTAACAGAAAATAATAATAATAAAAAAAACTGTTTTTTTATTCTGGAATTGATTTGAATCAATGTGTGTTGTATGATCTAGGTTCTTTTTAGTTGGTGTTTTTTTGACGATTGAAGAATATAAATCTTGCAATTTCTGTACTTTCACAACGATTCATTTAGTTCAGCTGAATTTTTCAATTTTGTTTTTTAATTGAATGTTATTTCATACCTTTCATTTCTTTTCTTTAAATACAAAAGAGTTTAATTTTTTACTTCTGTTAATACTATTGTCAATTGTTTTTATCTTCTTCATCATCATTTTTCTTTGTTTATGTTCCGTTAAATGTGTAAGCCACCAGGATAATCGGCGGTAGCCCCAAACTTAGAATTTTTTTCTAAATGTTCGGCGACATAGCTTTGATAAATATGTTTAGAAACTTTATTTTACATCTCAATATAACAAAATACATGACAAACATTAGACTGAATAATAAATAAAAATATAGAAGTTTATCAAAAAGTTAATAAGTAAAAGATTCAAGCGTACACAACTTTGCTGCTTTTTTTTGTTTTTGTTAATCAAAATATAAAATGCTCGTCTCTTGTTATATATATATAATAGTATACATAAACAAATAAAACGAATCGTTTCAAAGGATTAGATAAAAAGTTTAATCTATGCAGAATTAAAGAAAATATAAATAACAAGATCAATATTTATGATACGTGTCAGCCGCATGACTTACTCCTCTAGTCACAAGAATATGTTATTTTTTCTGTATTACATTTAAAATATTGTATTTTGTTATTTACCATTGCCATGTGTTTGAATAGAAGTTTATTTGAAGACATGAATATCTGCTTATCTAATTTTTCAAACAAATAGAAATGATTAACAAGAGAATAAAGTTGCTGTACTCAATATTTTTATATGATATTAAAAAAAGTAATCAGAAACAAGTATACGTATAATAAACACTAGATAATTAATTTGGCGGATTTTCACATAAAAATATAGAGCCTTTTCTAAAAAAAAATGGATTTGGACTTTTGTCGAAGCCATGTATAAGTACATCTTTATGTTCGTGTTTTAGACAGTATTGAATTAAATCTTTGCATGCTACCGATACTTTAATTCGTTTAATATTAGCTTCAGTTCGTAATTGTTCAACAATTTTTTCCATATCACTCATAATCGATATGTTCTTTCTAGAAAGAAAAAAAAAACTTCGCATTCAAATGTAACATTAAAATATATAAGTTATTAAGGGACACAGTCGCTAATATTTTCATCAAAATATCTGGAATATACTTGGGAACCGTTTCTGATAAGACTAGACTTGAACCAATCCAGTTCTAGCCAACAATATTGTTCTCGTCTATTTTTGACATGATAATGCAAAAATTCTTCCAATAATACTTACAAATATATATATATCACAAAGTAAATAATGCGCAAATGAAGATCTAAAATTGTTAAATAAAAAGTATATAAAAATAAGCTCAGATTTCTATTATTATATATATCTCATACTCTCTCATTTTTTTCTATACGCATTGATAATAATTATCTCTCTCTCCTAGTTCAACATAAGAGAATACACGTACCAATATTTTTTCTTATTGCTATTGGCATAATCAAAAAAAAAATGTCATGCTCTCATGTCTCTACACTTACATAAATATCAACAGACAAATATTTAATAATAATCAATGATTTTTCAATGTATTCGTGCTTATCTTCTGTTTGGCATTAGAACACTAACAGAAAATAATAATAATATTACGTACTTTTGTTTTATCTGGGAATTGATTTGAATCAATCTGCGTTGTTTTATTTGTGTACAATCAAATCAAGTTGTCAATACACAATTTATCATGTTATATTGATTGTATGATCTAGGTTCCTTTTGGTTAGTGTTTTTTTGATGATCGAAGAATGTAAATCTTGGATTTCCTGCATGTTAACAACGATTTATTTACTTCAGCTAAATTTTTTAGTTTTGTTATGAAAAAAAGAGACGATCTGATTTGCATTCATTTACTTTAAAAGAACGATTTAGAATTTGGAATTTTGTCAATCTTTGTAAAACATGAATATTAGTTGATCTTATTTGCAATTAGAATGTTTTTGTAGAGATTCAAAGCCTTATTGTCATCTGACATTTTTTTGATGAATTTTAATCTTTCATCACGTAAACGATTATGATGCTAATATTATCTTTTAGGATGTGAGTGCTAGGTTAAGACTGTCCATAACACCCACACCCACACCCACACCCACCCACACCCACACCCACATCCACACCCACCCACACCCACACCCACACCCACCCTACGTGGCTGACACTGTAAATCATAGAGTGATGAAGATAGCTTTAGAAACAAAACAAACCTGGTTAGCAGCTGGTGGATCTTTGGGTGCAGACGCGAATCAATTGAATTCTCCGCGTGGTGTAACTGTCGACCAATCTGACAATGTTTATGTCGCTGATAGCCTCAATCATCGAATAGTACGCTGGCTCGTAGGCGCTACAATAGGTACTGTAATTGCTGGAGACCGCGTTAAGGGTTCCAAATCATATCAACTCAACACCCCTCGTGATCTACAATTCGATCAAGATGGGAATCTTTACGTTGCCGATACACTTAACCATCGTGTACAAAAATTTATCATCGACAAAAGTGCATGTTAATATATCTAAGTTTGGTGACATCATCTATGTTTTCATTACTCTTTTTCTTATTAATTAAAACAAGATAACTATCAAATCATACTGCATACTACGTATACATCGATGTGATAATAAAAATATATTGTTTATATTTGTTGTTCAGCTTAAAATAAATTTGTAAACATAAATCGATTAATAAATTGCTTGAATTATAAGACAATGAATCAAGAGTGTAAATATGGGTGACAACAAAGAATGAATTAATACTCATATGCATATGATGACTTAAATTCATACCTAATTATTTGTTCTAATCATATTTCTTTTTCTAACGATGAATACTATTCAAGTACGAAAGAATTAAAGTGTGATTATTGAGAGGGTATGGGTGAGAGTAATGGTTAAGATTACACCCACATCTGCATCCACCTACTCACACCCACACCCTTAGTTTCTTTTTTTAATTTTTGCACAAAAGCTGAATAAAATATGAAGAAATATATCGAAATTCAAATATAATGGTAAGTCAATTTTATTAACCATTGTGTACTTTCTCTCCCATATAATAGGTGTCCCATGAATCTTTAGCATAACCATTGCCTAATACTTTAAATGATGAAGCTGATGCACCTTGTACCTTTTTTCCAGCATAATAAACGTCCATAAAATCTTTTGCATATCCATCTTCTAATATTTTAAATGATGAAGCTGATGCACCTTGTATTTTCTTTCCCGCATAGAAAACATCCATAAAATCTTTGGCATATTGGCCGCTTAAGACTTGAAATGAACTTCCAGATGCACCTGGTAGTTTTTCACCCCAATAGTAAACATCCATAAAATCTTTTGAATACCACCCACCAGCCAAAACTTGAAAAGACGAACCAGATGCACCTTTAATTTGTTTGCCCATAAAAAATACATGCATTATATCTTTTCCATAACCGTAACCAAGATCTTTGAATGACGATGCAGAGAGACCTTCAACTAATTGTCCATTGAAATAAACCTTGTAGGAATCTACTCGATAACCACTAGTTGGAATACGTGATGTACTACTCCCGAATAACTGTCGTCGATGATGATGCTGTTGCTCACTCTTGCTTTGAATCACAGCGGTTATACATACTAATAATAACAAAAGTTTAAATATCATTATACAGAAAAAATTGCGAATCCTTCTTTCAGAGAGAAATAAGATATTCTGATGCAAATAATGTTTATCGCTCACGATATTTATAAATAGTGATAACAGCAATGAATAAGCTTCTTCAAATATTTATTCATACAGAGAAAAAGCACATAATTCTTATGCAAATCATTGAGAATTAATGTGTGCCATTATTATTAAGTATTACGATAAGATAAGAGAGAGTATGTATGTGTGTGTGGGTCTTGTAAGCAGAGCTGCAGAATTTGCTGTGATTTCAAAAGAAAAAGACAAGATGCATCTTAAGTTTTAAATGTCAAATTTAAGAATAATTGCGGTGATATATAAATAGTCTTAGATTATCACAATAACCCAATGATTGATTTGACGGTGCCTGTAGTTGTCGTCTAAAAGTAACTTCAAATTCAATTTGAGTGGTTAATAAATTGTAAAGGACACTTTTTTCATCATGTTCTTGTCCGTCCTGTGAGTCTCAAAATAGAATAAATCAAGAAAAAAAAGGTTTAATTATGTCAATAGTCTTACTTAATTGCTACGTATGATTTGTCAAGACATGATTATCTTTATCTAACTAAAGTACTTGAAACTGAACTTCAATTCTGACAAATATAATTAATGAATGTTTGCAATTTAATTGTATTCTCAATCGATATATAGAAAAATGAAATAAAGTAATATAGTTGATTCAATACATTGAATTGTTTCGAATTGTTACGGGAGTTGAATTATATAATTTTTAAACCTTTGTCTTTTTTACCTTCGGTTTGAATATCCATTTAAGAATCTTCTGTCCGATCCAAGTTTCTCCAAATTCTTTCTTATATACACTTGAAGGAAGGACAAACAGAATAAAACCGAGTAGTTGCGGAATGTAAGAGAGAAGAACACAAACGATAAGTGTGTGCTTCTTCCAATTGTTCAATTGAGTACAAGTGAGACTGAATGAGAGAATGACTTGTGGGAGAGAAGAAATAATAATAGTGAATGGTGTTACGTAGAGTTCTTTTTGAATAGAAATTTGATTTTTCAGTACTTGCCGGAATGTTTGTCGATCCCTAACTGTTTTCGCACGGCTACGAGCAGCAAGAAGGATCATACGAGTAATGGCAATGATTTGAATACAAAATGGTAGTAGGTAATGAATGAGAGTATTTATTCGATTATAAATCTCTACTGCGTGATGATTAAAATTACTGACACAATGAACACTAGAAGAATCTAAATCGCGAAGTGTTTGATAATAGAAAAGCTCATGTACATGCATGCCGAGAAGAATAATCAACGTGCTTATACTAAAATAGATTGCTAAGCGTGGATTTTTTATAGAAGTCGAAACTGGATATATAATTGTCAGAAGACGATTCACTGCAATCCAAGTTGTTAACCAATATGTTGATCGAGTAAAGACCGAAAGAAGATAGGTGATCGTTTTACATGATATAGCACTTGCTAATCCCTTTGATCCGAGAAAAATAGAAATAAATTTCAATAAGAATACAAGCAGACTACATTGATTGAGAATAGTGACAAATAGTAGATAGTTTCCAACACCCGATTTTCGTGGTTGACTGCGTTTAAAAGTTATGAACGAACAGTAATTGTTGAAAAGACCAATACAAAATAGAATCAAAGCCACACTTATATAAGTAATATGAATGGCTGTCATCTGGGATACTAATAAAGAGTCAAGAGTAAAGCCAAATGCTTGTAGACTGAATTCACAGCGAGTACCTTGAGTGCAAGAACGACAAATACATATAAAGTCATTGGTTTTTTTCAGATCGCCTCGAATGCATCGGCCACCAGACAAGCAATTATCACAATGGTCAGTTTTCGAATCGTACGCAAAGCATTCTGCTCTCTTCTTTCCACATAGACAAAAATAATTCGAGTCATAAAAACAGATACGATTGACATCATTTAGACAGATATTGTGATATGTGAAAATACTTTGGTCACTAATTGTTATATCTGCAAAAACAAAGTATGAAGGTCTTTACACAAACTTACTGGAGAAATATATTACCTTGAGAAAATATGTCTAAAACATGTGGACATTCTACGGGTGTTGAAGTTATATTAATAGGTCCCGTAAGCCATTGAGCGTAAACAATAAAATATCTTGGACTCAACATTTCTTGGTAAATCTTTAATAGAGCCATAAGGGGGAATTTTTCTCGGTCATTATCATAGCGAATTATTTGTGGCAACCCATGTGTCACTTGTTGATGAGATAAAGAAAGTGTGTTAAATAGTTTAAAATGATCGTAAAATTGGGTAACGCTCACTGTTATCAATGCTGACATATTTACTTGAATGTGAATCATTAACTTTTCATTCTGACATCGATCACCATAAAACCGTTTCGAACATACACAAATGACATTATTTTCTCCACTAGGATCATATGATGGATAACATGTTGCATTCAATCCACATGGATTTGACAGACAAGCGTCATTTCGAAGATGACATCGAGGACCAAAATAACCAAAAGGACAAATGCAAAGAGGATGCTGAGTACTAGCAATCACACCGCGATAATTTGGTCGACAAATGGAATCAGAGCTGCAATAAATCGAACACTCGGTATGATAGTTCTCACACTTCGAACCACTATAGCCTGATTTGCATGAACATATATAATATCGCATTTTGTTCAGAATTGGATTACAATAAGCATTTGCGTTACATGGATTGGGAATGCAGGGATTAAATGTAGAATTACTGATCCATGATGGATATTTTAAGACAGTAGCTAGACGAAAGGCAGGAAGAAAATCAAAGTAGATTGGATGAAGGAAAGAACCAATCTGTTTCGTTGCATTTTCAGTTAGTACAAAGATATTAAAGTAAACTTCATATGGATGATCATGAAGGATGTCGGTACGATTGAAATATCGCGATTTTTTATGATTTAAGTAAGTATCGGATCGAGAATAAAGTAAATAGAATCGATGTTTGATAGGTTTGTTAATTTCCAACAAAGGATTAACGTGAAAGATATGATGATCTATAATGACGTTTGTGAAATAGAAAATAGCTACGACTGTTATTAAACGCGCTGAAATATTGACTGGAAAAGTAGGCAAATCCAAATGGGTGATGACTGAGATGCGATCAGAGAAAAATTGGCACTGAAGTCCATAGAAAGTTGGTGGGCACAGGCATCGATAAGACTTTGTATTAGGACTCCAAAGTGGAAAACCTCGATTACATATATATGATAACTGTATTTCAATTCCCGGATCTATACTTTTCGAAAATAAATTTTTGGAATTGTTCTGCTCTTTCCCAAACGAACTCATTAGTGATAATTGTGGCGATGACCATTCAAAAGGTGATTTGTTATTTTTCTTTCCAAGAGGTGGAACATTTACCTTGGGAAAAGGGCGTATGTTAGGGAGATAATCCTGGATACTTCTGTTTACGTGCTTTAGATATCGATAACTTATAACGGATTCGTGTCTTTTGTCCGCTGGGCACCAGTGCTCGTCTTCTCCATGTTGACACTGATACATTCCATCGCATCGAGCATTTTCTACACATGTTCCATTCAGACAAACAACATCTTGTAGCCCAGCACACCAAGACGAATTCTTACTTTTATAGGAACAGAGTACAGATGTTGAGCATACTGTATTTTTGTCACATTTTTGTAAAGAACCTGCACATTTGTTTCCACATTTTAGTGTATATCCCAGCATATTTCCGTTGCAATCTTTGAAAGTATTCTTTTCGTCAATACATCCATAACAATCTTCGATGCCGTCGCCAATTTGTACATGGTTGATGCACGGTGGATATTTGTTGACGTCTAAAGGATGGGAAACTGTTGATCGATAACAAGGATATTCGCGACTAAAGTTACAGAAATCACGAAATGGTAATGCTGCATAGTTCGCTTTACATAATTTTTTTCGATCATTCAACTGGGTGGATAGATGTTCATTGTGATTGATCCATTGCTTGGGTAGACCAAATTCATCACTTGCATCCGAACAATCCCATTCTCCATCACATACCCAATCGGTTAGAATACACTGGCCAGTGTTACATCGAAAAAATTCTTCTGGACAAATCCAAGATTGACAATTAGTCTTATTTTCATCATCGGGTAGTGGTTGTTCGTCCCAAAATGTGTCACAGTAATAATGAAAAGGAGTTACACCTGGTGATCGCTGTTCACTGCTGGATTCGGCATCAGTATTTGTAAAGTTGGAATTCGGAATAGATGAATTGCCAATATAATATCGAAGTAAATTGCAGTCGCTCAAGCCTATAGTATCCGCGCAACGTATACTATATAGATATTGCCCTTCACCTTTTATTTTTATATCGTACTTATTTACACACGTGCCTCTAACGTTTCGAAATTGAACCAGATTTGCAAGTGATAAGCAAGTCATCTGTTCTGGAGAACACTGGAGTCGATGCTTTTGAATGTTGTGACAATAATTTCTTTTTTCAACTGCACGACTATCTTCATCCTCTCCTAATGCACAGTCGGTTAGCCCATCTGCAATTCGATATTGTGAAAAACATATACTTGAATTCGGACAAATATCATAAAAGGCATACGGTCGTCCACTGAAAGTGAACGAATCATTCCAACATGAAGCTGAATATTTGTACAACGACATAATATTCCGATGCTCCATTGGCATACTAGAACAGAACTTATCCTCTAGAATGGAGTGTGCATATAGCACATTATGTAGCGTGAATTTGTAATGATCTTCCAGCGTCAAATTAGTGTGAAATCCTCGACATCTAATGCTACCGACGAGCAGAGTCAAATTCGGTGTCTTGCTATTCCAAGTTTGTTTCCATGAATAATATTGCATAATCCATGGCCGAATAATACCTCGACCTGGATATGAATAGACGTCGGCATGCTTGCAGACGTCTTGCAGTAATGTACTACAGTTTATTCCATCACATGGACATTGAATTTCAGCTCCCTTCGAAAGTGCGCAGCGAATGTAATAGATGCATTTCTCCAAGTTCGATGAGAGTATCAAAGAAGTATCATTGTAACCCCTTCTCGTACAAAGACCACCCGGTTTTGTCCACAATGAAGAGTCAGATGCTAATTCACACATGTAATTGAACTCCCGCATACGATAGCAAAATCTAGAGTCTTGCAATTCTGTTTGGTAGATATGTCGCTTAAAATAAGGAATGCATTGACCATCTCCACATGACCACTGACCTATGGGACATGTATGGTCATCACAATAGATAGGCCACGGATAAGAGACGCAAGTATCTCCATGTAGATCGAATGCTTCATCAGTCCAATCCATACAATCAAGTGAAGCTATTTGAGAAAAAACAATTTTTCTCCGTATGTCTACGGCTTTGACTTCTCAACTTACCATCAAGCCAATATTCTTCTGCTATACACATTCCATCAGTACAACGATATTCATCGTTTTCACATTCATTGAATTCCAATAAATCACAGTTTTCTTCATCAAGTCCATCCATACAATTTTGTTGTCCATTGCAAACATCTCTCCAATCAAGACATAACATTCCAGAGTCACATTTTAATGTCTCATAGCATAATATACTACCGTACAGTTGATGACCTTCACTATTCCTGTGCGCTTTGAAAAGTATTGGCCAAGCCTTGTTGAAGGAAGAAGGATCGAAGAGAAGTTGGTACTCGCATTTCTTTCCTAGAAATCCTTCTAAACATTGGCATAGGAATGGGTCGTCTTCAAAATTTTCCGATCGATTATAGAAGACTCGTGCATAATCATCTGCTTTTTCTATACCGGAACTCCATGATAGAACATCCCAAGGTGAAATTTCGTTTGATAATAATTCAGAAAAACTCCATCTTTTTCCGTTCAAACAAGTATTCATATTTGTGAAAATACTTACACTTGTGCCCAACCGTGCACAATATGTAATAGTAGAGAATTGTGTAAAATAAATGCAATGGAACTCTTCTGTACTGCGACTATTTTCAGTATTATAAAGAAGTACAGCTGGCCCACAGGCCCACAGATGCCAATTAATGCAATAATGATTGTGAAAACGACAAGTAGTCTATTCATTCTTGATCAATGAATGAATGAATAATGTCGCTATCCTAACATCACATAAAACTGTTAATAATATATTTCTTTTATTTGTCAAATAGATAAAATGAGTATACTGTTTTTTTTGCATTACAAGCACGTTTTGGAGATTGCCGATGCTTAGATCAACATATATTGATTTACCAGAATAGTGTGTGACAATTGCATCCTATTCTCTTTCTCTAGATTGTGGTTGTGATTGGGTGTGTGTATGAGTATGGGTAAAGTAGAAAACACACCAGAATCCACACCCACACCCACACCCACACCCACACCCACACCCACACTCTCAAGATGCGTGGATGGACCTGGGCCTGTGTGAGTGTGCGTGTGGGTGAGTATTGAATCAATTATCCACACCTTTCACCCACACTCAAATCCACACCTACACCCAAATCTACATCCACATCCACACCCGAATCCATACTCACACCCACACCCGAATCCACACTCACACCTACACCCAAATCTATACACACACTCACAACCACACCCAAATCCACACCCAAATCCACACCCAAATCCACACCCACACCCAAACTCACACCCACACTCACACCCACACCCTCCTTTCAATGTATTACCTTTAATTTTTTCTGCCATCGTGCTCACGGTTGGCATTCGTGTTTTATGCCAAATGTCTATCATTTATTGACACATTTTATTTTATAATGAAGGTAAATATGATAATAATTTACGTAAAAACATGTTCAGTCTATAGGCTAATATACATGTTAGACAAAAAAAGTATTTTACAGAGCATGTAGGTGTGATCATAATTATAATAGATAATTTATTGAATACATAAAAACGCTTAAATTACCGATAAAAATAGAAATATGTTTTAAAAAAGTTTTTCTTCTAAGAAAATAACTAGTCAGTAGTTGCAACATTGTAAACAATTGTCTGTATTGATTCTGGTAATAATGTTAAAGTTAAATAACCATGATTAGGATCTTTTACTTGTACGATTTGTGTGTGGTTTGTATCTTGATTTAAAGCAATAATAACCATTTGATTAATTGGTGTTTTGAAACTAACAATTTTCAATGGTACAACATAACGCATCTTTTCTTCTTTCACCAGTTTCATTTCAACACGAATAGAATCTCGTGGAAGAAATTTTGAAAAATGTCCCATTGCATAATACATTGGATTTTTATAAAAAACATTTCCACTTGTTGTATTTGCTATGATAGGTGAATCGACATAATATTGAAATTGATTTGGACCACCGTGTAAATCTAATACAACATTCCAATCAGTCCAACCTGTTGCTCCAACAAGTAAATCACCAATAATTGATAAAGCATAATTTGTTCCACGTCGCCACATACCCATTTTTGGTCCTTCATCAGCTTTCAAATATCCTTCACAAGCTTCTGATGCAAAATAAAAAAATTGTGGAAATGCTAATCTTGTTATATACATTTCATAAAAATCTGGAAATATCATATCTACCGTTGCATACCAATGAACCGCAATTCCATCAACATACTTATTAATACTAGTATTACGATTTATCATCTCTGCAATTCTTATAAACATTAAATCCATATCATCATCATAAATCATGATTTTAACTGATGGATGATTTGTTCGTAATTCTGGTCCTAAATCTACTCGTACCCAATCTGCTAATTGTTGTGATGTATAAAATAATCCTTTAAAATCTTTTACTTGACTATATTCATTTTGTGAAGTTATTCCCCAAATAGGTATTCCTTGTGATTCATAAGCTTCAATAAATTTACTAAAATAACGTGCCCAACTTTTATGATATTTATCACCAGGAACACCATTTAATGTTCCAACAGGATTACTTGCATTTTTTAACCAATCTGGTGCATACCAAGGTGAACCGAAAAAATAAATTGTTTCATTACTCATAGCCATAGCAGATTTTATAAATGGAATTTTTATTGGTAAATCCATAGATATAGTAAAATTATTTAAATCAAAATCATTTGGAACAGAAGCATATGTATATAGAGATAAACTAAAATCAGCAGCTCCCATTGGAATACGTCCAATATTATAATTTAAACCATCTTTACCAAAATACTGCTCTAATAAGATTTTTTGTAAATTTTCAGATAATTGACTAGTAACTACAGCAGATGAATCAGTAAATGCTCCACCAAAACCAATAATTGTTTGATAGGTTGTTGTATAATCAATTTCATATAAATCAGTTATATTAGGATTTCGTTGTGATTGAAATTGTAAATTGGGTAATTTTGTTAATCGATGAGTTCCTGCATATTCTGATGTACTTTCATATACTGCAGCTTGTGCATTTGGTATAATTCCTAATGGATCTATAACATCACAATACTTTTCTGTACATCGACAAACATTTCCATATTCAAAAGTCACTATATCACATGGAGATTGAGCAGTAATAGAATAAATACCTAATATAATCAATATTAATTGATAACTGATTGAAATAAACATCTTATTAAAATACGAAATTGTAATGAAGTTGTTTGACTTATGAAAAAAGCCAGAAATCTAAATAAATATTCAGTTTACGTGCATATAAAAGATGTACTTTTATTTTTAATAAAACTATCTTTTTTTCATACACTGACTTAGATAAGAATTATTGTTGAAATAAAGGAGGGCGAGATAGACAAACAGAAGAATTCTTATCTTTTCTCTTCATAATATCTTAAAGAATATTAGAAAAAAAAAGTCTATCTAGTCAAGCAAGCGTTGTAAAAGACATGTCGTTGTAATCAGTGTTTACAACCAAATAACTAAAAAGCAATTACTTCTTCGTTTATCAACTGAGTAATACAATAGATTTTTTCTAATCGATATATATTTAGTTGTTATAATATGCTTCTATTTATATTTATTTTTTTTGAATCAATTTATTCTCATGTTTAAAATGAGATAAATGAAAATGTATGTTTTTAACCACAATCATCATCATAGTTCGTATATGATGATGAAGACCAATTTTTATAGTACGGGTGTGATTGATGCTTTTTATTTGGTGATGACATAGTTTCGATTATTGGAGTTGGTAGATTGCCGAGTTTCTTGATATTCTTTGCCTTTTTGAGCTATAACATTATTTTTTACTGATATTTGTTGTTTCTGATTCTCTAGTTGATTTTGTTGCTTTGATAAATCAGTCACAACACTAGATCCTGAAGAAACACTATTCGAAGTACTTCCTTGAGTAGTATTAGTTATGAGTATTTGGAAATGCGAATTCGACTTATTTTAAAATATTGATTACGAATATATATATATATAAGAAAAAGAGATTATAAAATTAAAAAAACAAGATGTGACATATTTACACATATTCAATGAGTCTCTAAGAGCAAATATGTGTTATATAATATATTGCTTTGTTGTTCAATGTTTCTTACATCAAATACATCAATAAAAATAAACTCACTGCTTTCATTCTTCTTATAAAAAATAACTCGATAGTCACAGCTAAATTAGATAAAATCTTGAAAGTTTGATTGTTGGCATCATATTTATCTCACATATCTTTTTGTAAAACATGTATCATTATGCGGTATTTCCCAGTTTTACTCTTGCTTTTCTCAACATCACCTAGTGTTGTTTCAAGATTACAATGTCTTTCATACAGGGAAAAAAATAATTACTAAGTATATTGTTACGATTGATATCTTGAGGGTGGGTGCGGCTTTTTTCCATCCACACCCCTCACACACCATCAAGATGGTATTACATTGATGAGTCTTGTCATGTTTTATAAGAATTTTTAATTTTGATTTGAATGATATTCAATCTTTTATTGTGCGAATAAATCAGCTATGCAAACTTGAGTTTTTAGAAAAAGAAACAGTAAACTTTTCAAATTTCATTATAAAATATTTCTTTCTTTATTTATTTATTGGTTCAATTCAAATTCATTTGCAATGCTTTCGAAATCACTGTTAAAACACTGTTAAATATTTATTAGGGTGTCGATGTGAGTGAAATAAATTACCTTCATGCACACTCATTCATCCACATCAACAGGATAGCCATATGCAAACCCTCAACATCTATTGAATACATTCTTCAGTCTTCTTATATGTTATCAATATTGTTCTTTCATGTATAATGTTTAGCTGTTCGTTCTATACATCTTTTTCTTTCGTTCTTTTTCTTTTTCTTATTAACTATGACTCACGTTTACCATTAATAAATGCTTCTATTGACAAAACTATCAGAAAAAAAAAAAACACATTATAAAAAGTAACATATAAACGAACACATCACGTATTTCACAATTTCTATCGATGTCGAATGAAAACAAACAGTCTTTCCTCACGTTACCGATCGAAATGGTCTACCGAATACTTGACCACCAAAAGGCTATCACTATTTTATGTTCAATGCGAAATGTATGTCATCGGCTGAATACAATAATAGATACATATGATCGATATCAGGTAAACTTCTTTTTTTTAATCATATTATATAATTAAATAGAGTAACTTTGATTAAATATAAATCAAAAACTAGCCTATAAAACAGGTATTTTCCAATACTAAAGTTATATAAAAGAAATATACAAATGCAGATGAAAACTACTCCATGTTTCTTTATGATTTTTATTTGCGTGTCACATGTCATAGAAATGTATACTGAAGAACGAAAAAAAAAATTGATGAATACATTTTTTTATACAGTAGAATGTTTTACTACACCTTTCTTAACTTTTTGCAATAATAACAGATGCCTTATTGAATATGATATCTTTCATATATTCTCAAAGAAATAGCAGAGATATTTCTCAATGATAAATATAGCCTTATTACAGATAAGAAAGTGATATAATGAGCGAAAGTTTCGTTATTTCATGCTCCTAAAGAAATAAAACTTTCAATCAGTTGCCTGTACTTTCAAAAACAAGATCAGCTCATTAAGTTGAAGAGTAATAAAAATATTAAGATTTTCCCATCCCTGGTGACTTTACAAAGATTCGATATGAATGATGATACAACCGTTTATGTCTTTAAACTTTCTAATAAATTAGTGTATAATATTTGTTTAGAGAGCAAAAGACATTTGATTACTAATTTTCAAACCTACAAAATTTTCTATTTCTCTCAAAATGCCAAAGCAAAATGTGTGTACATTTTTTTATCTTCTAGAAATTTACTACATTGGATCAGGAACGGTATAAGATGGGGGATAAAGGCGTAAAATATCTAGCTAATGCATTACGAGAAAATACGGTATAGTAATATTTATTTTTTATTTATATATCTCATATATTCATCTGTACTTTTTTCACGTAGGTGCTCACTAAAGTGAATCTTGGGTATAACAACATCTGTGACGCAGGAATAACAGATATAGCTGATGCATTACGAACTAATACGGTAATCATCATCTTTTCTCTATTCACCTCATACATTCAAACTCACATTTTCATTTAGGCGCTTATCACACTAAATCTTAACAATAATGAAATTGGAGAGTCCGGAGCAAAACATTTGGCTGATGCAATACGAAATAATACGGTAGTCTTCATATTTTCTTTCTCTATCTCACAAATTTCTATGCACATTTTCACTTAGGTCCTTACCACATTAAATCTTAACAACAACAAAATTGGAGACTGCGGAGCAAAATATCTAGCTGATGTAATACGCAATAATAAAGTAGTCTTTATATTTTCTTTTTCTATCTCACGTATTTGTATGCATATTTTCACTTAGGCACTCATCAAATTAAATCTTCAATACAATCAAATCGGATCTGATGGAGTAAAACATTTGGCTGATGCACTAAAACAAAATAGAGTAGTCTTCTATTTTTTTTGCTTATCTTATATATATCTATTTACACTTTTCTACTCAGACACTCAAAATATTAAAACTTGGTCAAAATCTAATTGGAGACGACGGAACAGAATATCTGGCTGATGCTCTAAGAGAAAATACGGTAACTACTATTCTTTCTTTACCTACCGCATATCTCAATATATTTTGTGTTCACTTAGATACTCGCTGAATTATATGTTCAAAACAATCAAATTGGATATATTGGAGCATGCTATTTAGCTGATGTATTAAAACGAAATAGAGTAATCTTCATTCTTTCTTAATCTTTTTCATTTATTGTTGTATATATATACACTTTTTTACTCAGATACTCAAAACATTAGATCTTGAACTCAATCAAATTGGGGACGACGGCACAGAATATCTGGCTGATGCTTTAAGAGATAATACGGTAATAACTATTCTTCCTTTATTTATCGCATACCACTATATGTTTTGTTTCCACTTAGATACTCACTGCATTATGTCTTGAGAACAATGAAATTGGACCTAATGGCGCAGGCTATTTAGCTGATACATTAAAACAGAATAAAGTAGTTTTGATTCTTTCTTAGTCTATTTTATATTTATATATATTGACACTTTTCAACTTAGACACTCAAAACATTAAATGTTCGACAAAATCAAATTAGCGACAGAGGAGCACGTTATCTGGTTGATGCACTACGAAATAATACAGTATGCGTCATTCTTACCGTATCTACCTTAGATTTTCATCGACATTTTCTCATTTAGACACTTACTGTACTAAATATCAACGGTACGGTAGTCAGTGACAAAATGGCAATTGAATTCGATGAGTTTATTGAACGAAATAAACGACTGACAAAAAACTAGGTGCTGAAAATAGTCTTTTTTTATAACTAATTCGAAGTAACTGATGGATGTCAGAAAAGCTATTTTTGCTTTGTATTTTTGTATAAACAAGAATAAATAAAACTGTTTGATACTGCGCATAACGTGTAGTATTATGATGATATTGACATCATTTTGGAATATGGGCCGAGGGTGGGTGTGGGTGTTCTCTTTAAACCAACAACGGACACATCCACATCTTCAAGATGATTTTTATTTGTTACCAGATACAGATTAATCATTGAAATTAAACTATCTTCATAACCTTTATTTCCTGAGGATGGCTGTGGGTGTAGGTAACCACAGAACAAACACTAACATTCACACCAATCCTAAGAAAATCCTAATGAACGCTTTTATGTGTAACAAGAAACGTTTTTTTTTCGGTTAAGATTATCATTCAAATCCCGACAAACTCCTGATTTAAAAGCAAAGAATAATCTAAAAGTATCATATCAGGATCTAATTATAATCCTGTGAAAATCTTTAGTATTTCGTGGCTACATGTTTCTTTCAGAATATTGATGTTTCTACAGGAAAAAAAAGGCAAATTCTTGCAGGATTCGTGCCCAGTCTGGCTCAGATTAATCAAAGATTTTTTTTCTAGGAAAGTGATGTATTTCTGATATTTTCTGCAAGCGGATGTTTCTCCATCGACAAAATATAACTATGAATATTTATGAGCATATAAGATGCCGTCCGTTTTTTTCAGAGAAATTATAATCTGAATAGAAATTAAAAAAGGGATACAACATAAAAAAGAAAATAGAGAACTGCCTTTCAGAATAAAATAACGACGGAAATACCAACAAAAATGATTGACAGATGGGAAAAAATGACGTACTAACATATTTAATTTTCATCAAACTCATTATTTTTAAAAGAAAACGTGATGAAGTGTGATGTGAGAAACTGCGATTCTAGACGATTTTGTTCAACCACGTGAGTCAGACTGTTTGTTCAGCTTTCGAAAACTGTTTCCAACAGAACTTTTTCCAGAGAAAAATTTTCCTTAGGTAAAATATAACAAAACGTCATTTTTTTCCATCTGCCAATCGTTTTTGTTCGTATTTCCGTCGTTATTTTATTCTGAAACGCAGTTCTCTATTTTCTTTTTTACGCTAAATCCACATTTTAATCTCTATTTAGATTATAATTTTTCTGCCTGAGATTTTTTTTCTCTGAAAAAAACGGACGGCATCTTATATGCTCATAAATATTCACAGTTATATTTTGTCGACGGAGAAACATCCGCTTGCACAAAAAAAAAGAAATACATCACTAGTTTTCGTGTCAACATCTCTGAACATTTTTGTCTTAACTTGGAACAGTAAAATTTTATTCTGAAATACCTTGTATTTTTCTAACGAGAGAACTCTCTCCGAAGTATTCTATGCTGCATGAATCCATACTATACTCACCAGACGATTCTCGATTAGAGTTGCAAAAATCTAAAAGAGTCAGCCCTGATGGGGACCCTGAAGGTAAGTCATGGCAAGTTTACTCATTTTTAGAGTGGTCTGTAAGTAAGCCGCATTAGAGACGCACGGGCAGAAAAGCTAAGTTTTTTGTAGTTTCTACATAAAAAAACACAATGCTCAGCGAAATTCATTAAAAATATCGTCGGTTACGAGAGGAAAAGGTTTAGGTTCTTTGGGGTTTCTGAGTTTTTATGGGAAAATCCCAAAACCTTAAAAAAGCCAACTTTTCTTCGTTAGATTTCGCTCAAAATCTCAATTTCCATCCTTTTCCTTCTTGCTTCTCTCTCACAATTAGAGAGGAGTGGGTCCACGTTTTTTTAGACCCGGACCCGATCCAGATCCGGATCCGACCGGGCCTAGGCTCGGATTCATTTTACTAATACATAGCACCCTCTGTGTGCAAGGAAATGTAAAGGATCGGAGTCGTGGCTACTTTTAACTGGCTACAAGCAAAAAAAATGTATATAAAATTCTTTTTGTTCATTCATATCGTATCACTATCAACCGATGTTTCAGAAATTTAAATTTTTCATTTAATTTGAAATGATCTAAATTTGAAAGTGTATAGAAACCGGATCTGAGCCGATTCTCAGCTCCCTACTCATAACCAGCCTGCCACCGTAGATGGATACTCTTCATTAAAAACATTTCAGGTTATATATTGAGATTTTTCACCATCTCTTCCTGCTTGTAAGCATTGCAAATCATTGTTAAAGCTCAATGATTACTTTTTTTTGATAATAACCATAGTGAATAAATGAGTTCCCCGTTTTAGGCCCAAAGAAAGCGGCGCTGATGAGCGTTTTTGATAAGAATTATTCAATAATTATTAAAGTTAATGCAATATGTGAGTAGACGATTGAATGGCAATAAAAGGCTATAGATTCGGTTCTCGTCATTACTATCGATGAAAAATCGGTTTATTTTTGCATCATGCAATCATTAGTCGTTAGGACTTTTTCAGAATAAGTCATGAAGGCATTGAACTCGGCTATTGCAGTTTAAGAATGCATGTTGCAAGATGCTACTTAGCATCTTAGTCGATTTTCAGATAAAAAGATCTCTTTTGCTCAAATAATTTCACTGAGAATGAAGAGGATAGTATCCGCACTCACACTCACTCACCAACCACCCGCATCTTCACTTACACTCACATCTTAATTATTTCAGATATATTAGGTCCAAGATGACTATATTATTACCTTTTATTATCAGTAATATTCTCATCGTTTCTAATGCAAATACATGGCAACCTTTTTACAATCTTTATAATACAGACGGGATCAGCAATGATTTTGATCATGATTGTCTCTATTCAACAATAACTCAGAATATCGGTTTAGATGAAAATACTTATATAATTCAGGAAATCATTGAATATTGTATTCGAACATCTTTGAAAGGCATAATCGATGTTAATGAGAAATCAATATCGTCTAAATTAACTTTTGATGAATTAAAAAAGAATAATATAACTTCTACAGATTTAATGGAATGGTCGAGTCCAATTGATCTTATCGAACGTTATGAATACTTTTTGCAAATGAACACACCATCATTATCAAATGAAGTATTTTATAATTGTACTCCACCATGGTTTGGATCATTTTGTCAATATAGATTTATTTTCAATCAATCATTGTCATCTTTTATTCAAATGAGAATTAACGACCGCATTTTGTTCGATAAAAATACGACATTATCCTGTTACGTGCATATAAAATGTGACTTTGGTTCACCTTTAATCTGTCTCGATTGGCGTGAAATATGTGATGGAAAAGTCAATTGTCTTGATGGTGGTGAAGACGAAAAATATTGTGCTGAACTTGAAATCAATCGATGTGCAGAAAATGAATATCAATGTCGAAATGGTATGTGTGTGAACGAAGAATTTCTTTCAGATGAAGGTATTTTACTGATGCACATTAGTAGTCCAGAATGTTTGGATGGATCGGATGAAGTCCGGTTTGACAGCAGGTTTACATGTGCGAGAGATTCATCTTTTAAATGTGAAGATGTTCTTTGTCCACAATACACTGATTTTAGCTGTGGAGATGGTAATTGTCGTGCTATGGACAAAAATCGAGGGATTCTTCCATGCATAAATAATCGTGACCGAGCAATAAATTATATGTTTGACTGGGACAATCCTGTGGATGCACGATATTCTCGTTGTTTCAAAACTCTTATGTGTGTATCGTACCCATGGTTATCGAAGAACTTTGATAAATATTGCAAAAGCTTGTGCAATAATACACAAGAATGTAAAATACAAACTGTTAAAGATTGCCCACCAGCGTTCATCGCACCTACCTTTCCTGTATGGGATAGTCATGTGAGATTTGGGTATTTTTCTAATGGAACATCTATCAAAAGCTTGGGATATGAACCTGACTTTGTATGTTACAACAAAGATCGTTGTCCATTTCTCATTCCAACATTTACATTAGATAATCATACATGTCTACACAGTACCCAACTAAATTTAACACCAAGTTATACCGTGTATGAAGTATTTAGGGCATGTAACCAACTCTTTCGAAATAATAATGAGAATACCTGCCGAGATACAACTACTACAGTACGTTGTTTAGGGACGAATAAATGTATACCTAATCGTCGGATTATGGATGGATTTATCGATTGTTATAATGCTTTTGATGAATCAATTGCAGCTAATTCATGTGCATTGAATGATAAATATCGTTTTCAATGCACATCTGAACAGAAATGTCTCTCGCCTATTCTTGTGAATGATGAAAAGGCGCAATGTATCGGTCGAGAAGATGAGTCTTTGATTGACGGTACCGCAACTACGATTCATCAACTTTCTTATTCTGCTTTTTGTAATAATTGGACTGAAATAGTTTCTGTAACTAACGAAAGCGATGAAACTCATTGTGAACAATGGCCATGTGTAAATCAATATACACGTTGTAATTCAGTATGGAATTGTGAAAAAGGAATTGATGAAATTAATTGTTCAACAAGTTTTCAATGTCCTGCAAATCATCATCCTTGTTTGTCACCAAAGAGCCGCAAGATGGATTGTTTACATATAAATCGTATTGAAGATGGAACTATTGATTGCCTTGGATCAACAGATGAGCGATCTCATTGTCGAAACCAATCAGAAAATGCTTTGATACGTTATCGCTGTTGGAATGATACGAAATGTACTACAGCTCCTCGTGCCTGTCAAGATTGTGATAAGTCCAACGAATTCGATCAATCATGTGATTGGTTTAATGAAAAAATTCAAGACATTATTAAATATATAAATTCTATAGACGACAACGGTCTTTTTAGAAGACAGTCATTCTCTCATAAATCATCACGTAGTTTTCCTCCAGTTCAATTATCATTACCAATTCACAAGCAGATACAAAATCATATGATAAAAACTGAGAAATTGGCTACTAGTATACATAATAATGATCCAAGATTATGGTTATGCAATAAAGGATCTGTGATTCTGGTTGGTAAAAATGAACTAGAACAATGTCTTTGTCCAGCAAGTTATTATGGTAATCTTTGTCAATATCAAAATCAGCGTGTTAGTCTTACTATTCGATTACGTCAAGAAAATTTAAACAAGTTAAATGTGATTGGTATTATTATTAGACTTGTGGATCATACTGGTTTTGTTCATTCCTACGAACAAATTACATACAAATCCTTAATTAATTGTAATACAAAATATAATATGCATCTTCTTTATCAAAATCGTCCAAAAGATATGACGAAGAATTATACAATCTATATCGATGCATATGATAAAGTAAATCTTATTTATCTTACAAGTTGGATATTTCCAGTTAAATTTCTTTTTATGCCTGTTAATCGTATGAGTGTTCAATTGATAATTCCAACAAAACAAAATTGTTATTTATTGTGCAGTGATAAATATCTAAAATCATTAACAAATGATAATATGCAATCTTGTCGATGCTTAAATTGGGTGGATTCAATTCATACGATACAAAACAAATGTAATTGCTCGTTAGATTCGATCTGTATTGGTTTGAAAGAAAATCGACCAATTTGTCTTTGTCGTTTAAACAAAACAGGACCTCGATGTTATCTTAATTCAGTCTGTCAAATGAATAACAAATGTATGAATAAAGGTATTTGTGTACCATATGATTTGCGACAATCTTTAACTAACTTCACATGTGTTTGTCCAGATGGATTCTCTGGCGAATTTTGTGAGAAGACAGATGTAAGAATAGACATCTCGTTTTCTCATATAGAAATTCCACAATCTCTACTTGTTCATTTCATTAATGTTATACCACATCTTTATGGAAGAGATAAAACAGAACCAATTCGAGTAACTATGTTCAAGAAAATTTTATTCAATCAAAAAACAATAACTTTACACATGTCATTACCTTTTCATCTTGTTTTCGTTGAATTTGAGCATATGTATTATCTTATTATTCTTCAACATAGTTATACATCTTCAGTTACTTTTTCTACAAAAATCTCTCCATCACAACGTTGTCCACACATTCACGAAGTATTAGATGAAGTTATAATTGGATATTCACATCTTCGTCGTGTAAAATATTATCACAGTATATGTCAAAATCATCCTGATCTTATTTGTTTTCATGATAGTTACACATTTATGTGTTTATGTACAGAAGAAAGACATGCTAATTGTTTTCATTTTGATTTTAATATGACTTACAATTGTTTAGGTCAAAATGATTGTCAAAATGATGGACGATGTTTTCAAGATCATCGACATTGTCCAACAAAAATAATGTGTGTTTGTCAAGAATGTTTTTATGGTGATAAATGTCAATTCACTACAAAACATTCTGGTCTTTCACTTGATTCTATTTTGGGTTATCATATTCACCCACATTTATCATTAATACAACAATCTTCACCCGTTCAAATTAGTATAACTTTAGGTACATTAATATTGATTATTGGTCTCATTAGTGGCATTTTATCAAATCTAACATTTCAAGTAAAATCAACTCAAAAAACAGGTTGTGGTCTTTATCTTTTTACTTCATCAATTACATCGATTCTCGTCATCATTTTTTTCTATATTAAATTATGGATTCTTATTTTTTCTCAAATGAATACTATAACTTCTCGATCTTTTCTTCTGTTCAATTGTATTTCAATTGAATTCATTATTCGATTTTTATTAGCAACGACTGATTGGTTACATGTTTTTGTGACAATTGAACAATTTTTTGTTGCTTTTGTGGGTATTAATTTCGATAAGGCAAAGAGTCGAAAATTAGCTAAACGAATTATATTTATCGTTTTTGTATTGACTGCTGTATCAATCCTTCATGATCCAATTCATCGTCGTCTAATTGATGATATAGACGAAGAAAGAACATGGTGTTTGGTTAAATTTACATCCAGAGTAGAAACTTATAACAGATTTATCAATATATTTCATTTTATTATTCCTTTTTCACTAAATGTTCTCTTAGTCATTGGTATTATGATTATTACTGCAAGACAACGTTCATCTACACAACGACAATTTACTTTTCGAAAACAACTAAAACGTCGATTTTATCGCCATAAAAATCTTATTCTTAATTCGATTCTATTGATTATCTTGGCATTACCTCGTCTGATTATTTCCTTCTTACCTAATTGTATGAAGTCACCAAAGGAATATAAATTATTCTTAGCCAGTTATTTCATTTCATTTATTCCACCTATACTTCATTTTTTCATTTTTGTATTAACATCGAAAATATACAAAAAAGAATTTACTAAAATGTTTAGACAAAAATGGACAATATTTCGACGTTATTTTTTTCCAATTCGTGTAACACCCACCCGATATTGAATGACAAAACTTTTAAGTATAATCAATTATTCAGCTTTTGTTTTTGTATACCTTACTTGTCAATGTAGTATTTTTCTGTGCTTTTGAAGAACTGTAATAAAACGAAACAAAAATAGTTTCAGGAATCGAGTTCATTCTTGAGTAAATTATTTAAATTATATTTTATATTTCGTTGACGTTTATGTCGATGCATAATGAAACTATTATACTAGAGAATACTTTTATTTCAAAATAAGAAAGCAAAAAAGTGAAGTTAGTTGAAAGTTTATAAAAGAGAGATTATAAAGTTAAAGCTTAAAACTTGTGAAAAAAAAACTAAATAGGATATATTCGTAGAAAGAATGTTCCATGCTTTTCTTTTCGTTAGCCTAGTCGTTCTTCTCGACAGAATGAATTTGGTTTTCGTCAATGACGAAAAGCCAATCGAGTGCAGGACCAATGACACCATCGAAAGGTGCTGTTAATTTCTGTGTCTGACCATCGACTCGGGTAATTTCGATGCTTTCTATTGTATCGCGGCATTGAAACGAACCGTATTCGATAACTCGCTCTGCAACTTGATAGTTTCCACTTGCAGGTATATCAAAATTTGATATTTCGCCTTCAACGAGTCCTCCTTCACGTTCTACTTTTCGATAGACAATTTGAACATTAACATTGTTAGATGACTTATTTTCAATGATGCAACTGTGCACGTAACGAGGAGCAGCAACACCGACACCGGGATGACTCATGTTTCGATGTGATTTTGATTATAAACGATAAACGATAAATGAAGCCTTATTGATGTGTAATGATACAAAAAGAGACAAAAATTATTCGTTTGAGATACAAAATCATTCACCCGTGCACTTTATTTTTACAATCCATACGATTACCAACCAAAGTAGCATAAAAAAGAAACGATTTATAATGGTTTGTTTCAGACGATTAGAAAAGAAGAAAAAAGTATATCGAAATATACGCACATGATAGAATGTGTATGCAATGTACGAAGAGACGAATATGTTGAAAACAACAAATATAACACAAAAATGTCAAACAACAACAAGGATTCATCAATATATATGATTTTGGGGGTGTCGTTTTCTTTCGATAAATATTTTTTTATCTCTCATTTTTTTGCAAAAACCAGAAAATATTCTTGACATGTTACATGTATAAACGACGATCGTAAGATTGTTTTTATATCTCGGTAAAATTTGAAAAGCTTTGAAAGAATATTTATGTCAAGGATTTTGTTTCATAGAGGAATTTAAAATAGTTTTATGCATAATTTTTATTGTTATCTACTTTGTCGATGTATTATTTATTCGGATCAAAATCAAAAGACGAAATTCTAAAAATTGCTGCTAAGAGCTACGGAATAATAAAAAGACTTAGTTCTAAAGCAGGAGCTCATCTATAGTAGAAATACTTATCACAAGCTCATGGAAATATTTAGAACATATAGAAGAGAAATTTTTGATGTTTTCATATATCATTTAGGTTTATATAGAGACAAAGTTTTATGGAGATCTAAGTTATTAATTATTGCTGGGTGTGGGTGTGGGTGTAGGTATGCGTATGTGTATGTGTATGAAAACTGAATTCACCTAGCGGCCACATCCGATATCAACAAAAATCAAGTAATGAGAATAAAATAATTTGTTTTTCTTTGTTTCATTTAACAAAACATTTGATAAAAAATTAATGGTTTGTTCTCAAAAAATAATTTTCGTTAAAAAAACGTGATATATTCTAAATATACTTTAGTATAAGCATTGTCATAATAATCAAATTTATGTTGAGATTTGAACGATGCAGTTGAGAAAGTATCGTATGTGCATAAATCATCTTTTAGCATAGTATATTATGAATTTGCAATTCTTATGTGAAAAACTACTTCGACGGAATAAATTAAACTATCGATCATCAAATCCAACAATTATTCATTGCAAACCGTCAACTACTCGTTTATATCTTTATTATTTCTGTTGGTGTTTTAATAACATACACATCATTTAGCATACGGATCACAAATGAATCTATTCTATACTTTCAAGTTATTTGCGTTATCAAAATCTTCAAAAGAAATATATTGATTATTCACAATGTTCGTGCACAAAAACGTCGATTTCTTACAGAAAATTTATAAAAACAATCCCAATATTTTATTAAATGTATTCAAGTAATTTCGTACCACAAAAATGGATTGATTTTATATTTGCAGCAGATATAACATTACTTTGGCCAATTGATGTATGACGAGATGTTTTCATCCGAGAAAGACTTTTACTTAAACTTTTTGTTTATAATGAAAAAAAGTAGCAGCACATCTCTTTTTACTTATAAAGTAAATACTTGATAAATAGGTGAAATGAATATATAGAATGAATTCAACAACGAAATGTTTTACCGATGGTATTTATTATTAATGATAGAATAATTATTAGAAAATATATTTGATTTTTAACTCCTAAATAAAATAAAAATAACTAAGATTTATATTCGATATTTTGGAAAAGATTCAATCCATTGAAGTGTTATAATGTATCAATATTTGGTATTAAATATAATGTTTCATTTAATTGATTAAAATGCAAAAAAAAACATTGTTTATATTTAAGTTTGTCATTTGATTTAATCGAATAATACGACGAAGAGACACATTTTGAGATCATTTATAATGAAATGGAAGATAATATAAAAGTGTTAATTGATTAACATTTGTAAAATAATTTAAACAATTGTCTATAACTTTGGAATTTTCAATATAAATATGATTTGAATAGGTTTCTGAATTTAAATTATTAATTAATTTGAAAGATTTTTTTTCTTTGCAAATAAAAAATATTTCTTTTTATTGTTTTATCTACATAGTTTCATTTTCATAATCATAACATATTTTACAGTGATCTTCAAATATATAACTGATTGATAAATAACATAATTGAGGAACATATGATGATAAATGCATAACTTCATTATGATGAAATGCATCAATAATAGTGATATATTTAATAAAACTTGATTTATTGATTGAAATAGGTAATTGCCTATATAGAAAACATTTGGATTTTAACTTTTATCTAAGAGGAGTAGATAATGAATTAGGATTTGGTAAAAAAATTAACGTGCAAGAAGATTTTCAAATTAAGAAAATTTATGCGATAATAAACGAACAACAAATTCAGAAGAAATACAGAATCAAAATGTTGTTAATAGTTTTTTTTCAAAATAAGATTCGAATAGTTCGACTTTAGTTCCAATCTGATAGATCTATCCAAAAAGATCTTTCAATCATATGATCTAGAGGTGTAGGAGTCCTATTGAAAATTATTTTATCAGATTTTCTTAGCTAAAATAGAGTTTAAATATCAATACATCAATCATATTATTTAATTTAACTGAAATTGATTCATCATTCTTTGTCAATATGGATCCTTAGTTAAAATGATGAATACAAATAAACATAAATAGTTCTTATGCATTCAATATAGTTGGTTGCATGTATCTTAAGTTAAAGACGTTTTTTTAATTTAATTGTCATTGATAAATAATAATACAAACAAAAGTTCATCATTTTATATTTACTCAAACTAATATTTTGAATATTAAAAAAGAATATCGAATTATTCAGTCGTGTAATTGAATCCATTGTAAGATTATGTTAAAAAATGTGGGGGTAAATTTGTCTTATCTTACAATTTTTCTATTTATTAGACAAGGAGAAAATGAAACAAAATGATGTACCGATTTTTATCTTGAGGAATGTGGATGTAAATGTTGATTTAATTTTTCATCTGTTGTTCGTATAACTAAAGAATACTTTTATTTCAAAATAAGAAAGCAAAATATGAAGTTAGTTGAAAGTTTATAAAAGAGAGATTATAAAGTTAAAGCTTAAAACTTGTGAAAAAAAAACTAAATAGGATATATTCGTAGAAAACGTTGTTTAAAAGTTAGTAGAAAGAGTGTTCCATGCTTTTCTTTTCGTTAGTCTAGTCGTTCTTTTTGACAGAATGAATTTGGTTTTCGTCAATGACGAAAAGCCAATCGAGTGCAGGACCAATGACACCATCGAAGGGTGCTGTTAGTTTCTGTGTCTGACCATCGGCTCGAGTAATTTCGATGCTTTCTATTGTATTGCGGGTTTGAAATGAACCGTGATCCTGAACACGTTCTGCAACTTGATAGTTTCCACTTGCAGGTATATCAAAATTTGATGTTACGCTTTCAACGAGTCCTCCTTCACGTGCTACATTTTGATACACAATTTGAACAGTAACATTGTTAGATGACTTATTTTCAATGCTGCAACTGTGTACGAAACGAGGAGCAGCAACACCGACACCGGGATGACTCATGTTTCGATGTGATTTTGATTATAAACGATAAACGATAAATGAAGCCTTATTGATGTGTAATGATACAAAAAGAGACAAAAATTATTCGTTTGAGATACAAAATCATTCACCCGTGCACTTTATTTTTACAATCCATACGATTACCTACTAAAGTAACATAAAAAAGAAACGATTCATAATGGTTTATTTCAGACGATTAGAAAAGAAGAAAAAAGTATATCGAAATATACGCACATGATAGAATGTGTATGCAATGTACGAAGAGACGAATATGTTGAAAACAACAAATATAACACAAAAATGTCAAAGTACAACGATTCATCAATATATATGATTTTGGGGGTATCGTTTTCTTTCGATAAATATTTTTTTATCTCTCATTTTTTTGCAAAAACCAGAAAACATTCTTGATATGTTATATGTATAAACGACGATCGAAAGATTATTTTTATTGGATATTTTTATGTTTCGATAAAATTTGAAAAGCTCTGATAGAATATTTATGTGAAGGATTTTGTTCCATAGAGGAATTTAATATAGTTTTATACATAATTTTCATTATGTACGTTGTCAATGTATTATTTATTCGGATCAAAACCAAGGGTGTAGGTATGCGTATGGGTATGAAAACTGTATTCATCTAGCACCCACACCATCTTCTTTTGAATTACTATATAAGCAGTAATATATACATTTATTCAACCTTTTCTTTGTATAAAAAATAAATTTCTTTTGTTCTTTTTCTTCTTGAAAATCTCATCTATGCTTTAATCATTCTATTGATTTACTTCATTAAAATATTTGAGTGGCTTCTTTTGAAAATGTGCACATTCTTTCATAATAAAATGCATAGTAGCAAAAAAAGAAAAAAAGTTACAAATATCATTACTTTATAAAACAAACGAAACCAATAATTTAGCGAAGCGAACATACCATTACATATACATAATACCATCAGAAAATTTCATGTTATTTGAATTTTGTTTTGCAAATCATCTCACCTAAGCAATTTCATTTTGGTAAGTTCTACATTTAAAACAGGGTGGGTGTGAGTATTGTTCGTATTTCACACCCACAACCTCAAGAACAATACTGCAACAAACATACATACATATAAAATATAGTGAGAAAAGAAAATACTGACAAAAAAGAACAGAACAAAATTAATCAAACACAAAAAATGGATGTAAATCTGAAGACTGCTAGAAAGAAATAAAGTCTCATTGAGATGAAAAAAAGTAATATGATCACCAAAAGAAGAACATGGATCCCACTCTACTGAAAAGAAGTGTAGTTTATCACGTCTCATTGTAATATAGTTTTTGTTCTAGTAAGACTTTTACTTGAGATGTGTACATATTCAAAATTTCAAATCAAACACATATATCTTGAATGAAATACAATTATTATGAAAAAATGTGTTGTCTGATTGATAGTTTATTCGAAAAAGAGATCAGATATCTTCCGAACTGTAGAATACTTTTTTAAACGGATTGCATAGATATTCATCAGACAATTGCTTTTGTAATATATATAAAATTTAGTTAAATTATTTGATTTTTCGATAACGGATATATGTACCTAAATGCACTGATCCAGTAAAAACATTAGTAATATAGTTTGTTAGATGACTTCATACAACAATATCCCTTTTTTTCCTAGCCTATACACATTGTATCTACATTTTGTGTTATTCTAGTGTTCTTCAGTATAATTACTTTTCTTTATATTTATTATGGATTATTCTCTCTCATAATCTCTAAGAAGTTACTATTTAGCGTCAAACTCTAGTTGATTCTATCGTTTCTGTTGAATCAAGATATTTTTTTATGGTTGTGACTTATAAAATATATACCTAAATATAAATCGATACAAAGAGTTCCGACAAAAATCTGTGAGATGATATATGATATATAAGCCTTGAGTGTAATATATCTCTGTGTATTGTCAATTACTTCAAAGACTATAATACAAAGATGAACTATTTATGTTTTTTTGTAACATAGAAATGTAATTATTTTGTGAGAGAAAAATTAGATATGAACATTTTATTTTCAAAAAGATTGATTTTCACTAGGGGTGTTACTTTATTTTATGAAGTAAAGATAAAGTAACACCCCTAGTTCTCACTAACCCTGCTCGTATGAATTTGGAGCATGAACATGCCGCTATGCTTGATAGAAAAATGAGCCCGGTTGGTAGAGTTATAGTGTAAATATTCATTTTTTCCTTCAGTGGATGATTTTTGGGCCATTCTGTATGCCGTTGAACAGCTAATTTCCATTAAATATAATTCGATTTTGTATAAATTGAAGTTTATTTCAGGTTGATGCAATTCAAATCCATCTATCTGCCTCGATTGTATTCAAATAAACGTTTTCTTTATGCGACCTCGTGTCTTAATACAAATTAATAATGAATACAAGATATGGGATTATATTCATTTCCTTGGTTTCATTCTTACTTTTTTTTCAAATGTATCGTTTTCCTCGAAATATCAAACCAATTCAGTCATATTATAATGATAAACACGTTAATATTGGCTTCACTAAATTCGAGTTACTGCAATCAAAACAACGTGAAATCGATCTTATACAAAAGTATAATTTGAGTGCCATAGTACTTCATTGGAAACGATCAGCAAGTGTGGCAAGAGCCGTAAATAATTTAGTTAATTCTAAGCTCTTCAAAGAAATCGTTATTTGGAATAATAATCCAGAAATTATTCTCAAACAAACTCAGTTTCAACAGAATGCACGTTTCGTAGTTGATATTCGTGTAATTAATTCAAAAGAAAATCTTAAAGATGAAGCAAAATATCGTGCATGTGCTGCAGCACATAATATTGCTTGTTTCTATGCTGATGATGATTGGGATGCATCATTCTATCTAAAAAGTCTCATAGCTGATTTTCGAGCTGATCCATATGTGTTACATTCTGTTACTGATCCGGGTACATTCTATACATATTTGATGTGGAGTTATTTTGATAAAAATATTAATTTACATACTGGTTTTTCATGGATTGGTTGTGGAAGTATTTTCTTGCGTGAATATGCTCAACGACATATTCAATATTTACACACCTATTTAAAGAATAATCGTAGTAAGTCAATAGAATATTATAATGTCAGGAAAAACGAAAATCAAGAAGACCGAGACTCTCAGTCTTGTCTTGAGCTCGAAATATCTCTGCTCAAAAGTTGATTTTGCAAAATAATTTTATCACTTATTACAATTACTAAGAAGTTTATGAGGTTCTCATCATCAAAAACAAATAATAGTCGATTACATGTAATTCATAGTAGAATTATACGAAATTATTTTATATAAGCAACTTTTGAGACATATTATAAAATAATATGATATTTTTTTGATGTTTCTAAATAGATTTGATTCATCTTAGTGATGTATTTTTTTCTATTTGGCTTAATGATATTCCATCACAATTCAATATGTATATTCGTAATTTGCCACAGAGCCATACAGGTGCACCATTTTCATCATCATCAAATTTTATTCAATATCAATATCAAAGTTCGATTTTAGCTATTCGTATTCTAGAACATCATCTACGTTGGAATCAATCTAATATTACAGATAATATCAAATTTTCTCGTACATCAAAACGTCGTTTTCCTTATTATGTTAAATCATCAAATCCAAATGATGAATTTATATTTTACACGAATATTCTACCAATTGATATCGAACATATTCCATTTAATATTTCAAAAGATTTCGAACGAGGTACACGAAAAAATCTACCAAGAGGATCTGGTGTTTCTTTTTTTCATCATCATACGACCTTAAAAGCAGTTGATAACAATCCAAGTACTTGTTGGCGCATTGGAAGAAATACTCGACAAGGAGAATTTTTTGCTATAGATTTTTTATATATTCGAACAAATCTTTCGTTTGCACTTATAATTGGACATACACGTGAATTACAAAATAACATTGATATGAACTTATCCTTTGATGGTCTTTTGTGGATTACATATCCATCAAAGAAAGGTATTACTATAAGAAGTCAAAATTCGACATCGAATAAGCAACAATATAAGATTATCTTTAATTCTACTCAATTTAATTTTGGTTTCCGTTCCTTTCGATATGTTGCATTTAACGCTAGTAGAATATCTTATTTAGAAGAGTTTCAGGTATGTGATGTCAAAATTATAGCAAGTACTAATATTAAAACATTGTAATGATATGTGAAAGTTCTACTTGTCTTTTTTTTTAAATTCTAACTTAAGATATTTACACTTCATATTATCAATCAGAAAATCGTTGTATCATGAAAAATAAAAGAAGGGTGGGTGTGAGTGTGAATATGGGTATTGTACAATTCAGTTTTATCGTAGTAGTTTTGATTGTGTATGACAAATTTTCGTCGATTATTATGTTCTTTATTTCTAAAATCACCTTGTGTACAACGATTTTTTGAGCTTTCCGTAGCACTATAAGCTCCATCAATAAGATTTTGATTTCGTTTATTCGGTGTTACAGTTCTATTTTCGTTCATCTATATCCATATTTATTTGATAACCAGTGGATTGTTGTCCATCGGATATGTTAGATGTTACACTTGTAGAGAGAAAAAAGTACGTCCGATAATTATGTGTTACAGAAGAGAAGTGACGAGAAGACAAATTTGATATAGATCAACTCGAATCATTGTACCAGTAAGGCAGATTTTACTTTTGATAGACGATCTCTTTTTTTTAGAATGTGGATGCGGATGGGAATGTAACAATCTCTTTATTTGATGAATCGCTTTCATACTGGGCGGCATGAACCACATTCATCTCTGTTATCAGTTGTTACTGATTAATATGTAGTAGAAATAAAGACGAAAAACATGCGAGTGTTGCACTTTACCATCGTATTATATAGTGTACGAAAAGAAAGGAAAGAAAACATAGTATAGATGAGTCACGCAGTAGTACACTTCAACCTACCGACCAATCCTATAATATAAATCACTGAGAGTCGATTTTCATTACTGATACTTCAATTTAATTACTGAGCTTATTATCTATTCTACTGATCACTTAAATCCATGTCATTCTATTTTAGCTTGACAAACTCTGTGAAATGACGTATAAATAAATCCAAAATAAAATTTTGTAGAAAGCTTGACTCTAAAACATCTAACAAAGTTTCAAAAGATAGTGGATATACCGGATTTGCTATAACCGACATAATAAAAATGAATGAATTATACAAATTGTTTTCGTAATCATAACAAGATCATTTTATTCAATATATTGACGTAAATACATGATTATTCTTGCTCTAGATAAATATCTCAATGGTGCTCTGCGCATGTCGGTCTCGTCGTGCCTTTTTCGTACTGCTTTTCGTGATGATATGCGGTCTAATGATATATCTTTATACCTTTCAATATTACTACTTGGCCAAATTGTTGGCGTCGTCATCAACTATCGATAGTGATTGCATTGATTTGAGTGTTGTTACTAATGAGTCAATTAAGTGTGTCAAAACCAAAGTGCTATTGGGCTTGTATCGAACTACAGTATGTGTGCATGATATAAAGCGAGATACAGATGTAAGTGGTCTACTCACATCGGCTGGAATTTGGGAAGAACCTTTGGTAACACATATCCTGCGTATCCTCGCCACCTATCGTCATTTAGCTTTTTTCGATATCGGTGCCAATCTAGGCGTTTATACAATGTATGCCGCGTCAATGGGTTGTCCAACAGTGGTTGCTATCGAATGTTTTGGGCCTAATATCGAGCGAATACGACGAGCAGTACAGATTGAGCATGTTCAACAACGAGTTATTCTGATTCCTCGCGCATTGTACAACCGATCAGGTGCCTATTTGTCACTTCGATCAAATATTAAAAATAACATTGGTTCCCAACGACTCAACCTTGAGGTATCGAAAAATGAAATGGATCCCCTTGTTGTGAAAACCATCCGTTTTGATGATCTGCTGTCAGTTGTTAACGAACGAAAAATTCATGAGGCAATAATTAAAATTGACATCGAAACGTCGGAACACTTTTTATGTGAAACAGGTGAACGCATATTCGATCAGGTGAACATTCAGTTTATTATGATGGAATGGGCGATTATTAAGACAATTCCAAAGAGAGCTGATGCGATCATACAGTTTTTCACTAGCCGTCACTATATTCCGTTCAATTCGGGAACATGCCAACCACATATTAATCGAACAAATTACGTCAAGTGGGCATCTCAAGATATATATTGGATAAAACAAAACTATACTCATCTTTGTAACATAACAATATAGAGCATGCGTTGAATTTGTTGAACATTACTACAAGATATATTTCTGTGAATATAGATTCACAAATATCCTATTCATCAAAGTTGTGATGAGACGTGTGGGTGTGGACCTATGTCTCATTCAAAACCTTATCCACACTCACATTCTTAAGATTTCTCTAAAGCGTTATTTGTCTATACCATATAGAATGCCTAAGTTTGTATAGAATATTGGTCATCTTATAAAATTAAATTAAAACTTTAATTAAGAGATGAGCTTGATGAAGGTTCTTCTGTCATCTTGACGCCCACACCCACCCTTAAGACTTTTTTGTATGCATATTAAATTTTTATTTACAAAGATGAACTAGAAGATTATTTAACTGTTGAGATTGCAAGTTACTAAATGTTTGAATAGTAAATGACGACATTGTCATGATTACTTCTGCTCTTTTGAAATACACAATATTATCTTGTATATAGATATTGATAATAGGAATATTTCTTAAGAATGCTACTGATACTAATGCAAACATATTTATTGTAGATGAAGAACCTAGAATAATTACTGCTGTACTTTGTGTACCTTGCATAACCATATCAAATCCATAATGCATTTCAGCTGCAGCAGTAATAGGTGTTGGATCTATATTAAAATCACGACCAATCATAAAATCATGAACTGATTGAAATTCTTCTCTAATTTTAATCATTCCTATATCTGTTTTTAACATATTTGAAGTTGCAAAATGGATTAAACCGCCGACTTGAATCATTTGTTGTTGTACAAGTGATATTAATAACATAGTATCATATTGTGTTTCTGCAAATAATAATAATGATGGTTTGGAAATTTTATAACTATCCATTAAACGATCACCACGCAACCATAATTGATCTCTAATAAATTTTCTACTTGTTGCAGTTCCATGTACTCGTCCAGTTGTATCTCCTTTATCACTAATATGTAAATAATCTTTTGTAAATGAATGTGTAGTATCATCATTCTTATCAACAGGCATAACAAAACTTCGAATATTTGCGTATTTACGTGCATTTGCACATAAATGAAAATCTTCACCAGTATTCCATGAATATATTTTATCATGAAACATAAGTTTAACCCATTCACTTTCCATAAACCAACTTCCACCAACGACATTGACTTCAATTATTTGATTACTTTTTGATACAGGACCATAATAATAACTTTCCGACGTAGGTGTACCTTTAGTTCCTAAAATACCTCGATATTCTTTCGTATTAATTGTATACATTGCAATTTCTAAATATCGTTTTTGCTGTATACAATCATCATCAAAAACAATGACATATTTTGTTCGACATTGTAGTGCAAGTTGAAATCTTCCAAAATATTTTAATTGCATTTGTCCCATACCCACGAATAACATTGAAGGTAATTTCATACAAAATTCTATACATTTTTCAGTACAATTAGATCTAATCTCATTATTATTGGTATTATTCATTTTACATTTATTTTCTATACACCATTTATTACAATAATTTGATCCATTATAGAATAATGAACGCATTTCTTTAATTTCAACATCAAGCTTATCTGCAATAGGTGAAGCAAAATGAATAATCCAAATCTCCTTTGGTGGATGTGTTTGTATAAGAAGTGCTTCAATCCATCGTCGAATTAAACCTTCACGTCTATATAATCCAATAACCGCAGTAAGTGCAAATATATCCTCATTTTTCTTTGATATATTATATTGACTAGAAATTTTAAGAAATTCATTTAAAGTAAGAGCCGATTGTAGTTTTGTTAAATTTATCATCATATTTCGTCGAATAGCATGTGATGATATATTTATATATGAATAAATATATTGAGCAATAGAATCTTGACGAAATTTTGTCATACATTTTATATTTGGTTTATATTTTCCGGTAAAATAATTCTCAATAATAGTTGCAATTTGTTTTGATGCTGCTCCATCAGCAAAAATATTTCTTTTCGATGTTTGATTCGTTATTTTAATATTTATTAATTCATCATTCACTGCTTTTATAATATCATCATAAAAAATCCCTATTTGTTTAATTGTACGAAGATAAATTCCTTCAGGTCTCTCAGTTGTCATTCTCATTAATATAACTGGTTTTCCAATACTAACTGCTTCTTCTTGAATTCCACCTGAATCAGTCATAATGATATCTGATTCTGATAAAACATATCCAAATATATCATATGATATTGGATCAACAATTTTAACATTTGGATTTGGATGAAAAGACAAAATAATTAAAATATTTTCATTATGTTCGTTAGCTATAGTTTTTATAGCACGGCACACATCGAATAAATATTGAAAATTTTCTCTTCGATGCATAGTAACAACAATAACAACTGAATGATTTTTATTTGGATTTTCGTGTTTATAATATTGATAAAATGCATCAACACCAGTATTACAAGTTACAAATATATCTGTTTCATAAGCACCTTCTCGAATAAGTACTTCTTTAGCAAATGAATCAATTATTTTTCGATTAAGTTCTTCGGGAAATGGATTTGATAAATTAAATGTTCGAAGACCTGCTTCAACATGTGCAACTGGAATTTGATGATACGAAGCAACTAAAGCAGAAAGAAGTGCAGTTGTTGTATCACCTTGAACAATTAATAAATTTGGTTTAATTAGATTTATTTGTTCATTGATTTGGAAAAATATTCGATAAAATAAATCAGATAAATTTTGATTATCCATCATTAAATCTAAATCAATATCAATTGTTTGTTTAAATGCCATTAAGCTTTGATGTAAAATTTCTCTATGTTGCCCAGTACTAAGAACAATAGTTTGAAATTTTGAACGATAGTAATCAGATTTTAATTCAGTAATTAAAGGAGCACATTTTATTCCTTCTGGACATGTACCTAATACAACAACTGTTTTAAGGAGATTTTTATTATTTATTATTATTGATGCATTAAATATTGGGTGTAGGTGTGTGAATGCAGGTGTCTCTCATTTATTTAAACCCACACCCTGAATTAAAACCTTCACACTAAAGTTCAGATACAATTGATTCAGAAAGGAAGTTTTAGGCTAACCAACACAACATTTAAAACAAGTTTAAAAAATTGCAAAACTAAAAAATGTAGGAAAATGTGTATTGTTAATAAATAAGTAACGTTTTATGTTTTTATGTAATGTCATTATAACATCATTAATTCTTCGTACAAGATGAATAGACTGTGAGATCATTTGCCAATGGACCAAAAATAACTTTCTTAGTGTGAAAATCATTATAATACTGATTATATGCTGGCCCTTCTTTACTTCCTGCTGCTGTAGATGCAATGTTATTCGATAAGTGATTGTGTTGAAAAACATCAAAAATTGCACATGTTGTTTGTATAGTTGCATTCGATATTTTACAATTATGAGCCATAAGTCTGCACCAAACAAGATCGAGTCCCCAACCTAATCCAACAGAGGCACTCAAAAAATTCCATATACATTCCCATGCTAACAAGTTACCAACTACGATAGGACCAATCTCGACCAAATCTGTCCATCGACCGATTTTTCCAGCGAAATCTTTGTGCGTACGAGTAATTGCATGAGAAACAGCGCCATTTAATCGTCCGGGAGCTGATAAATGGACATTTAGTTTTGTAGCAACACATTCATATTGTAATGGTTGAAACAATATTTCTATATCATCATCAACAATCCATACATACGTATATGCTCTCAGTATGGTAGGTGTCAGAAAACGTTTGATATACCAAAACCTTTTCTGACCATTAACATGTATCCATATAAATCGATCTTTATTAGGATAGGATGACCAATTAGAGTCGTCATGTACCATAATCATACGAACGAAATGTTTTTCATCAAATACTTTTAACATATTTTTTGCCAACCATTTATCACGCGAACTTTCTCGCCAGAATGTTACAACTAAACTTTTATTTACTTTATAACAATCTGTTTTGTTATCTAAATTGCAGTCTGTTTCACCTTCCAATGATACACTACCGTTTGAAAAATGATTTAAATGTATGGTTTTGTTAATACCTAAGATTGCGTCTGTTTTAAGTAAAACTTTTGAGTTGCTGGAACCAAGACTAAAATCGTACATTGTGAAGAACCATATAACTAATACAATACATATAAATAGAACTATTTTTCTACAAATTACTAACAGTGCTGTTAGGATATTTCGAGCAGATTTTATTGTTGTAACACTATTTCTTAACATTTTATCTAGAAAAGAGAGCAACTATATATACTTTATTAGGGTGTGAATGTGGATGTGGAGGGTGTGGGTGTGGATTTGCAATCGAGAACAGTAAAAGACCCACACCCACCCTCAACTGGAGTTTACTCATTTTAAAATATCTTCAGATGAACTTTATGATATTTAAAATGTCCTACTCTCAATTCAATAACTTGTGTTTTGGAGAAACTTCATTATTGATTTTACTCGAATATAGATAATATTAACATATTACTGTAATCTTGTTTGTGATTTCTTTCGTGAGATATAAAAGTAGGAAATAATCTATATTCAATGATAAAAAGAATGTTAAGATATTTTTAAGGAATTGTTCGATTTCAATGCTTATTCATCAAAGTTGCTATTGCATTTTTTACTCTATGAGCGAATCGATCACGAATACTAGTATCTTTAACATATTCATTAGTACCACAACCCGACATTGTACGTGGTTGACTCATCGATATATAATGAGCAAGTGTTATGTGATTTTCTGATGGTTGTTCTTTCGAAAGTCCAACTAGTTGCTGATGAATTGATAGATATTGAACAAAACGTGGTCGATATAAATATTTTTCACGTCCACTTTCATATAGATTACGTGCACGAAATCTAAATCGTTCGATAGTTAAACGATTTGCATCATTCTCTTCTGCAGTATAACTATCAGAGTTTTTACTACAAAAGAATTGACTTCTCAGATTAATTGATCCAATAATTCGTCGTCCAAAATTTTCATGTACATAATCAACGATAGTTGTGTATGGATGTAGTGGTACAATGTATTCATCAAGATCAATCATACCTAACCATTCTGATTGATCACCATAACGAATTAGACAATCATGTAATGCTTCTACCTGAAAATATCGTGATGATATGGCATCAACAAGACCAAGAGTAGAGAAATTCCATTGTACAACATCAACAAGGTCAGGATATTTTTGAGTGTAGATATTAATAATAGTTGAGAGATAATCATCAGTGTCAGTTGTATTATATATAACAAATTTGCTGAATCCCACTAATCGATGAAACTCTATCCATTGAACTAAATATTTACCTTTATTATGTAAAGGTGAAGTACATAATGTAAACGATTCTTGACTAGAATTTGATGAAGTGACAGAGCCTATTGGAACGTTTACAAATGCTTTAAGTATAGGTATTTTTCTATCTTTTGTTGTTGTTGATGCAAGATAGACTTGTATTGTTTGATTCAATTTCCATAACTGATCCTTAGCAAATTGACTAAGTGGACAATCCAAAAGAGATACTCGATCATTACCATATTTGGAATCATAAGTATAAACTGGTGTCACTGATCCATCACTAAAGATACACCAGAGGCTCTGTTGATTTGACGAGAGTGGATGAGATGAAATATTTTTTGGTAAAACAGTTTTCATATCGGTTGGATAAACTGTGATAAAAGTTACACTTACTCCATAGCGTATACGACTTGCACCAACACTTAACACAAGCAAATGACCATCGGCTGATAAACATGGTACTGTAGGTATATTATCTTCCGCATTTTCAGGCCATGCAGCAACGACAATAGACATATCATGAAGTAAATTTTGTTCATCAAGAGTATGCCCAATAGGATTCCAACCATCTGCTAAAGAAGAATATGAGGTATGAATATTCAAAGTGGTCGCTATAAATGGGCATTTAGTGTTTATATAGACAGTTAATGAAATAAATAGAATTAAATTACATAAAATAACTAACATAAAAATATTGGACGATGCAAGCCTCATAGATATTCAATTAATCTAGAACTAAAAAATAAATGAAACATGAAGTCACATAACTTGCATTCAAAATGTAATCTTAAGGGTGTAGGTGCGGGTTTGCACTCGAGAATAGTAAAAGTCCTACACTCACTTCCACACACCCAAGCCCAATTGATTTATGCAAAACTAAATACTTGCTGTTTATATTAATGTTAAAATAAAAAAGATAGCAATTTCAGGATTGTCAAATCCAAATTTTAGAAAGCAGGGGTTTTTTGTTAAAAAACAGGAGTTGATCAGGAGACTTTCTCTCGAAACCAAAAGGAAAAAGCAAAGCTTTTCACCCTCAGATATTTATAATTTTGGTTTCTAATAAACAAGCAATGAAAAGGTCTGCCGTATAGTGAACGAAACAAAGAAGAAGACAACGATAATTACACACAATTCATGTTACTGGTCTTTTCAAAGCTATTTATTGAAAAATATAAACAAGACAGATACAAATGGGTTTTAAGAAACTACCAAAGAATTGAAATAGAACAGAGTAAACTGTTTTCCACATCTTTTTTGATATTGTTATTTCACGATTGTATCTTACTTCTGAGTGAATTAATTTTAGCAGTTCTTTACTATTTCAGAGATTTTTTTATTTTAATTCTAAACTCGATATACATTAGGATCATTTTTCATTTTATTCTTATTATCATATCATCAAAATTTTGTGTGACGGAAGCTTAACTCATAATTAGTTCTTTTAACTCATTATCCATCGGTCTCTATCAGCACTAAAACCGAATCGATTCGTGTTTCTGGCTATAAAAAACTAAGATATAACATAAATTTCTGGTAGAGTTGATAAAAAAAGGGACAAAACACAGATTACTTAATTGTTTGTTGTGTGGTTCAGTTTAAAAAGATGATTCTAGTTTGATGTCTCATACATGCTCTTCGAAACTACATCCTTGCATAAAAGCCTTTCTCCTCTTCATTTCTTTAATATCAAACTTTACATAAAATTTATTACCAAATAGAGATATAACTTCAGCGTTTTATTTCATTATGGTATATAAATCATATTACAATAAAAACTGTCAAGTCATATCTCTGCTCGACAATAAATTTTATATAAACTTAAAACTGTCAAGTCATATCTCTATTTGGCAATAAATTTTATACAAAATATGATAGCACAGAAACGAAGAGGAGAAAGAATTTTGTCCACGAGTGTATTTCATATTTGGATCCATTTTTCTATAAAAATTGCTTTCAAAAGAATCTGAGAATTTTTCACTGGTTTTTATATCTGTTCCACGGAGTTTTGGCGATCCAAGGTTTGCTTTCTATCAACCAGCTTGCGGATCAAATTGCTTTACTGTTTCGAAATAATTCCCAGTATTGATCCATATCATGTTGTAAAAAATGAGTGTTCTTAGAAATAAAAGCTGAAGGTGATCCGAATATTAGATAGAAGTCGACGCTTCGAAATATTTCATTTTGCAAAAAAAATACCCACGCCTTCAGTTCATGACAATCTTCTTCTTGTGTTTATTTCTATGAATAATTAATTCTAGAAGTCCTTTTCAAGCTAGTTTAGATCACCTTCAAGAAACAACAACCACAATCAACGAAGACAACTATCCATGCATGTGAATCATAAACTGAAACGAGTAACGCAATATATCATTTTGCTCGTGTCGATTGTTTTGATATTCATAATCTATTATCAAATTTTATATAATAAATCAAGCACTGGAAAGACCATGTATGAGCTCAAATCGGGAAAGATAACATTAATCAATAACAACAAAATTACTTTTACGAAATACGATGTTTTATTAGTGTATGTGTATGCTGATACGCATCCATATGCTCTGGGAAATATGAAATACTTTATTCATACTGCAGTACGACAAGATGACAAAGTGCATTACTATTTTATTTTACAACAGACGGGAAATATGCCCGTGAATTCTTCATATCTTCCTAATTTGCCTCGAAATGCTTGGTATGTACAACATGAAAACGTATGCTTTGATATTGGTACCGTCGGCTGGTTTCTTCGAACACACTTTGCTGACAAGAGCAGATCAGATATAGAATTATACAGGTATTTTATATTCATGAACTCATCCATTCGTGGTCCGTTTATTCCACCATACTACGTCACTCTCTTAACTGCTTATAACACTCGACAATACCAGCAATTTTACTGGTATTCGATCTTTACAGAAAGACTAAACCACAAAGTGAAACTTGTTGGTTGTACCATTAGCTGTGAGATCACTCCACATGTACAGAGCTATTTATTAGTTACTGATGTATTAGGTTTGTCGCTTTTAATGCATCCAGAAAATGGAAGCGATGTGTTCGGTTGCTATAACACGCTGTGGGGTGTGACTTTAAATAGTGAGCTTGCTGCTTCCACCCGCATACTGAAAAATGGCTTCTGGATTGACTCGTTACAAACGAAATATCAAGGAATCGATTTCAGTCGAAAAGAGAACCGAAAATGTAATAAAGGACGAAATACTTATTTCGACAAAGCAGTGGACGGTTTAACTCTGGATCCATATGAAGTAGTGTTTGTAAAATATAATTATAAATCATCAAAAGAAGCTGCGGATAGAGCTTCAATTTATCAAATGTGGACTGCGAATATAACCGCCGTCAAATAACACGATAATCAGACATATTTTGACAGACCATAGTAATTTTATGAGTACCTATAATGCTGCAATACTAGGCCGCTCCTCATATAGCATATTTCAACTTCTGAATTCAAAAAAATCTAGGTATGAGTATGTGGCTCTGGGTGTTACGTTCTTCGCTTCCATATCCACATCCACTCAGAGTGTGGGTGTGGGTGTAGGCGGGTGGGTATCGGTGTGGTGAGAGTGTGGGTGGGTGGATGTCGGTGTGGTGAGAGTGTGGGAGTGGGTGCCGGTGTGGTGAGATTGTGTGGGTGGTTGTAGATGTAGGTGATGCTTATTGTAAAGGTAAACCATCCATCCACACCCACACCCTCAAGATGGTTATAAGCGATGAGACTTAATTTGGTATAAATACACTGATTTTTTTCTTTTTTTTCAAAGGTTTTATATATAGTTTCTTTTATCTTTCAGAATAAATAATTGTTGGATATATAAATCGTGACGTTTCCAATATGAATAAATCGACTTATAAGAAATTATTTCTAATCGCTGTTATTGGAAGTTGTAGTGTTCTTATATATCCTCGTTTGTTTTCGATTAAACAAATTATTCTAAATAAACAAATTTCTCTCAAAAACTCTCGATTTCCTGCCATTACTGGCTTTTATCATTTTTCGACTATCGGTCCTAATTGGAAAAAAATTGTCAATGAACAAATTTCAATCATCCATCGTAGTGGATTATTTAATTCAAGTTCAAATACTTATGTTACCGGCTTAGGTAAATTTGATGATAATAAAACTGCGTACGATATATTTTCTAATTCAAAGTTTATTTACGAGTATGATAATAAAACACAATTATACGAATATCCAGCATTAATGAAACTAGAGAAATTCTGTTTCCATAACAATAAATCATTAGTATGGTATGCACATTCTAAAGGTGCTTCACATGCTAATGATTTTGTTGCTGGTCCCTGGAGAGGTGTATTAAACTATTTTATTTTGGATAAATGGCAATTATGCTATAATCTCTTACTGTCCACAAATTATACTACTTGTGGAGCTATACTGACCTTTGATCGCTTTCGTAAATCTGGGTGGAATACTTATTATGCTGGCAACATGTGGTGGGCTAAATGTTCACATGTTAATCGACTTACAAGACTTGAAAAAATCGACCAGAAAGATCGTTACCTAGCAGAATTGTACGTTACATCTGAACCTGATGTTGGACATTTTAATTGTCATTTTATTAATCTAAATACTCTAATTAATTTTAATAAGCAAACTGCTAATTGTACAATAAATGAACCAATGTGGTGGGTGCGATGATAAACTGTATTTTAGTGTATCGTTTCATATGTTTTTCAAATAAAATAATCAAACAAACAATCGATCGATCTATCCCTTGAAGAAAAAACATATTTTATTTATTATTGTTAACTTTTTCGTTTTATTTTTTTGATTTTATTGGTATTTTTTGATATATAGTTATGTGATATGCTTAATAGAATAATATTTAAAGAAATTCAATATTCTTGTCTTATAGTTCGAGTAAAGATGGTAGCTATTGTTTATCAGCGATAAAGATATGTTTTGGATTTATATTCATATGAATGAAATTAGAAAAACATCTATTAAGTGTCATTAATAAATGTAATTAAACGAATATTTAATTTCTCATAAAACAGAACAAAACAGTTGATCGAGAGATAAACAATAATATTTTAAAATAAATGTGTGGGTGTGGGTGTGGGTGAAGGTGAGTGATGCTTAATGTCAAAGAGAACCACCCACACCCACACCCACCCTCTGTAACATTGCTAGTGAATGCATCTTCAAGAATTTCCTTGGATATATCAGAATACTTCATATAGCTTCTTAAATTCGCCGATGCAATGTAAGATTCCATAATGGTCTTCCAGTACTATTGAAAATAACGAGGACAACGATACACGGTTGTCGTTGATGATGTTCCGAAAGCCGTCACCATTTTTCTTTTTTGATTGTTCTGAATACGCAGAACGGCATATTTTTATATTTTAAAAAATGCGTCATCCAAATTTTATTTACTTACTAGCTTTCTCAGTAGACATGAAGCAATGATGAATCATATTGTTAAACGACATAGCAACAACTTTTGACGATCGTATTTGAAAGAAAAATCAAAAAAGCATTTTTTCGTTTCGCTTGAAAGTATAAACAATTCAGTCATGTGCCATTTCAACATCAACAATCGTAGAGTTTTGTATGTTCTTTCGTTTTTGCAACCAAAATTCTCATTGACAATTTTTTAGAACATTTATGATTTAGCATGATTAAAAATAAGAGATATATTTATATTATAATCTTTACTTTATTATTAATTATAACGCATATTATTGTTCATACTTATGCTAGAATTGGAATTCTTTCCGAAACTTCGATTCAATTCTTTATTGATACAGTAATTCATAAAAATATTGAATATTCTCAAGATTATATTAGAAATCATGTTCCAGAATCATCACCTAGATTTCAAGGTCATTGGCTTCGTCTCATAAAACATTATATTTCTTTACCACTCGATGGTGGTTATGGATCTCATAAACTTGCTCTTCTTGCTGCACTTATATTAACAGATAAAAATGGTGGACCTATATTAGAGATGGGTTGTGGTTATCATTCAACAAATTTTCTTCATCAAATAGCTGTTAATGAACAAAAACGTTTTGTTCTTTCGACAGATACTGATTATGAATGGATATTAAAGTTTAAAACAAATATGTCATCAACTCTTCATCAATTTCGTTTTATTAATCTTATATCAGAATGGAATGGCATTGGTAATGATCGATCTCGATGGTCAATAGTTCTTATTGATCATAAACCAGGTGAACGACGTGTACTTGATATTATTCGTTTAGTAAATATAACGGATATACTTATAGTACATGATACAGAAACTAATCAATATGGATATGAACGAGGTCTTTTTCTATATCCTTACAAATATCATTATACTTATTTATCAACAGGAACTGATATAGCAAGTAAAAGTAATGCAACTTTGTTACAAAATATAAAACATTTACTTGAACTTACAATTAGTATGAAAATACCAAAATAATCAAATAGGAAATTAGTAAAAATTACTTTGAAAAACATATGCGTATGTCCATAGATCGTTTTCACATAATCAATGCATCTGAATAATTTTTTGAGCGTAAATAAACTAAAAACAAACTATCAAACAGTTTAATAAATGTTTGAATAAAGCGATGATAAGATGGTAAATAATCTTTGAATAGTTGCTTTGCTTTGATGTGATGAAAGATCAGACTGAGTGTTTAATTGATTTTGAGATTTTTTCATACTCAAAATCAGATGTTTGCTTATAAATTGCATCTAATTGATCTGCTTGTTCTTCATAAGAAATAGCATTTTCATGTTGATTTTGTTTTCGATATATATTTCAGCTATTTTCATATATATGATAGGAATACAACGTTTTTTACAATATTGTAGATGTACAATGTCTAATGATTGTTCATATTACATTTTATTCTTGAGGGTGTGGGTGTGGGTATCGGTATGAATACTGTATTCACCTAACATCCATACCCACATTCACATCCCACGAAAAATTTATAAAAACAATTTCAATATTTTATTAACTATGTTCAAGTGATTTCGCATCGCTAAAATGGATTGATTTTATATTTGCAACAGATATAACATCACTTTGGTTAGTTGATGTATGACGAGATGCTTTTATTCGAGAAAGACTTTTAATTAAACATTTTGATTATAATGAAGAAAAGAAGAAGAATATCTTTGTTACTTGTAAAGTAAATACTTGATAAATAGCTGAAATAAATAAATAGAATGAATTCGACAAGTAATGTTTTTGGGTATGAGTGAAGAAGAATATCTACAACACACCCATACTCTCAATTGTTTATGAATCAAGAAATATTTGAAGAATAAGTTTTAACGATAAAGAAATAAGTAATACTTTCTGTTCGCAAGACACTGTTTTAATAAAATGAATCTTTCATTCTTTCTGCCAACTTGATAGAGCCTAAAGTTTTTATTTTTATTTTACAAGAGCAGTAAAAGAATGAAGAATAGAAAAAGTCATACGTCTATTTGATAATGAGATAAGTCTTGATGCTTGAATAAGTATATGAAGAGCAAAAATAGTTTATGTGATTAGTTCTCTTTCAAAATTCAACTTCAATTATGTTGATTCGAAAACAAATCCCGTGTAGATTTTTCTTTTATGAATCACGGTGAAAATTTAAAAGAAAAACGTTAGTACAGGCAATATTTCAATTATTTATTCTTTCTAACACCGAACTTAATAGAAAGCCAAAATCAAAGGTTTCTTCATCATTAGCGAACATTTCCCTGGCAACAGTAATGGATGTGACTATTGATGGTGAATGGGAAGAACACCTACACCCACACTCTTAATATCATTTTGAATTCATCAAAGTATTCGATTTATGAATAAGATAGATACGAGTACGAAACATTCTATTATCTTATATTGTTCCTATAGATATATGTTACATTTGCACACGGAAATAAATGCATGATATGATTTGAGTGTACTTTTTCGAAGTTATATTATTCATAGATTGATACCTTCTTCAATAATACTTTATATATATTTTTTACTTCGAAATTTATGGACAAAAAAATTCATCATCATCAAACAACTCGATATATTAATATGATAAAATAATTTTTATTAGTATGTGATTATATATAGTATTGATAATAGTTCATAGTAATACAGATTTAAATAGTTAAAAATATCCAGAGTTTACAGTAGTGACACCATTACTAGTTTCTATTATTGTTGTATAACTATCGACATTGTTAGGTTGTGATGTTCCAGATAAGTGATACTGTGCTTCGATCAGATACGTTGAACTTACACAGTTAATTGTTTGTCCACCTATTATTGTCCATGTATAGATTATATCTGTACCATTATCAATATAAGATTCAGTGGTCTGTCCAGCTGGAAATGTATTAGAATAACCGTTGAATGTTGCACCAACAGTCTTGGATACAGTGATTTGAATAGTAACGTTTGTCAAAGGAAGCGAACAACTGATAAAGATATCATCAGTAGCATAATAGGCCATTCGAGTTGTTGATATACTAACACTAACTGTAAACAGAAACAAAACAGATTATCAAATTTTTTTAGTTTTTGTGTTTATTGAAAAAAATTACACTCTTGAGTGCTTACATTTAGAAGAAAGATCGGAGAAAGAGATAAATGGATGTAGCTGATATGTCAATCTCGTATCCTAACCTATGCCCCCAAGACAAAATATTTTATGGTTTAGTATAATTCAAAAATTGATATCGTATAGCACTATTAAAAATTTATCTTAAGTAGTCGTGATTAGATTCTGACTACTCCTCTAATTTATGATCGTAAATATATATAAAATATACATAGAAAATGTAATGAACATTAATATCTGTTGATTTTCGTTTCAGCATATGTTTGATTATTTAGTATAAAATAAGGAGAATATGTTTACTTACTTGCTGTTGAAGTAGTTGTAGAGATGCTTGTTGATGAATCCGTGGATGAACTAGTTGAAGTTGTTGCTTAAATAAAATAAAATTGTAAGGAAAGCTAAACGATGAGTCGCAGTTCCACTATTTTGACTTCCATCAGATTCCTTTCAGACTTCATTTATATATTAATCAGGGTATCTTCCTGAGTCTGTATGCTGGGTCAAAACATTGAAATCGGACTTCTGAATTTTTTGTACGTATAGTATCCTTAGAAATCGAGAAAAGTTTTTTTGTCTTTGATTTTGACCCTTTGAGGGGTGAGTGGGTGTGTGTTAGGTAGTGGCATCTTTCACCACTACCTCTCTTGTGTTTCTCTCACTCTTTGTCACTCTTCATTGGTCATGCAGATCAAGTGTGTTCTTCCTATCTCTTAGTGTTAATAAAGTAGAACCAGGAGTAGTTAGCTACAGTCTAACAATTGGTGCCGTGACCCGTTTCGACAAATTCGTCGAATATAATAAGTTTTTTCCCCTGATTGATTTATTTTGTTCTTATCTTCTCTTCCTGGTGAGTTTTTGGTGATTTACTTGGTCTTTATTATACGTACTTATTGATTTACTCCTCCTTTTTTTTCTATTTCTTAATTCACTTACGGTTTATGTTATGGATGTCAAATTACAAAAAAGATATGCTGAAGAAATCATTCGACGTCTTACTAAATTTGGTGGTTCTCATTATGAAGATGTTACTCAATGGTTGCATGATACTGAAGAACTATTTGAACAAGCACAACTTCGTTCCTCTAATAAATTTATAGTTGCACAATGCTATTTAACTGCTACTGCTGAAAAATGGTTTAGAATTGAAAGGTCCATTATTCATGATTGGGTTACATTCAAAATCGAAATTGTTAAAGCATTTCCACCATTATTTAATCCAATATTATTGAAAGTGGAACAATGTCGACAATTCTCTCACCTTTCAACTTCATCAAACTTCTCTTTAACTTCAACAATACCCGAAAAGAAACAACATACTAAACATGATCTATTAGCTCCCCTTAATGATAATCAAATTGAATCATTCGACGATTTTACAGATGAAAATTTAAATGAATGTTCACAAGAACATTCTTCACCTATATTAGTTCCTATCAATGATATTGATTTAGAAATTCAATCGCAATGTAACGATATATTAACTGATCTTGATACATTAAACCAACAATATGAATCTGTTAGTGAAAATGATCCTATTACACATGGTGTTGGAGATACTATTGAAGTTTTTACTGAAACTATTTGTACCGCTATAACTGATGATTCTTTAACTAATACTGTTGCATCACTAGATGTTCAATCTTTCTGTCCTGCTCCATATCAATTCGATGAACCAACATCTAAAGTTGTACAAAGCAGTACATTCAATATTTTCTATCCTGATTTACTTGATAAAACTCGACCACAATCATGTTCTCTTATTGTGTATGAAGATATTGCACTTAAACTTAGTAATCTAGACTGGAACTGTTCATCTCGACGTGGATTTCGATATATTTGTCACAATGGAATATTTCAAGTGCGAGTTTCTTTTCGTAAATGGAAACATCGTCATTTATTTTTTTCTTCTTTTCGAAAATGGAAGTATCGACAACTGATCTTTTTTGTTTCTCTATTTTTGTTTTGTCTGATCGTGTTCTGCTTTCTGTTTTTCTCATTTTTCAATATCTGTCTCTTTGTTTGTTATTATCTTTTCGTGAACAGATATACCTGTTCACTGGTAAAGGGCGGAGGTGTTAGGTAGTGGCATCTTTCACCACTACCTCTCTTGTGTTTCTCTCACTCTTTGTCACTCTTCATTGGTCATGCAGATCAAGTGTGTTCTTCCTATCTCTTAGTGTTAATAAAGTAGAACCAGGAGTAGTTAGCTACAGTCTAACAGTGTGGGTGTGGTATTATATTCATTCCACACCCTTCTGTAATACAAGAGAAAACTGGATTTACCTGAATTTTGTCGGTAACAGATAACACTAGCTCGAATATTTCCAGATGATTGAATGCTGCCTGATTGACAATATTCAGCAAACATCGAGCACATTTTTTCATCATTAAAATAAGTGGCAGTTTGGCATTCATTTTCATAGACACATTCCCAAATACATGATTGAATCGATACATCAGTTGACCATGTCGTATTACGAAGAAAAGCAGACGAAGAGAGTGGAACATAGAATGAAGATCGATGAATTTCGGTTATTACAATAGCATTAACCGTGAAGGTAAAAATGTAAGTTGAGAGAAAATACATATTATACATCGCTAGGAATAGAATATTCACTCCGTTTCAAACAAAATAAATAGAAAAGTGCAATTAACAACGCTCAAAAAACATCAAACTATAAGAAAAAATTGTAAATCTGTTGTCATTTTTATTGTTAACTTTTCAACAGTCGATAACAAACAAACTGTTGTGTAGAAGAAAATTTTTTGATTAACAATAGAGGATACGTCTTTTTTTGAAAGAAAAAAAGCTTTCTTTTCTAGACATTCTAACAAAACAATATTATATTTTGTCAATATTTTACTCAATGTTAATGATAAAGGCTGACGTGAGGATTGAATGATGTCTCGTTGATTTCTGTTTACAGCGAAGCGAAAATCAATGGATCAGTTTTGTTTATTTTGAACGTCAGTTCTCTTGTATTAGTTATTAAGGGTGCTAGAATCCCCGAATTGTTATAGCAATTGTGATGATATCTTTTGCCGACACGTATGAATAACTAATGTTCTCAGAAAGTTCGTTTAAAGTGTTCAGTCACTTGTAAAGTAGGACTCTATTTCACTACAGATATTGATGAGACGGGAAAGTTCTAGGAAATTATGAAACTGTAAGTGAGATAAATAGAATCACGATTGTCTTAGCCGGTTTTTAGTTGTCACTCTGTTCGCATTGTTATTCGAATGTTTTAAGGCAGAGTGCTAGTGGTAGAGTCTTTATCTTACTAATAATGATATCATTTCTTCGTTTTTTCATTATATATTAAGTAAAAATAATGGATTAAAGAAATATATCAGATCATTCATTCAAAGAGAAACAATTGTACTTTTGTACTTCTTAGAACTATTACATTTTTGAAGTGTAGAAGTACGCTTCCTCCTTGTATTGATCACTATTCTGTTGCTTCACTACGACGGTTTCTATGCGTTCTTTCTCTCTTTATTTGTTTGTCTTGCATGCAATACAGTATATTGCTACATTTCAGATTTTAGATTTCCTTATTCTGAAAGAATGCAATCGAATATTCAACAATTGAATGAACAAATATACTAACAGTATTATATTTTATAAGAGGGTGGGTATGGGTGTGATATTTTTCAGAGAATAGAACAAAACTTTTCAATTATAATCAATTAATTTTTTTCTCGGAAAGAGAATGCACATGTGTTACTATGAGTTTTTTTGCCGGAAAAAAAGAATAAAAATTTTATCACATAAGAAACGTTTTTCTTTCATATAAACATGTTTGATTTATGCAGAAATGAGGAAGAACGATAAATTAATTCAAATATTGATTATTATTTCTTTTTCATAAAAATAAGAAAAAGTAGATTTTACAATTGTTTTACTTCAATATATTAAAAATATGTTAGTGTAAAATTATTTGATTTTTTCTTTTATCAATGATAAATTATCTATTTGAAATTTTACTATTATTCAATCCATTAATTAAATTAGCAATTTTAGAACCTGATTCCAAATATTTGATAAATTTTACTAATGATCAACTTGTTAAAATATTTTTCCTATACGAATTATCCTTACGCTAATCTTTCCAATTGAAATATTCAAATGAATCAATTCTAATTTAGAAATTATTATTGTTCATAGAATAATTAACGTTTTCTATTCAGTTCTTTGATATAATAATGTTGATAAAATAGTCATGTGAACTAAATGAATTTCTATTCATACACTATAGGGACTATACAATCAAAAGTTGTTACTCGTTCATTTAGCGATCCTTCATATGAAATGCAGAGTATTGATTCATTATTCAAGTAAATTAAACGGAAATTGTCGTCTTCCTATCCTTCGAAAATCCAAGTTTACTAGCATCTTCAATAGTATACAGACACAAAAACATCTCTAATTAATGATCATACGAGAAAAACAAGAATGTTATTCGCACCATTTAAATTCATTATCTTTGCATGTTCAAATATTTTCTTTTCAATGATGTGTTAATATCCGTGGTATGAATTTGTTTGTATGTCGTATATTTTTCTTGTTCGATTATTCTCTAATTGGTTATCCAATTGGACTGAAATATTTCTTACAAAAGACAAAGAATAAAAGTGTTTAACTGACCTTTCATTCTTTCGCTTTATGATATGAATAGTCAATAAAAGTATATCAAATCATACATAGCGGACGGAAGTAAGAAAATAATCAGTATAAAAGGTCATCATCTTGCATACAAAATATTCATTCTACAAAAATTCAAACAACACTATAGTCGATACATAAGTTTATTCAAAGTAAATTTAGACATCGTTTGAATATATTTTCATGGAACTTTTCTTTTATTTTAGTATTCGTACAAATGAATCCAAGCATGATCATCTTCCTTACAATTACATTTGTACTTTTATTTAATTCATCAATTTACGCCATGAATGTTCCTGTAACTGATGAAACTCACGTTGGTATCGTAGATGGATGGTATTATAACGACACAGTACATCATCCAATAAAACGAGCTGCACCAGGATGTGTTGACTGCAAAGGCGGTATTAAAGACTGTTGTCTTCCTAAAAAGTGTCACATTGTTAAGCTTGGTCTTGATGAATGTGTCCATGTTAAAGGTTAATAATTTCCTTTTTCAATGATTGTTGAATCGCATTTATTCAAGCAAATGTAATTTTTTCTTTTCTGTTGTTTTTTTGTAAAATTATTAATCTAGCGAAATAAATATGTTTACAAATCATATCACTTGAAAATAGTTATGATGATGAAAAAGCGTTAGCGAGCAGAATATTTATTGGAAAAAATGAGGTATTTGTACAGGTAAAAGGATAGAGATGTCGAGAATGTTTATCTCTATAAAGAATTTGATAAGAAGAGGATTGAACACAAGTTCTTGTTTACGATGATATAATAGAGAATTGAATAAGTCAAAGAAAGACCAGGTGAATAGAACGCAAAAGTTAACCACTTTTTGTACTCGAAATCGTCTGATTAGGAAATGTAATTATGCCATTCGATAGCTCTTCTAATTCTCTACAATTTTAGATCTTATAAAATTTGTCAACAATGTACATATCTTTTAATAAGATTGTAAAGGATTTGTTCACTGCTTTCTAATTCTTTAGTAAAAAATTGTTATTCTTATAGAATTTATCTTTTTTAGAGCCAGTGAGATATTTTTGTTGCTCTTCAAATATTCTATCATCCTATACATTTAACCAGCGTTACGGATAACATTGAATGAGAAAAACTAGAGCAATAATACAGTTTGTAAAATTGTCAATGGAAGACATGTACATCCTCCGTAAATTTTATTAAGAAACTATGCACAATATTATTTATCTAAGATCTAAAGTTGTATAAAATTAGAAGAATTATCGAATGGCAATATAACATTTCCTAATCAGTCGATTTCGAGTGTAAAAAGAAGTCACAGATAGTGACTAACTTTTTCTTTCCGATAGTATATTTATGCGTACGTGCATAAAAAAAATATTTTGAACTTATTAATTCACTGCTTTTGTTAAATAAAAGAATTATCTCAATTGATTTCAACTTTTCGACATATCTTTAGGTATTAAATAATTATCAGTGACATTACGACGTAAATATTATCTGAAAAATTAAATTTCTTTATTTTATGTTTATGATCTGTTAAACAACTTGTCTCACATATTTTAAGTTATAATAAATGACATTGCTTTGAGCATATCTCGGGAATGAAGAGATATAAGCACGAAAGCGACTGAGTTTTTCTTAACCTCATTTATACGTTGTTAGCGTTAAAATGGACGAAATCGATCGTTCCAAATTAGTTGGAATAGTTTTGTCTTCAATTTAACAAACATATACAATTCAAAGAACTCTTTCTTTCCCAGCTACTATCATTAATAATGATTTGATCATCACGAAAAATTTTAATAAAAGAAATGTAGAAACAGAATAAACAGTAACAATTAATACACAATTTTGTATTGACATACATAACATAAAATATAATCATATTATGGTAGTATAGAGATATTTCAGAAAAAATAAACTTTCACTCAAGAAAAATATATCTATGAGAAAATTTGTTTTTATTGGCGAAGCTTAAAATTGGCTTCTTATTTATCTTTCATGAAACGACAGAGCTATCGTTTTCTACGACATTGAAATCTTGTGATTATTTAAGTGGCTCGGGACTTTGCTTATAAGTTAGATAACGAAATGAACCACATGGTAGAACAAATATTATTTTTCATTTATATCATAAATTGAATCAATTAATTATTTTCACTAGGCATCTATGTTATGTATACACCTTTTAATCTTTCGTTATGATTTTAGTTTTTTCTTTTTTGTCCTCATACTCAGAAGTATTTATATGCTCACGCATAGTATATTTGTTTTGATTTATTTTACCTAGCAAACGGTGTTTTTATCTAGAATGTGACTGTCGAAACGAGTTGGTAGGAAGAAGAACGAAAGAAAAAAAAGACAGATTCTGTGCAATACCAAATCAAGCGAAACGTGTGCATTGAATTAAAACAGCTATAAACTGATCAATTAATATTTCACGTCAAACAAGATACAAGTGAGGCATGTGTTATTTAGTGTTACATACAAATGTTTTTTTATAACGAAAATTTGTATAAAACGCATAGAAAGTGAGTTTGGTTTAGAAAGAATTATTGAGGATTGATTAAATAGTGCTGTTCAATACTAATTACTTTCTGTTTTGATATAAATAAGAAAGAATTTTGACCATTATCAAAAGGTATTGTTAGAGTAATGAAAAATTTAAAAAAAACTAATTATGACTATAGTTATAATATCTGATCGGTACGCACAAAGTACCAAATGATAACTTTTTTGTTTATCTGGTGAAAGCACATGAGTAGAATAATAGATTAAGGTAAAAGTTAGGATTTTGTGTTCTGAAAAGCAGATGGTAAGAAGCGTTAATGTCGCTTTTCGACGCAGGACTTATGCTGATGTTAATCACTAACTACTCCGTAAATATTTCACGTTTATTACTGTCGGTTAAAAACTCACTTATTATAATTAAAACTCTTTTTTTCAGAAGGTACATACAAACTACAATCGAGTAATAATAAAAATGTCAACAATACAATAGAAATACGAGCAAACAACACCGATTATAACTGAAATATAATGTTTATATTAAGATGTTTGAAGGGTTGTATGCACTTATGGATTTTTGTTGCTTTTTTTGCTATATCGAATGCTCAAAGTAATTTAACTGCATTAACATCAATCAAATCATGTCCCAGTTCACATTCATTATGTGGTGAGAGCATTTGTTACGATCCAGCTACACAAAACTGTACTGAGCTCGACAAAATTGTTCTATGTATTGGTATTTGCGGAAATCAATGTTACAATCCAAATACACACCAATGTTTCAATGGTACAGTATGTAAACGTAGTGAGCAGTTGTGCATCATTAAATACGACACTGAGTCTTCAATTAAATATGATCCACCATTATATCAGTGTTACAATCCTACAAATTTGACGTGTTCGAACAACACACTTTGCGAGCGCTTCTCTCGATCATGCAATCAACAATATCTTCAAAACAACCAAATCTGCGTTAATAATACGATAATATGTAATCTTACAAATACGTATTATGATTACCGATCAAATCAAGTTCAGTCATGCAATAGTGTATGCTATGATTCCGAAGTTCAAATATGTATCAATGATACTGTTCAGTGCATTAATAACTGCTCCGGTATATGCTACAATTCATCATCACAACAGTGTTTGAATGGAACTTTGTGTAGCCTTAGTGACAAGTTATGTTATGTAGAATACGATACTTGGGGCAGGCGGAATACTCTGCCATCATATCAGTGTTACAATCCTACACATCAAGCATGTTTCAACAACTCAGTTTGCGAATATCCCTTTCGATCATGCAATCAACAATGTCTTCTGTCCAACCAAATGTGTGTCAATAATATAACAATATGTAACACTACACGTCCGTTTTATTATTACCGATCAGATCAAACTCAGTCATGCAAAGGTGTATGTTATGATTCCGTAATTGAAATATGCGCCAATGATACTGTTCAGTGTATTAATAACTGTTCCGATGTATGCTACAATTCATCATCACAACA